TCGCATGAATAAATAGCTGAGGTGCGTATCAGGGTGGAATTATCCGATCACTTACGAGCACTTCTGAATTTGGCGTGTGGAGCATGGGGATACAGATCTTGTTCGGGGGCCGTGAACAAGAGGAAAAATCACTGTTTTAGATCTGGAATAATGAGCGATGCCAGCAGTCTGGAAAACCTCTGGCACGGGGAGGGGAGGCGGGGGAGGAGGCGAGGCGTGGGGTGGGGTGGGTCTAGTTGCGACGAGAAGAATCCGGAATTCATTTGCATGTAGAGATCTGGGACAGGGGAAGCTGCACTAGCAGCTGGTGCTGGACGAGTAGAGTAGTTTCCGAAGCTCGGTCGTCGTGTAGCAGCGAGCAAACGATATGCATGTGAGGCACGATCTGTCTTGTCGATCCACATTACTCGGCGAGTTCTATGGACATGGTGAGAAGCGGCTGTGGGACCGGCCATCTCGACCAACGAGAGGCGAGCTTTTGATTGAACTCCAAGCCGTATCACAATGGCCTTGTGAAGTGACTTGTATGTCTGGCATCACAAGCCCAGAATCTTTTCCTCTTCTCTCAAGGCCTTGGAACCCTTGCAAGATAATATAAAAATCGATTCCGAGTATCCACTTCCGTGCTCCTCAGCGGTCGAGAACAATTGCAAGCTCTCAAGACATAAAAGATGGTCATCGGAAGAATCCTCATGCTCTTGGACCTTATCGTGGTCGGATAGAGATTCAAGGGCCTCCCATTCGTAATAGTGCCACTGTTAATCCTCTAACATGGACCCCAATAGTGCTTCTCCATCTCCGACTTGTCCCAGCACCCTTACTGCTCCCGAACACCACTACCGCCTGGTGGGGCACATCAACATGGCTCAGGCGTTGGAGGCCATGCTCAGCGCAAGTGTCATTGGCGGATGCGCCCCAGCACCATCGGCGAGATTCTTTCATACTGCGCCGTGTGGTCCACACTGCAGTGCGTGACTGGACCCTCCCTTGGTTGCTAGCGGATTGAGGTCTTGGCCCTCGAGTCGTACAGGCTCTGCGACTCGGCCCGGAATAAATCGGGCCCAGAAGGGAGAGTATTCGAGGCGAGTCAACTGAGGATGGTGTATCATCCCTGATTTCGAACATCACTAAATCAGAATCAACTTGATGCACATCCAACTTCACGTGGTTTCCGGTTCTAAACAGGAATCTCATACATGGCAGTTCTTTCGTTGACTTCCCCTCCTCTTCGTGCCTAATCGCCCATCACATATATATACACACACACAAACACACATCTTCTCGAAGTGAATTCCAAACGCCAGCAGATGTGTGAAGGCTTGCTACGGTCGGTCTCCACTTACGTCGTTCGAGGATGGTTCGTTTATTGGTTCCGCCTGGTTTCCAGAGCAGATTATAAATGTCGACTTAGCTTGATCCGTTCGCCAAGGTAGGCTTCGTTGGTGCTTTCGACCATTCCATTTTCCATCCCATCCACGCGGGATAAAGATCGAGGGAGGGAAGGAGGGAGGGAGGGAGGGAGAGACATGAACCGCGACTGGCGGCAAGTCGACACATTCATTCATAGCTTCAGAAGGCATGGAACAAGAGCGCTCGCGTGTACTCGTGTCGGGGAGGGAGAGAGAGTTCGAGAAAGAATGTTCCTCGAGTTCGCGACAGCTCGGCCACTTCGTTACACCCACAGCTGCAGTACACGTGCACACAAGTAGTGTGATCGTGAGTTGACCCCCGTTAGAAGAGCAGGTAACTCGCGGCTAAAAACGGAATTAGAGATGGAGGTGCAAGCGGGAGGAATGGGGAGAGATGCTTCCGATCTCGAGGAGTGAAGGAAGAAGTGATGTAAGAGGTAAGAGGGACACACTAGTTCGGCCCCTGCCCTCCTCGGACCAGTCGGGGCCGACTCGAGGTGGGTGATGCAGTGACATCGCAGTGACTCTCGTCGTTCACAATCATGGGCTCGGGTCGCGAGGCCCGAGCAATAGTATCTTGGGGCAACGTTTTAAACACCCTCGTACCACACTGCGCCAGTATTGATGTTTACTTGGGGCCTGTCTTAGCTGGCTGGATGGATCGGTTCATGCGCGGATCAATCAGTGCGATCTAATCACTTGTCCTGAAATATTCACATGTTTTCCTCTCGCATCATCATTTCGTCGAATCGGAATTTGGCAGCTTTGGTGTACTCTTGCTCTGGGTGCGCCACTGCACTAGATTCTCCCTCCCGTTCGGACTTGTATTCGGCGAGTGGAGATTCCTCCGCAGTCCGCCCCTAAACCCTGGAAAAATAATTGACTACTCGCCAAGTCTTGGTGCCATGCACATGTCAATCAACCTGGTACTTTCCACTGCTTCGTACCGTAATCATGTCCGAAGAAAACAATAATTTCGTGAGTTCACCAATTCCCAGGATGGGGAGAACTACTCTCGACAGAATCTGTCCTTGTCGGAGGATGCACTAGGTGTTTGGGCGAACCCGTGGCCGCGAACTAGTGAGGTTCCCCAGACACATTTCGTGTCGTCAAAATGGCTACTCTAACAAGCTTCCGAGTGGCCAGTCTCGCCATCGAGTCAGCGTCCCCGGTCGGTCTGGCAATCCGACGGCGAGTGCAAGTCGATGGTGGCGAGCTCCCGTGGTCGGAAGGCCATCTCGTGGGGTTGAATTTGGAGAAGAGTGCAAACTAGCTAGATACCGATGCAGAGTACATACGGACCTTGGCGAGTTAGACATCGCCACCAAGAAGGTGCTGCCTATTCACCAACCGATCCAGGTTGATTAAAAAGGTGCACAATTGGCGACATGATTGTCACTGACCAGTCAGAGTTGGCAATTGTTTAGGGTTTACTTTCGTTTTTTTATCATCACTCTCTCGAGCAGACGAGCACATTCGAATGTAGGGATTTGGCTACATGTCGCCCAAATTGCCGAGTGGGGCATCAGTCTCGGCCGGTATCCGTGCAATGCACCTAACAACAGTTCGAGGGGCCTTGGGCATGACGGCGACACGAACAGTCTCTGTTGGAGACTCTCAGGTGGCCTCGAGCACATTTGTCGCTCTTGAAATCGCAGTCTTGAGGCCACCATCATTCACACATCCGAAACACCACCAGGGTTCGAATAAGCGAACTAACATCGCACCACGCCTCCCTCGCCTCCGTTCCCTTGCACCCTCCGAGCGGACTGACCCCACAGTGGCACCCTTCTCTTTGTCCTGAACCATGATCGTCATCTTCATCATCACCAGTCCCCATTCCGTCGGCCGCAGCTGCTGGCACACCGGATTTTCTGTGTCCTTGCCCTTCCTCTTTCCCTTGCCCTCCTCCCTTCACTTCTGCAGCTGCTGGATCCGCCCCCGCCCCTTCAATGGCGCCGGTGCAGTACCGAGCTACCAGCCTCTCGGCCTCGGATCGAGCTTGACGTTAGAAGCTTCTTCTGCTGGACAGTGTGACCCGATGTGCAATTACGGGGCCCGAGCTCAGCTGGATTTGACTGCATAGTACAGCCCGGCAACCCTTGTCCCAACACACATGCTCGATGATTACATCATCTTTCGCAACGTGGGGTCACATCATCTGGTCGTCGAAATTGCGTTGAATTCCTTTGCCAGTACTGAGCGCTGCTGGGACGAAGCCCTATCCACTCAGACACACTTATTCGGCTGCGCTCCGGACAGAGCAAAACGCTCGAGCGAACCGTGCACCGACCTTCCTTCCTTCCTTCCTTGCCGTGATACAACACAAATATCATGATCATGATTTTCGGGCGCCCCATCGACCCTGGCCCGATCTGTGGTTCCGTTCCTCTTGCTCGCTGCGCATGAGCAATCGCAATCCGAAGCCCCGAGGCCCGAACCCTTCAGATCGTCCACTGTGCACAGAGAGAGGCGCTCTGCAGTTGGGGATCGCTAACGAAATGGTGGCGCGGCGTGTTCTCCCATTCGGGCACAACCCCAAGTCAATGTCGTTGAGGTTGTGCGAGTGGGTTGCCCCGGTTCTCCGCGCCGCAAAAACCACCAGGGCTCGCTCGTAGCAGGCCCCTCGCCTCGCCTCCGGAACTATCGATTTCGGCTCAGAACGCTCCGCTCGGTTGGTGGAATCGTGTGGTACGTCTTCGAGGCCTCGATGCCATGGTTTTGGTCATTATCAGTACTGACCGAGTCGTTCCGCTGGGCAAGCGGGGACACCCCGAATACCAACACATGACTGTCAGATCGTTGCGCGCTGACCTTCTATGCTGTGCGCATAGAAGGCAATCCGATGCCCCACTGGCCTTTATTATTCTATTCTTGTATGCACTTGTATTTACAAGCCCGGAGAATCTCCTGCCAACTTAAGAGCTTCCGAGTTCCGGCCCGGATGATGACGCAACCTTGTCCAAGCACGCGATGCCGTAGACTTGACTCGAAGCAATCCCCTGCCCGCGCTGGACATCCAAGTCTGCACAGGGAGTTCACTTCACGGATCGCTGAGGATCACTCTCGCTGTCATAACTCGTCGTACGGACTCCCCGGCCTCGGGCTGACTCGGAATCGCGCTCGTGAGTTTCGCTTTTGAGGGGATGCCACATTTTGTGACACCCGTCTTCCCCGAGTGGCCGATGCCAATATGCTGCCACGTCCTGGTGGCGGTTCGGGGCAAGGATTGCGCTCATGTTTTGCAGCTTCTGTATCTTCGTGATTGGACGAGGAGATTGTTGCCCCCGTTGACTTCGGACCCCTGATAACTACGACGTCCAGTAAACTATTTGCCAGCCAACCTGTCCACTGTGAGGAGTCCATGGTGTGTCTGTAATGGCGCGGGTGTTGCCTCACTGGCTACGTTGTATCGAATGAAATCAGCTCGGCTTATCTTGACTACTTACTTGCTCCAAAGTTTTGGGAGAAACGGAACGCGACTCGTGCTTTCGACCTTCCGAGAGAAGGACGAGGATGGTCAGACAGTTAACAGAATCGAAGATCGTGAAACATTCGTAACAGATATCACACATGAAACGATATATGGCTGATAAGAGCCGAGGCCAGAAAGATGAGCAATCGACTTCAATTTCTTCGTAGGAAGTGTACAACATATGAACATATTTTCGGCAACTGGTAATGTACATTTGATTTCTAAAATTTCCGAGGCTATTGCTCGAATGGAGACCAATTTGTTTCACACCACCGCAGGACTATAACACACTCTTCAGTTGGCCTTGCTACTGTAGGCTGAAAGAATCCAGTACCGACACTACTACAAACAGTACTCCACCTTTTCACAAGCTTTTCCATAATCGTCCCCTATACAACTAACTATCTGCATAGGCCTTATTTCACAAGCAGGACGAGGACATCATCCTGGCAAAAGTGGCTAAATGTAAGAATAAAAGTACACATTTAAGCTAAGGAAAAACAGCACAGGCGTCTGATGAAGGCCGCTGGCTGCTAGCTCCACCAGTTATCGATGTTGCCTTCCCCCACTACACCTGGCGTCAAAGTGGGCAGCGGCATCCCAAACCCCACGTCTGCTCTACCAGAAAATGCCATGTGAGGATGCGAGTGCAGACCCATGGACCGATGAGCTCCAGCTGAGGAATTGTCCGTCATCGGCCTTGAAGATGTCAATCCGGGGTAAGGAGCTATGGGTAACACTGAGTCTACGCTTCTACTCCCTCCTTCATGTGTCAGCCGCCGGTGCTCAGCGACATCCATGGGACCGTCAGAGTAGGATGGCAAAACTCGAGTTTGGCCATGGCTGGGGTCCACTTGTGAATCCGAGTCTCCACTATCACTCTGATGGTTTGAAGAAGGTTGTCCAGAAAACGCAGCATCATCGTCTCCTCCGTCCTGGAAGAACGAAATGAAACTCTCACTTCAGTAGAATCCAAGGCCTCCATGCCAAATCCCATCAAGACGACCCATCAAGCTCGGCTGACTCGTGTCTAGACCCTGTTTCTAGACTCTGCTAATCTGGACCTCGGCTACATCGCGGGCCGGACCAATTCCGGCCACCAGGTCACTAGTTCCACGAATTGCTGCTGCTGAGAAGGAGAGGAGGTGCTCTGCGTAGACCCAAAGAATGTTGGCTTGATCCGGGAGGCGGAACAGAGCCATGAGAAAATGCAAATCCGCTGCAGGCAGGGAGATGATGACTGTGCGATGAGACTAAGCTAGCGTAGTTACACGAATTACAAAGCCGACTGACTCGAGTCGGCGTCAGCCAGTGCCGCAGATAGTTACCGAGGGCGGTTGCGTGGCGGAAAGCATCGCCAGGTGCTGATCTGAGGAATCTGGTCTGGCGGCATCCGGATTGGCCTCGAATGCGGGCATGAACAATTTCCTCTCTTCGAACTCGGGGCTGGACAAGTTGATGGAGAGATTCCTCATCAGCAGAAGCACGGTCTCGCGATCGATTGGGGCCATCTCTTTCAACTTCTTCAGATTGTGGTTGCTGTTCATGCCGGGATCGAACACGTTCCCGATGAACTTGTAAACCTCGGCAAAATCAGGAGTGGCTGCAAAAAGAAGAATGAGCAACGAGTCAGACCCTGCCAACCCGTCAAATCCAATCTCCCTCCCTCCCTCCCTCCCTCCCTCCAAACCAACACGATCGACAAGACCCGACAACAGACAGCGAGGGGGACGAAATGGGCACCTCGGAGATCTGTGGTGATGGGCACCACCGGCGGCATGGAATGGTACTGCCAGCTCCCAGAGTTGCTCCCGATGCTGCAGCTTTGAAAATTGCCTCGCCTCGGCAAGCAAGGCTCGGATTGCGTCGGCTGGGGGTTCAATGTGCGCGCCAGAACACCGGGCTGCTGAACTGCTGACACTGCGCAGGCAAGGCGGCGCGAGACGTTCATTCACATGTCAGGCACGTGGAACGAGCAACGAACGAGGCACGAAACGAGTTCTAGAGTCCGTACTCCGCTAGTCGTTGCGCAAACGCCCCGACGATTAGTCTTAGTCTAGCGTCGGGCGAGCGGCCCGGGGGCACGAGGCCCCGTTCCGCTCGCGGAGGCAGGCACCGGGACTCACCAGCCTTGGGCGCCTTCTGGGGATACGGCTGCGCTGATTTCCGCTTAGGTCGCGGAGGCGGCACATGCTCGCCCGTGCCGTTCTTCTGCACCTTGAGAAAATACTTCTGCGCGTGGCTTCTGATTTGAATTACGGACTTGGACCCGACGAACGCCTCGATCTTCTTCCAGTCCCGATCGAACCTGCACAGAGCCAAACATATATCGGTCATCGATCAAACCCCCATTTCTCAACAGCCCCAGCATCGTCATCCTCATCCTCATCGTCGCCGTCGTCGTCGCAAAGTGGACGACATGCGACCGTGACCTACATGTACGTTGTCGTCCCTAGCACTGCAGGCGCAAGCATTCTATCCGCTGCTGACAGAACTAGCCCACGACCCCGAAGGTCAAAGGGTACTGTCAGGCGGATTGCGCCACGAGAACGTGCCAGCTTCGTCCGAAGCTCGGATCTTTGCTTGGGGAACAAGACTCACGGGAGGAGATGCTTCGGCATGTCGAGGGGTGAGCTCATCCTCGCCCTGTCCCGTGGCAATTAGCCGGCATCCGACAGCGCTCGATGGAGCTGCTTGCCATGCGAGAGCTCGGCGTCCTCCCGGCCCACGGTCCGAGAGAGCACGCAAGACAAGACATGCTGCTGGGCCATGTTCAGACACTAAGCATGGTAACCTCGGAATGAACAGCAGGCGCAGCTCGAGGGCCGCTCCGAGCTAGCTCACTTGCAGCTCTTCCGCAGCAGTCGGGATATGGCCATCATCCCTTGATGTTGTCAGCTGTGTTCCTCGTGCCTTCTGCAGCCTTGGCCGGTAAGACCTGGCTCTGAACGACGATCACAGCTAGAGTGGGGGAATTCAAGCCTGTCCTGAGCGAAGAGCTCAGTGAGAATCCCTTATGCCCTGAAGACTCTACATCGAAAAGTGGAAACGGGGGACTCTCGTGGAGGCAAGACAGCAGGAATCTTCAGTTGCCCCACTTTAAGGGTTGCAGAGGAAACCTACGGCAGCTCTTAGATGAGAGCAGAGGATGGAAGAGAAGCCGGGATCATGGGGGTTCAGAATCAAACTTACAGTTGGAGTGCTTCGAGAAACTTGTCGTGCTCCTGCTCTGTCCAGCTCTCGCGAGACTTGGTGATAGTGTACGGTTTGCGGACTTTTTTGGAACCCTCCTCGGAGCCTTGTGGCCCCATGCCAGAAAGTGCTGGTGAACCAGCAGCCATGACTCCTAACATCTCGACATTAAAGTACCTGACGACCACTAGCGAACCATGAGCCTCGACCTTGTGTCAACACCCTCGCTGTGAATCCACTCAATTCTACAAGCCTCCACGGCCTCTGTTTCCCACCTGTCGTCTCTATCGCTTGCTCTGCAAATTCCGATCCGCGCTGCTCTCCAATCCGCACTCTACTCGGACACAAACGGGGCTAAGCAGTCCGAGACCGAATCCGCACAAGGCCTCAAGAAGGAATCCAACCGAGCAGCCAGCCACGAGCTGTTGTACCTTTCCAGCTCTACTCACAGAGTCGGGAGTGGCACTCTATTCCGACATCACGAACCCCTGAAGAATGCTAGAAGCGAAGATAGACTGAATACACGGCGACCCGATCTACTTCACCGCACTAATTCCACTACGTTCATCCATACGATACACACCTCCACCTTCCCCCTGATGGCCCAAACGTCCTTCGACCAAATCGAGCACTGCCGCAGTGACTCACTCACTGTCTATCGACACAAGTCCGAAGGAGATCGGAGAAAGCACAAGATCATGGTTAACAGCTAGCAATTGATTTCCAGCAGGTTATCAGTGTAGGCACACCACAGCGGAATCCGAGCGCTCTTATCTACCTAAGAAGGCCGAGCGCACATGACAAGAGCTTGCACTGAACTCTGGAGCAGCGGGTTCGCTTGGAAGTTGGTAAATAAGGAGTGTGGGAAAGTCAGTGAGGCAGTGGTCAGTCGGCAAGGCAAGGCTAGGCTAGGCAAGGCAAGGCAAGCGAAGTCGAGGAGGATTGAGTGGGCAGATTGGTCCTCAGATGGCGGGCTGAGAGAAAAGGCCAGCGGAAGATGGATGGGAGAATGATACCCGCAGGATCAAGCTCGGAGGAAGGTCAGGAGCGCAGGGAGAAGAGCTCTGAGAGGACACAGAGGCAGGCAAGGAAGCGGTAGACGCTGCATCAGATGTGCTGTTGTTGTTGGTGTGGTCTGGTGTGGTGTGGTATGGTGCGGTCTGGCCTCCGGTGTTGTGCTGTGCTGTGCTTGGGGCGACGGGAGCCCAGGGACGGGTGGGTGTGAACTCTGAGTTTTTCCCTGCGTACTCCTTCGTTCTCCTCTCTTCGAGTCTCTGTGCCTGATGCTGATCCGTGACTTCCGTGCTCCGCTCTGCTTGAGAAGGCAGGTCGTCCGTCCACGAAGCAGGGTGCCAAATGCTCGAAGAAGTGAACACGGGGTGGCACGTGGCGGCGCGCCACTGGCTCGGGCTCCTGTGCAGAGAAACGCATCCAGCCCGTAAGTTCCAATGCGCGCACGCCACGGTTGTCGATCGGAAGGACAGATATCCACATCTCGTACACTGGATCCATCTTGCAGCGTCGGATCTCCAGCTTCAGCATTGGCCCATACCAGTTATGTTAATATCAGGGCGCGAAAGCTTAGCGGCGAGGAACACGCCCCTGTCGAGCTTCGGCCTCATTCTCCGCGGCCGCTAAGTTTTAACTGCCCCGTTGTGGGACCTTGTGCCTCGCTGCGCTCTTTGGCAGCGCTTCGCCAAGTCTGGCCCAACGGCCCGCTTGGCCGACCCCCAGACTTGGTGGCACCGGCGTCCTCGTCCTGCCCTCCAGGGTACGCGACTCGTGATTCGCTGGTTCCGGTCCGTCCCGTCTGGTAGATTTTGATTTCCTCTGGTTATCCAGAATCTATTGAAAGGTGTAGAACTACCAGCTTGGCAGCCAATGGCATCGCTACACGTTTTCCCTCCACTTCCCCTCCGTAAACCGAACCCGCCTGGCATCACGGGTCGGGCTCCCGCCCCCGACCCGACCCGACCCGACCCGACCCGTCATCGCCACAACCTGAGAACCAGCAGCAAGCCGTCGGCCACGAAGACTGCGGCGCCGCAGTTCGCCAACCTGTTCCTCTCTACTGAACTCCCGGGTACCTACCGGTAGAGTGGCTTACAATACGGCCATACCTTCCTCGTCCTCGACGCGTTTCAAGTCTTAACCCTCAGCCGAGGTTTCGGAGGAGAACCAAAATCAGAGCGTGGCGAGAGACCAGAAGCCCGCCAACTGTAGAGTTCGCGGTTCCGCCTCCCTCCACTAACTAGATCGGTGCCTCCAGCTCCGTAACCGTGGTCTACTCCATCGCGGCTCGCTGTGTGCTCTGTAACCCACTAACAGCTACGCTGCCGGGATGTCCGCATCCGTTGACACCAGGAACGGATTTGGGATTTCCCGGCCTTATCCCGGTTTTATTTTAGCCGGTGGCCTCGTTCGTTGCTAAGCATTTGATGGCTCGAGAATTCAGAGAGAGGCAAGTTACCAGTGCACTGTCTTCAATCCAATAATAGTTTCTGAAGGCATCGTATGCCACCTTCTTACAAGCATTAGTTTCTTCTCATCGTGGAAGAATGTCTTTCTTCTTCACGGAAAAACCACCTGAAACCAATTCGCAGTCAAAATATCCGAGGAAGACATTCGTACAAGAATTTCTAATGCATAGGTTTGTACTGATATTGGTGACAAGTGACAAGAGGCCAATTTGTGAGTCTATTAATAATTCATCCTTTTCTGTCATATCCGAGTACAAGAGGTTTAGAGGCAAAATATCTTCTCATACAGCGTAACCTGCTGTATCCGGTTTACTCCTCCTCCTTGACCTGCCCTCCCAGTTACCCATGATCATTCGCTCGATCCGAGCTCGACGGAGGAGTCTATCGGGAATCGGGAAGTCGCTCGACGCCGGACGCACATCTGTCGACGACCCGTAGAAAGACCCTCCCCTGAAGACTCTCTGGGTCTGTACTGAAGTCTCCAACCCTATTAATAGGATGAAAACGGCTCCCGCAAAGGCTCATGATATCACCAATGGCTCTGGAGGCCTTGTTACCCCACTTTTCCTCACATGCTCTCTTTCCGACATCCGTGAATTGTTCCGTGTGATACAGCAACGAGACGGGAAGACCCTGATGAGGCTTCGGCCTCATTCCCCGCACCTGCAGAATTTTTACTGCCCCTTGTGGGACCTTGTGCCTCGCTCTTCTCCGTGGACTGGGTTCACTAGCTCGGTCCAGCAGCCTGGCCAACCTAACCCCCAAACTTGGCGGCATCAGCCTCGTCGTCCTGGTCCGCGACTCGTGATTCGCTGTTTTCAGTCCGTCCCCATTGAAATCAATCACCTACCGTGCGTGCGTTCATGGGGGATTGCACCAATTTGTGTTTTCTCTAGAGCTGTGTATGTTCTATATCAAAATCAGAGTACTCCATATAGTAATGAAAAAATATCCACGCAATTTAGAATAGTGTGCTTTAGTGTGCTCAGTTTTACCCAGTTCTAAGTTCAATCAAATACAACGATTAGTTTACTACGTTTTTATTTTATAATTTGATTTTTTATTTGCATGATAACTACTCATTTCGATATTATTTCGCATGTATAATACATATCTACCTCGATGACCTAATACTCCCAAACCAAAAATAAAACAACGCAAGCTCTATCAACTACGACTCTTAAATATTATTGTGCTCTACAGATGGCCGATTGTTACAAAAAAATTCTTTGGTGGCGTACGTTTCGAGGGAGCTCCAACCATAACCCCTGGAAGGAAGCTGGAACTTGAGAGACAAATTATCATTCCTCTGCAAGTTTAAGCTATCACCTAGCACTATTCATGGGCAGTTTTAATCATTTGGTCGCATTTGATCATTGGCCCTAACAGTCCGTTCTTATTTTCACCTGTGTATGCTTGACAATAGTCAAGAAACGCAGTCCTTACCATTACTTTACATGATTTGAATGGACAAGACGAACAATACGAACAATCGTGAAGAATACTTACTTGTTGACATAAACGACGGTTTCCCCTATATCAACCTTTATTTAGAGCAAGGTCTAGCTGAAGTTGGTGACCAATACAGTAATTATATCCTCAGGTAAAACAAACTTAGTGTAAAAACAAGTTTGAGACCAAATTCGTGTTTCGCATTGAATTGCATAAGGCCTGCCTCTCTGTTGAAAATTTATATTTTTATGATTCATAAAATTGCATAAGGTGCAGTTCACATAGATTGAATCAATCTACTACGGAAATATACTGACATAGCTAAACAAATATTTATTGCAGAGCTTAGGACAGACAAGAAACTATGCGTGATAAGAAGAAGGTAGAAAAGGAATGAAATGATTTTAAAATCACATCAGCACAAAATTTTTCCAGTCACTTTTCCTGTTGCATTGCCTCTATGGAGACAAAGCTGATTGAGATAAATATTAGTCGAAGTTTTTTAAGTTAGCATATTTATCACAGCTGGAGACCTGATAGGATATCATCATTTATTTTTTGCTAGTTATAACTTGACTCTTCTTTGCTCTAAGTCATACATGATACAATATACAATAAGTTTGCATGTATTAACGTTTCGTTTTTTAACGGACTAAGATTCACATAGATAAGATACACAAATAAATTATCATGATTGAATCACCCACAATTTAATTTCATATTTACATTGATGTCTAATATTACAACTTAAATTAACACACAATGAAAGTTTCATCTTCATAATGAAATATATTTCAGATGAGTAGTGAAAGGAATTAGCATCAGATTAATTTTGCAGTTCATTAAAATTAGATTGTCATGTTCACTACCATTTTATAATCTCTCATGTTATGAATTACATTTGCAAGCCTAATCATTCGATTATCAATTAACGAGCCATTTTTAAAATTTTGATGAAATGTCTTATCATGATGACATTTTCACTATATATTAAATTTTTTTGCTTCACATAGAAATATGAAAGCTACATGAGAACATTTAAAGAAGGGCTGCAAACAATACTATTTTTAAGTTTATCTATCTGTTGATTCTCAAGTTAAGCTACATAATAATACTCATTAGCTTATCTTTGTCTTGGATAAGATATTGAATAAGTTATAGAATAATTAAATTAGTGAAAACTTCATCTTGTGTATATGACTGATATCATCATTAAGGTAATTTTTCATATGTCATTTTACATCAAATCATAAGCAAAAAACTATGATAAAAATCTTAAAATATTTTTTATACAAATAATCATTATTTTTTATAAATCTTTAACATTTAATCTTGTTTTCTATTTTCATAAAAAAAATATGAAATTCTAGATGAAAAAAATTAATTCTTTTAAATATAATAATTTTATATTTTATATTTTGGTAAATTAATGAATTATAATATTTCAATTTTTTTATATAATATTATAATTTAAAAATTGTAATAATATTTATAAAAAATGTGTAACATAAATATAATCTTACAAGTTCAAATATTTTAAAAAATAATAATGAAATCTGAAAGCTTTATTATATATATTATGAATATTATAATTCATCATTGAAATTTCACTAAAAAATCATATCACATTTTTAAAGCTGTAATGGTTCATCATAAAGATTATTAGTGAAACGATTTGATCAAAATAAATCATTTTCTTAATGAAAGTTTTTTATGAAGATAATATGAAATTATAATACATAGTTATGTTTATAGATATGTTGATTTCAATAGTATTGTATGATATTGGCAAACATATTTTGGATATTAAATTTGTAGAAGTATCCAAAATATTTGTTTCAAATGTCAACATTTTGAAAAAAGTTGTACTTCAATCTTGGTATAGGATTATTCATATTGCTTGATAATAATTTATTTTAATCTTCACATTGATTATATTTTATTTATATTGCTGTCATGTTTGATTTCTTGTATCATTGAGTATACGATTATTGATTATTATAATTATGTGAAACAATTCACAATAATTGATATTATTGAGGTTTCTTTAAAAGCCATGGTGATAATGAATATATCAAAGTTAACTCTAACATTTTAAATTGATAAAAAATTATGGAATTTTTTTAAAATTTCAGAGTGCATGTTTACAAAATTATAACATGTTCAGGAAGAATTAATCATACATAATGGTTTAATATATCAAGATTGAAAACCAAAGTAACTTTTTGTAATAATATGCATAAATTTATCTTTTTGAAGCTGTGAATTCTGTGAGATATTGCAAAAAAAAAAAAAACATAATAGAAAGCTATAATATCACTTATTTGGTTGCAAAACAAATCACATGCAAAATGTTTCAATTGCTTTACTGAATCACATCTCGATGCTATATGATAAAATACGCACATTATCTATGCATACAAGATTGTTATTTAGTTGTGTAGAACCTTTTCTTATCTATATAGTTCACAAATTTCAAAGAATTGTTGCATTTTATACTTATGATTATGTAGCTATTGGGACTATTTACCAATAGCTACATTATCTTTATTGGGTATTATCTTTATAATTTTTTTATATTATCTTTATAGATGCGATGTACTTTTTTCGGTGGTTTTTGAATTTTTAATGTAATAATCATAAATCTCCATATTTTTTTCAATACTAGTTTCAAATATATGCCAAAAAATATTTGCATTAATCTTTTCAGAAAATTCTCTTTACATTTTGATTAAAATGCTATCACACGATGGTGCATAGCTGGCATGAGATCAATTTTGAACCAAGTCTATTAGAAATAAGTCCTGAATGTGCAATAGATTATAACTTGGAAGGTTAGACTGGTCAACTCTTTTGAAGATTAATCCAACCATAAGAACAATCCTACAGCTGTATATCTCGAGAAAATAGTTTAGAAAGATAATCTGATGAATATTAGCATCAAAGTTAATTTGAGGAATTTCCCAGAGAAAGTCCATATGCGGAAAAAAACATTCATTTGGAATGTATGAGATTTTTTCCGTGCAAAGAAGCGGAAAAGGCCAAAGGAAGGGAGGGATGGCCTAAATATATCGATGCCTGTAGCTAAGAAATAGGAAAATTGTCAGGATTGGCCAGGGACGAGCGCCCGCAACGCGCGACGGCCAGCCGGTGCGAGAGTCCACGACCGGGTGCAGCCCGTAATGTCAACGTGAGAGAAACGCGAGGTCAACTTGCAGGACCCGGAGGGCGGAGCGTAGGACTCGAAGCTCCGGCTGGAAAAAGAGTCTAGGACAACAGAAGCCAGCAACCGTCGGGGCAGAAGACGACAAAACCGCGACAGAAAGAAATCTTCGGTGCAAGCACAGTCCGAGAAATCGCTGCGAGATCTCGGTGTCGACTTTTCAGGATCTTATTCTGCATTTAGCAAAGGTTTTGCCTCGGCTCGTCCAATAAGAGGCTACCAATACCGAGTGCGGCCACTGACCAGTCGCTATTTGCAGCCGCGCCCCGGGACTCCTCCGACTCCTTCGCGCTCCTCCGCTGACATGACAGACAGGTACGGACGGCGAGCTGTGAGCATCACCAACTCTTCACTTCTCGTCGCTCCAGCTCGTCTCGGCCCGTGGACGTATACTCCTCCTCATTCCCTTTTGGCCGGCCTGCGACTCACGTGCCAAATCGGGCACCCGAACATGCGCGACCCCGCGGCTACCAGCTCGACCGGTCGCGGCCGGCCCCGTCCACCGCGAGCCAAGTATCGCCCGTTTTGGCGCTCGCCTCTGCCAGATAAGATGGCCTGGCCGCGGAGCGCCACTTTTTGAATTTATTGCCCGCCTGCCTGCCCGCCCGCCCGCCCGCCCGCCTGCCTGCCCGCCTGCGTCGGTCAGGAGGAGCCGGGACGAGCTCGCGTGTACTTGCCCTGCGCCAAGATGCCGTGAATGCTACGTTCGTGCAGCTCGCAATCCTTGCGTTGTGGCGAGCATGTGGATCTTTAAGAGCAACCTCGCTCTCGCTCGGCCTCTTGCGCCATCTCTCGTTGGCGTCGGGATTTTTCTCGCCCTAGACCATTTTCTTCTTCCTTGCTTCCTTCCTTGTCTGCGCTGGTTCGAAGTCCACGGAACATGCCAGCCGATCAATCCGATCGGGGGAGATTCTGGAGAATCCGCGGAAGGATTAAATATCTTCGCATAGGTTCCTCTGCATATCCGCGAATCGTAGGTCTAACCCTTCCTGCTGCCCAGCGCAGTCCTGGCCCGCTATCCTCTGGCGCAGCGTTCGAGCTTCGAACACTTCCGGTGAGAAGTGTTTTCTTGACATGGATTGAGGAATTGTGCGCGGAAGACTACCGTAAGTAGTTCGTACTCTCGAGGTATGAAACCATCGCGATTCCCTTGGTGACCGGTGAATAATCTTTGATATGGGGAATCTGGAAGGGCCTAATTCGTACGGCACTTCAATCATGTTTGCATTGTGTCAAAACTGATATGATTTCTTCATCGTTCCATAGTTGCTTGGTTCGTGGCTCCTGTGATACTTCCCAAAGCATGCGTGTTTTTCCGTTCGTATATATGTCTCCTTCTTTTTCGCCTTTGTTTTGCACATGTTCGGTAAAATGACCTTTTATCGATTCCATTAATTAACAGCCGAATCAAAGTGATCAATGAAAAGATCAAGAGTCTTCGCTACAGTGGAGCTTGAAGCTTGGCAACATCTTGGAGCTGAGCTAAGTCAACAGAGGAAGATCTTGAAAGAGTTCCCTGGATTCCGATTAGATTATATGTAGATTTTCTGCTGGATCTACACATCCCCGTTCGAGCTGAGAACGAATATTGTGGCGAGACAACATGTTTCTGTAACGTGTACACATGACATTGATTTGATCAGCAATGAGTCATCACATTGTTCAACAATTCCAGTGTCTTCTCAGTCATGTACATACTGAAGACTCCTCAAAGCAAGCAGGGCTGGAAAAGTGATGGATCCAAAGCCTAATGCTCGCGAATATAGACTTGAATATTTTCGTCATGACATTTTCCCCTTTTCATTTGCCCATTTGCCGTAATAAAAATATTTTCTGAATTTTCATATTAAATTTGATATACATATATATATATTTAATGTTTAACGTTGACAAGGTAAATATTCTTTTTGCTCAATAGATTTTTGATAATCACCTGGAATGTCTCCTGCAGGTAACAAAACCTTGCGCATCTAGAGCAGACCTAGTGTCCGCCTACCTTATCACCACGAGTTCCATTATGCAACCAAGGACCCACAGCTTTGAACTGCAGATCCAACACTAACAATCAATTGATCTAACATATCTCAAGAATTGTCTTTATTTTCATCCAAACGAACTGAAACCGTGAGTCATCCATCATCCTTATGTCATCACTACGTTTCTCAACCTAGACTCTGGATTCCTCGTCTTATACTTCCCGTCAGTTGGCCCTGTGACATTTTTAGAAGGCCCCATCCACGAGACCTATTTATGCTCATCGGCCATGCAGTGAAATGATTGACTTGTGGATTTGGAGCGGCTGCTGCATTTTGTTATTTCATGCGACCCAACTAGTCAACGTGACTTGCTCACGTATCATAAAGTTCAAGCTGTTTCAAAAATCTTTGTTGTGTCTTCTTTGAGTGCATGCAAATCGGATTACTTCATAAAACTCAAGCTTCAGAACGCATTCCACCAAGTCCAAGATGTTCGGCTCCCTTGATCACATCTTCTTTCCGATCATTCACATGTTGTGCGGAGTTCTGCTTCTGGGTCCTCTGCTCATTCGCGTCGTTTGCCCAAATTTCACCAGCTTGTCACAGGACTCCGTTACTGATCTCTCGGCTTGTCACAATAGACGACTGTTTTGTGTAGGTGGAGTACTACATTTTCTGCTACTCGGCCTAGCCCGATCTTATCCCCTTTGTTTCATCCATGGGTGTTTGTCTATATCAAAGCTTATCATAATTAAATCTAATTCATATACAATCAAGAGGTGAGCTCTACAATCTTAGATATACTGTTCTTAGCTTTCAAGCAATGTTGTAAAAGTATTTACACCTTCTACTTGGCTAACATTGAAATATATTTTCACTCAACAAAGGTTGAATGAGGAGTGAATGAATGTCATCGCATGGATAGTCAAAACAACGTTAGTTATGAACTCCATATATTTGGAAGATATGGATATTGTTCTTTATTTTCCAGATGCAACTGAAACATATATAACGTCACTTCCAATTTGCTTTATTTTAGGGGGTAGGTTGAAATCTTGCTGGAAAAAATCTGATGGTCAAGATATATCATAGAGAATTTGGTAGAAAACATGTCCTTCATAATAAGTCATTTTATATAAAAAATTATTTTTCATACAGTGTGATTCATTCACTTCTCATGCAACCTTTGAAGACTGTTGTTTGATATGAAAGAATTTCCAGTGATGAGTAAGTAGATAATCTAGAAATCCCTTGCAAAATTGTTCATCTAAGATTTGCAGAGTTCAACATTCCGTTTTTTATGAATAAGGTTTAATAATGGATTGATTATGTCTATCTTTCTCGATTGGTTTACCGTGTTGTAAATCGGAGACGATAGGAACGCGAAGGAACTCTGAGGCCAAGAGGAATCGAGGTATCCTCGTCGAGTTCATCTTTTGACCGAGACGAGGCTGTAGCACGTTGAGTCATCAAGCAATTCATCAGCATGGAGCGAACGTGTAGAAAAGAGCAACTCAGCATCATGTGATGGGGCGGTTGTCCGAAGCACTCTGGACTTAAACGCATCGAATTAAACTCCAACGACGATAGTCACGTCACACATCTGGAGGCTACCCAACTGCAGACGTATCGAAGGACATGAACATGCAAGGTTTACATTAGAACACTGTGTTGACATCATCGGACCCCAGAAGCGAATGAACTCGAGCCATCCAGAAATGGAAGGCTTTTCGATCGTTTAGAGACTCTGTAAAGTGAGAGTGAAAAGTATCCGCAACTTACAGGCCCTACTCGCAACTTCGGCTAGGCACATTGCAAGGAAAAGCAAATCGTTGAACGGCCCAGGTCCGAGGGCCAGAAGGATAGAGGCAGATGTCATGATGGAGGGCACATTCCCGGACGGAAGAAGAAAAAGAGTGGTATTGGACCAATGGGGCAAGTGGTAAAAGCACATATTTCGACCGAGCCGGCTTTGGCTCTGGGCTTGGCAGCGATTGGACAAGTTTGACAGGTCGGGTACACGACGTGCTTATGGATCTCCTGTGCCAAACTGGGCCCAACCCCAGGGTTGGATTTTGGATCATCAGCTCAGTCGGTGTCTTGCAGCTCCACCTTTTCCTAGACCCAGAGGCGCGGAAACGAGGGCTGAGGATTTCACCAATTTCATACATGCATGACTCCTTAGGCAGCCTCGACAAGCTGCCGCGCAAGCAATGCCATTTCCGAGCTATGCATTTGAGAGTGGTTCATAGTGGAATTTGCAAATCCATATTCTTCACATGAGTGCATTAAGTATCATCAACGAGAAATTTGCGAAGGATGGAGAAACACGAGTATTTAAGTGACGACAATTCATTACTAGCTTGTCTCTTGGGGAACTCTGACGGTTTTCAGTGCAGATACAAAGCCGAAACGACGAACGAAGGGCTCTGCAACGTCGATAATTAGTGGTGAATGCTTTCCACAGCTGATCAAACGGCTGCATCAAGTGAGCATATACAGAGGTAAATTTTACTCTATAAACATTGCCAACTTAGAATCGGCCGACAGGCCTAATACTAGTGCCCCAGGAGGTCCCCATGTTCAAATCAAAATCCAGTTGTTATTTCTCGACCCGAAATCCCCGGACAGCATCATCCAATTTGAGATTGCAAATCGTGTCACAGAAAACAGAGCGCATAACATGTAAGTAACTGTAACTCGATCGTCCACGTTCCGTTGGATCAAGAGATGCAAACCTTTACACTAGAGGACTCATTAATTGGGGAACTGGCCAATCATGAGGCACAGGGACAATGATGGATGTATCGGGTTGTGCCGAAAATCGGTCGAAGAAGTGTTTGTGCACTAAAGAATCTACTGAAACATGCTGTATGGGAAGACGTCGAACAATGGAAAACGAAAGCACAAAAAAATTACAACGATTCGAAAGTAAGATTGGAGGCAGGGTCGTGGAGAACTTGGTCGACACAAGGAGTGACTGAGACCGCGGAATCAAACGCTGTAGATCTCAGATGGACGAAGAGGTAACTTTGTAATCGATATTCCTGCCATGTGCATGGCACATAGCAGAGGAATCTTCAGCAGAACATGATATTGTGGGTCTTAGATTTAGTCCTCTTGGAAGCTTTTTCGTCGAAAAAAACCACTTTTAAGGGATATTTGTATACGGCCTCTTCTGTTGAAAGGCTCAGTCAAAAGACAAATCACGTGCAATTCTTGAATGCTTAAGAATGCCAGTGTTTGTTTGACGAGACGAGCCACTCCCCCATCCAAACCCGCAAGGCAGACAAGGTAAGGCAGCTGCCCTAGCATGGTGCCACACACACCATGCTAGGGCACCATAGCTACATTCATGTTTGCTCACTCGCACACCCAAAAAATCTTTGCTGGTACCATGTACGTTATTCTCATTTGACCTTCCTCCAGCTTTTTCCTGTCAATTCGACTTTAGCATCTCTCGGAATTGTACTCTGTGACGAAGGCAAATTAAGCGAGGGTTTGCACTTCAGCTCAGATTAAACTTAGTACCACTTCTGTAACAAGTGGTCAACATGTGTACTCTTATCCAGTGACGCTTTTTGGGGTGAATACGGCGTACGCGGTACCCATCACTCGGAGAGCATTCAGAATCGAACACGTCCCACGGCTGATACAAAAGCAGAAATTAGTTCCCTTCTAGCTGAGCGAGAAGAGTGTGGTCCGGCAAAGGTTCATCTGTTATCGAGAGCATCTATATCAGAGAGTATTCAGAATCGAGCACGTCCCAAATTTGTAGCAAAAGCCTACATTAAAACGCTTCTAGGTGAGCTAGGCCTGCCACTTCAGAGGTCTGGTCAGGTTCAGGAAGATGGCCGTAGCCAGCAGTGTCGAAGTAGCTGTCACTAGTGAAAAGTAAGTCGTGCAACAAATGCACAGTTTGGACCTTCCTTTAAATCCCGCACCCTCGACTTGCAACCGGCAGCAGGGCCTTTTTACAGCCATCTGATTCAGTCAGCGAGTCCCTGGAATTCTCATACGATTGACCCCTGTACATACGGCTACGTCCACGAGTACCCGTGGCGTACATCTGAGCCGGAGTATTGATCGTCTAAAATTCATCACCTCTCGACTCTTCGGAGTTCCACGATCATCAACGTGATCACGAAAATCTGAACGACTTGCAGAGGTTTCATTCCGTGTACAGTATTCTAAACTGGATTAGAATGTCAACTTCAGGTCCCAAATGGATATCTTGGGCACTGGAAGCTGTTACTCTCAGATCCTTTTCCTTGAATGATTTTTATAATTTCAGTAACTCCAGTTGCAATTACCAAAAAAACCCATCTTAAAACTATTGAAATTTTTTAACTTCAATATATATATATATATATATATATATAAAAGGAGGAGTTAAATAAATATACAAATTCATGTGTAATGATGAACATGTACATTAAACAAGCTAACTTAATCTAATTGTATATAACACTCAGTGTTAGTATTCAAAAATACAATACTTTAAAAAAACCTAATAGTCAAAATTAAGTATGCAAATTAACACGTTTCGTAATACTAGTGTATCGTACAGCGATAAATGTGATTAAATAATAATATAAATATGATTAAATATATGATTTTTTCAAAATATTGACTTTAGAGAGAATTTTGAAGAATAGAACATTTCAAATCTTAACAGGATATTGTCATTATAATGAAATAAACCTTTTTATAATTCAGCGCAATTTTTTTTAATGATGAATAAGGAAAAATATTATTTAAATTTCTCTCATTACTTTTATATCATACTAATCAAGCATAAATAAATATCATGATTCTAATTTTTGTTCATAATTTTGAATGAAAATTTTCAGATATTTGCTAAAATTTAAATTTTATTTGTTTATTTTCGACTTTCTTACTGTACACGAACTAAAAATCAGACTATAATTTCTATTTGAAATGTCCACTGTTATCAATTATGTACGTTTTTATAAAATTAGATTAGAGTCTGGAATGATCAGCAACTCATCAGCTTGAATGCAGGAAATCACGTTGGCTTTGTAACCAGTTTTTGTCATGATCTGCTCGAACTGCTCACTTGTCTTCGAGATCTCCTGATCGTGATAGAGGAAAACGAAGAGGATAGACAAGAAGGACAATATAAACAACATTTGTGTTATTGATTCTCTAAAGCTTGTGTTTTCTGATTTTGATTGTTTTGTGATTAGAGAAGTTGAGTTTGTCTGCATTAGTGATGGTAACATCTCTTGTGTTGAAGTGTTAGTGTACAGAGTATCTGTTTGAGGTCACGCTAGAATGCAATCCAGGTCTAAGACCAACCATTTTGTCCTACCTGGCCTCTCAGAGGAATAAAATTTCGAAAGACCTACATATCTAAGGTACACTGTCAACCATAACTGTACTTTTGTAAACAGAGTGATAAACTTTGACGTTTCTGGTTTCAATGGTTTGCTTTACATCCTTGACTTGAATACAGCCCTGCAAAGTATGATGTATATTGCTTTTACTATTATTTATTTGCACAAGATAAGCAACCTTCAAAGAAATTTTCTAGTGAAGGTGTTGCAAGTTGGAACAAAATACTGGAATTGTCAAAACATGTCGGTAAACACACTTCAACTCACTCTTTGCACGTGATTGCTTGAAAGTCATTATCAAACCAACATTTTTGAGGCCACACTAGATCGTCAATCTAAACGACAAAAAGTTGATAACAGACTTCGGTTGATAGCATCTGTTGAGATAGTGTAATTTGTTGCACATCAAGGTCTTGCTTTTCGCGGTCATGAAAAATCTATAGATTCATTCAATCATGTACATTTTTTTGAACTATTTACTCCTTTCAATGAGCATTCTGCAACTTATCAACGTGTTTGACTCAATTGTGCACCAAAGAATGCGACGTTGACATCTCTAGACATCTAGAATGACATACTGAGGTCCATGATTTCATGTGTCTAAAAACATGAACATGAAGCATATTGATGACAACATTTTTTATTTGTTGATTGATGAGACTCAAGACAATTCGACAAAATAACACATGTCTTTGGTTTCATGGTTTGTCGACAAATCTGGAAAATTTCAAAAGAGGTTTTTGAATATGTACCATGTTGCCGATACACATTCAAAATCGCTAATGGCCGCCATTGTTTTCACTTTGAGCCGAAATAGTTTTTTTTGCTATACTGTGTAGGAAGACAATGATATGATGAAACATCTAATATGCATGGAGACATCAACCGTTCAAAAGCTATCATTTAAAGAAAATCCCCTTCAGCATACTATGTGCATTGTTTCATACATCAACTCCAACTTCCTCTGAATAACTTTGACAACTTCTTAAGGACCAAAACAATTTGTGAAAGATGCAACTGTAACAGATTCGAGAGCGGAAGCGTCAAGAATATTGGAAGCTATATGCGACTTTGATTTTGCAAAAATGTTACATATCATGAAGGCAGTTTTAAGCAAGTCAAATGTATTTTACAAAGCTTTATAGCGTAAAAACCAAGACATCCTAAACGCTATGGAACTTATTATTGTTACAAAGTATGAATTGATTGAAATGAGATGGAAAGAAAGATCAAAGATGGTGCATGGAGCAGTTCAATTTTTTGTTTTGCAAAAATTATCACATATAGAATCAAATTACATGCTTACAGTACGTCCTCGTCGCAATGTTGTCACCATAGCCTACAATCACTATTATTGTGTGGAGATCTTCTTCAACATTGTAGATTCACAGCTAAGTGAGTTTGATGACTATTTTCCTCACAGTTTATATGTATTGCTGAAACGTATTGACCATATATGCCAAGATCACCTTCTTGCTCATAAAAGTGCCCAAGAGCTAGTTGAGTTGGGACGGATGTATCCACAAGACTTTGAACAATATGATATAAGGATGTTAGAACAACTTATTCTTCAATTTTGCATAAAGCTGAGGTCAAATGAAGTTTTTTTTGGAATTTGATCTCTCTCTACTTTAGCAAGCACGATGTTTGAACTCAAGAAGTTAGTTACATATCATCTTGTATTCCGATTAATCAATTTAGCTTTAATTTTACCTGTCAGCATCGTGTCAACAAGAACGTTTGTTCTCAGCATTGAAGATTGTGAAAATGCGGTTGAGGAACAAAATGGACGACGTATGCTCTTAATATGCTTGTTGAAAGAGAATTAGCACAAGGAATAATCAACGACATTATCATCAAGAAATTTCAGGCGTTGAGTACTCAAAGCTTTCAGTTGGATTAATACACAGTTGAATTCAAATCATTTATAGTTTGGATGTACCTATTTGAATTTTCTCTGATGGGTACCAGGACTTTGGTTTTAACAAAGTTCCATAACATAATTAGCCAAAAAATTCCTCCAGCGGCACTAACTAGCGAGGTGTACCCCCTCCAGAAAAATCTGGGTTTGTCCTGGCACAAACAACCATTTTTTTGGAATTTTTCAAGATACTTCATAGATTTATACAAAAAGATTAACAAAAAATTATCAAAGTGCATAGTTCTGCCCCACATGTGATCATACTTATTGCAATCCAATAATAAAATTTTGCATCTTCATCACAACATAATTATCATTTGTTACAAATAGACTTGACATGATGTGTTATATATTGCTCCAATCAACCTCATGATATTGAAGAAACTATAGACTACACAAAGAATACGATAGTATCATGTGATAGCCAACTACATTTAAAAAAATTTAAGTAGTTCAGGAATAGGTGATTATCATATCTATCTTATGGTGTAAATTTATTTATTTATATTATTCACATTACTGAGAATTGTAACCAAAGGGTGTTCATATTTAAAGATCTCATCAAGTATATAAGAATGGAAACGAATAACAAGTTAGCATATCCAATAAAATCAAGATGTTAATAAGTAGTACAACACCTAATATCTGTGAATTATCTAGAAGAAAACATCATGAACAATCACATTTTATCACCTTCTGTGATTTAATCACCTATCAATACACATGGATTGCTATTCATTACGAAAAGAAGTGTCTCTGCTGTAAATAACTCTCCTAGTCATAGATAGACGATTCATATTTTGAGAAAGAGATAATTCTTTAAGTGATAGGAAGTTGATTAAAGCTTCTCATCACATGCAAGTACCATCTGAAATAGGATCGTATGCTGTTCAATTGTCTTCCTATCAATATGAAGCCTTATACTGATTAATTCACTACTAGTAAATGCAATCTTTACATCAATACCGGAATATTTTTAGAGATTTCGAAATTTGTCTTCACACTTAAACATCTAAATGTTATTAAAACCCGAGAGATAATGGATATCATTGGAGCATAATGTAAAACGAAGATACAAATATATATTTTTCAAGCAATTTGCCCAGAAATGGGTGCAGATTAATGACGAACATGCAGGAGCATAACAAGGAAGGTGTTCTTGCGTGATTTTATTCGTTAAAACCAGACCCAAATGTTGCTGTCCCAGAAGGTGGACAATGTAGGGAGGAAGGTCCCTCGGAAGGGAAGACCTGACGGTGTCCTACACCTACTGTACTGTAACCATAGAGCTGGGAGCTCTTGAAATGCTAACTTCTTCCGAAGAAGTACAGCATACGAAGGACTTCCACGTCACGGGTTCCAAATGTTCTGTGGCTCCTGTCCCGTCCGCACATATTGCTCACTCGCTGACGTGTGCGACTGGGGAACAGTCGATGACTGACGTGTCCTTGTGAGTCACTGTGTGGGATCTTATCTCTCCGTTTTAGATGACACGTGCTCAAATTGGAGTTCTCCAAGTATTTGGCGATTGGAATCACCGGAGCCCTAGATTCTCCAGGTGTGGGCACCTCTAAATCCCCCATGACGTAGGCTCTGATACGTTTGCAAGTCCGTACGCCTTGAGCTACTGGAATCTGAGTGAACAAAGTGTGAAATTCCTGCGCTATCTCCGTTTCTCTAGCTGATTCTGGTACTTGAGACCGGACTCGAGGAGGAGAGAGATTGTAGATGTCAACTTGTGAGTTTCCCTCGCTCTTGCCGGACTCTGGATAGATTGCAATTGCTGGCTTGAACATGGAGCAGATACCGCGAATACATGAGGCAGATTTCAAAAGATGCGGTGCATGTGGGGCATTGCGGATGTGCATCACATGAATGAGTGAACTCTGTCGAGTCCGGGACTCGCCGATGACCCCGCATGTTCCAAGATTCCCCTGCGTGATGCCCGAGTGGGGCTTCTTGGGCTCTGGTGTTGATATTATTTGCGAGGTCGGGCGCGGGTTGTGCAGTCTTCCACGACTCTTGTAGGAAATGAAAACCAGTGCACATGAATGACATCCATCAGAGCGTAGCCCGTCGGGCTCGAGACTGGATCTGCGAAATTGGAAGTAGCTCAACCGAGTGGGCTTCCTCCACAGAACAATCTCGGCACCTATAGAAAAGTGGAGATTACCAGGTCACTGGCTGTAAGTCGAGAACTATGTAGGTCGAACGCGCTATTTGCAATCCTCTTTGAACCGTGTCTTCCACACGTCCAGCCTCAAACTCTCTGGTTGTCTTTGTCCACAAGGACAATGACAAATGCTTTTCCGATCCCTCAATCAGACACAGTCTGGCGGCCCTGCGTGGACCAGATAGCGGGACTTATGAGGATTGACACTGGCCCATCCAACCCGACCTTAATGAGATTGTATGCTCACAACACAGCCATGAAACATCGAATTATTCAATTTCTGAAGGAAAGAAATGTACAGTTCTGGAAGTTCTGAAGTTCTGAGGCATATTCCCTTTCCTTAAGCTCGCCAGGTCTATCGACTCAAATCAATTCTCTCCCTCTTTACATGGAAAAGAACACGTAATGCCATGCACACAGCAAATTGATGATGACTTTTGCAGTCTTCCTCTTGACTCGAGGGAAATCTAACTTTCTCCCCCACTATGTTTCTACTTCTGTCCACGAACATAGTTTGATAGTTTTGAAAGCAGTTCCTCTGCTGAATTTTGAACCAAATGGTTCTTGTCGAAATTTGACAGCTCAACCACTCTGTCCAGACAGTTCGAGAAATGCTGGATGAGATTCCTGTTGTATTGAATGTGCTCCTCCATCGAAAGCCCCGTCCGAAATTGTCGGTCGATCAAATGTGTAAGGCTTCGAAGAACTTGAGAGTGGATATGTGGATAAATGTCTGGGTCTTCGTTGAGAATTGTGACGAAATCTTCGAGTATAACGAATAACTCTGACTCTATGATACTATCCTCTGTATTCGCGAGCTTTCCTGGTAGAGTCATACCCATCGACTTCAAAATGATCGAAAGGCCCCGACCACCACCTGCAATATGTATCAGTTAGTGAAAGTTCTTGCCTTGAAATTTTATTTGGATAAAATTTTTCTACCTAGTTCGATTACTATGTTGTCGAACTAGGTTCTGAAGTTCTGATCAGCTTGATAGCTGAAATTCACTTTTCTAATGGACATACATCGGGATTATATACTTTTTAGCAATTCCAGTCAAGAGAGAAGAGTCTCATCACAATCCTCCTGTGAGCTGTGTCCCTCCGTTTACCATTACATACTGAGACTACGCTACACTCTACCTGTCGAACCTCATTTACAGCTGAAAAGTTATGTCGCGGTGGATAAGAGCATTGGAATAGATTACCTGACTCTGTTGATCTCATTGTCTTTTGTTAACAAGAAAACAGAAGCAAGTTTTCATTTAGTAGCAGCAGGTACTTTAAGTCTGTATATGTAAGTCAGGAATATTGGAAATATACAAAGCTTCATACCAATCAAGCTTAGTCATGCGTTTTGTGATTATTGATACATATTCCTCCCTTGCAAATTCCTCACCATAAATTCGGCTCTTCTTTCAAATTTTCACTGTTTACTTATGACTCTTCACTTTGCGGTTAATGAAGCCTTTTTGTGCTACTGTCTATCATCATAAATTTAAGGTTGAAGCTAGATTGAGCTTACCACTAGTAGCGAGTTCTTGTCTAACAATCTCCACAGGAGAACCCTTTTTGTTGGATCTGGATTTAGTATCGCAGAGAACTCCTCCGTTCTCCTGCTTGGTGTCGTTGTCCAAGCTCGCCAGCACTGAGCATATGTGGGTTGGATCTCTACAAACTGAAAATCCTAGTATCTCTTCCCAAGAAGACGGAATAATGCACTTCATTTCTCGGAGATGTGCAACAGACAGCGAGCGAATGTCCGAATCTGGTACCTCCAACGAGTGATTGAAGACTGCGTCTGAAAGAGAAGTATAATTCGATATGCGCAACAGACAAGGAGCCAATTTCTCTAGATGAGGAAATTCATCCGATGAACCCCAGCTCGTTCTTGCTGTTTTGTCCATGATTGTACCTGGGCCAGCAGCTTGGGTTCCAACAGAAGATAACAATAATGTAGTAACATGTGCCAATGCCATGTACTCCAAAGGTAGCCGCAGCAGTTGTGGACACGACCAGTACTCCGGATCATACCTAGCCGTTTGCCTGGCTTTCAAGGCTTCTTCTACATCCTTCTGGCATTGAACTTCGTCTCCAACTAGAAAATGAACGTAAGCTCGGTGCTTCCAGTAGTTGCGGTCACGCTTGAATTGAGTATCTGACCATTCACCTTCTAGGACCATGTTCTCTGACGCTGCAAGAGCCCTCTTAAACTCGCATCTCAAGCAAAGTACAACGCTCTTTTCCCAGTCTAGAGAAAACTCCATCATCTTGGGGTTCATCATCTCAAGACTAGTCAGTGCTCCATCAAGATCCCGAAGCATTGCCTTGGCGAAAGCACGGCAGAGATTAGCCTTTTCCCTGAGGTGAAAAGTTGAGTCAGCCTTACGTATGTGCACGAATCTTACGGAGATCATGTAAATTAGAGAACGCAGTGCATCACACCTTCCTACAGCACGCAGAACTCGTACCCATTTCCAATTTGCCCGGTTTATCCTGGAATTGAACTTGAGTAGCTTTAAAACTTTAATCATATTCTCAACATTTTTCAACTTTAATCATATTCTCAACATTTTTCTAATTATGAAGGTACAATCTAGAATGTTGTGTGTACTTAATTGCATCATGAGAGGAGAGGGAGTGCTCTAACTTACTGGACTAATGGGAAGCCATAGAGCGACTCAGCTTTACTTGCTTTTTCCAACTCGCTGACAGCTGACTGGTAAAACTTCTGTTGTAGCAATGCACAACCTCTTCCGAAATTTCCATAATGAGCCGCCACCGCATCGGAATATTGAATGTCACAGGTTTTTTCAGTATCCAAGAGAGTTATGGAGTGAACTAATGGGAAAAGAATACGAGTATTGTTGGCCTCTGAAAGGAGGTTCATCAGTTTTTCAACCACGTTGGGGAAGGCGACTAAGACTGCTCTGTATTCTTCAGTTGCTAAAAGACTGCTGAGGATTTCCAACGTAAGTGGTTGATCCGAACCACTGTAAATAAGGAACTCTGTGATTCCTGGCAGAGTCCCAAGAATCACTCGACATTGATGACTCGCTCTCGAGATTGAATGAATTAATCTTAAAACCGGTCCTAAGTCAAACCTCGCCATGAATATGTTGTCAGAAAGAACATCCCAAAAGCTTGGAAGCCTCACCACCAGGTCACACGTTCCGCTGCTCAAATCAATTAAAGATGCCAGCAAGGTGATAACTTTTGAGTGCAACCGTTTTTCTTCATCTGTCCTCGTCAACATTGCCAGTCCTTCAGGTATACCTGGGAACTTGAGAATCGTTTCAGCACAATCATACTGCTTCACCAACATTTTCAACGACTTGACGGCATAAATCTTTGATATCGTGCAACTAAATTTTCCTGTTAAGCATTCCAAGATGATACACAAGGCGCGAGGATCTGCTGCAATCTTCATAAAATTGGTCTTGGTGGCATGCCGTATTAGATGCCAAGAGAGCTCCGCTACTGCCTTGGAACCTTGGTAACCTAAAACCTTTGAAGTTAAACTTACAAGAATCTCCCACAATATATCTCCCGGTACATCTCTGTCGATGTCAAGATCTTCTGTTTCGATTGTTGGATTGTTGTAGTTTCGATACACACGAAAGAAGTAATTTAGTGCCTTCAAGGCATATTTGACGTAGTCACCATACTGGTCCATATGTGCCGATCCCAGTAATATACCCCCGACAGAATCGATTCTTCTCGTTACAAATTGAACTCCTCGAATGAAGTCATCTCTCATGTTCTGATCTTGCATCGGTCCGTCTTTATCACAGCTCAGCGCAATCACCTCCTTATTTAATTTATGTGATTCCTGGCTCCATACTCTTGACGAAAGCAAGTTGATATTCTGACTCTTTGAATTCTCATGTGTACATATGTCATGATCATCGATCAGGTTTTTGCAAGTCTTTGGGTTCTTTCCATTCTCAGCTGTGAAATTCCCGTCACTGGTTCTAAACAAACTTTTCCCGACAGATGTGGTTGAACTTTTACCACCAGATTCGCTTGACAAGTAATCATCAAGACCTGGAATAGCCATATCATCTGCTTCGAATGACATTGGCTCTCGCTCATCTTCAACTTCAGCAGGAATTGAAAGCTCCTGTTGTTCGATGTTGCTCGTCGTCTGTTGTACCAAATTTTCGGATGCTTGTTGCGGACATGAGTGAACGAAACTAGATTGACGAGATGACATTGTGTCTCGTAGAACATCAGCAGCCACCGGAGCTCCCCTGCATATCGTCACACCTGACAAACTCACAACTCGCTTGCCCACGTTTTCATCAGTTTTTGGAGGAACATTTTCCTTCTCTTCAAACAGAATTTGTAGACGGATGAGCTGTCGAATGGCTGGTCCTACGAGGGTGTGGATTTGATAACCGCGTATAATGTTTTGCGCGTCAGGTCCTGTCAACTTGCGAATTCGCTCAATCTCATAGACGAAACTCTTCAGGAAGCCTGTTGCCCAATCAGGTTGTCTGGCGTCCTTCATCGTACATATTTCAAAGATGGTACGAGCTTGCACATTTCCGATATAGCTGGATTGTTTGTTAAACCATATCATTCGCCGAAGAAGGTCAAATCTCTTCTTCATGTACATGTACGCAGGCTTCAGATTCTTAAGACACCAACCTTTTTTCATGCTGTAAGTGAACTCGCTCCTTTCAAATATGTCAAAACCGTCTTTCCACTGCGCTTCTCTGATGCCGCCAAGATGCATCCCGCCAGGAACATGCGGCAGTTGGAAGCTTTCTGCAATCTTCTTCACATCAATGTCGATGTCATGGGTCTGCTGACCAGCTCGAATTGTTGCTCGGTAACGAAGACCCGACGCATCGACCGCACGGAAGCTTCGGATGAAACTCATGCACACGCCTCGCCATTCATTCACACCCATGCCACTTCGCATGATTTTCGCCAGTTTCGTCAACCCCATCGAATCAATCCACTCAAGATCACGATCCTCGAACTCGAAATCTTCGAAAGGGGAATCGAAAACCACTTTCACTTGGTCCAGATCCATCGTCTTCGGCCGCTTCGCCACCATCTCGGGGGCAGGGCTCGAGCTTCGCCGTAATCTCCTCGCCATGGCCTCAATGGTTCCTGCAGCCAGAAGCTGCACAGCGGCACGAGATGAAGCGATCCCGTTCCTCGCAAGAGAAAAGGCTTCGAGGCTCTCCTCGTCTGCCCTCATATACTCGCCATCCCTCGAGCTCGAGAACCTCGCCCATCGACTTCGAGCGCATGGCGCAAGAGCTTAATTTGAATTCGATTCTCGACCCCGAAGCGCACGAAAGCCCCGCTTCGATTTCGAATGTGGATTGCGATGCGCACGACCGACCGAGCGATCGATTCAAATTCGACTCAGGGTCCCTCGGTTTGAAATCAAATTCGAAATTCCCTTTCGTGCCTAAATTCCCGAGAAGTTGCTCAGCGCGTGCTGTCGATTGATTTGTAATTCGAGTTGCCCGAATGGGACAGCGCCGTCAGCAAGGCCACGGGTCTCGAATCATACCGTAGTCTCAAATGGTTGGCTTACCACTTTCAACTATTGTAGTATTAAATAAAAAATATTATAATATAAAAATTTATTCATTTATTTATTTTACTGAAATACGCACTGTACCTGCGTTGCAAAATATTTACATTTATAATGCCACATTTTGCAATACATTCGGATAAGGTTAGCAATATTCAAAACTCAGCTTCACCTGATTTTGCAGTACATTTCATTACGTTGTTTGACTATTTGTTCTCGTTGATAAATCATACAATATCTCAAGCTTGTAAACAAGCGGCATAATGTGTAAAGATTAGTCATTATTTTGGAAATTGGTTATCATCCTAATTATAGAAGAAGTAACATCGTTCCAACTGGAAACTACAAATCACTAAAAAGACATAAGATTCATCATTAGTTTCTCTAGAGAAATATAATTATGTGATAAAAATTGTGTTGAGTTCAAATAAACTGAGAATTATAAATAATGAGTGAGAGAAAAACTATGAAATATTAGTTATAATTATCTTGCATTAAATATATATTTTTTCACCATGTTACAATAAAAGAAATTGACTTTAAGCCGAAATCATGAGAGTGAACCGATTGTTTTGAAGCAAAACAAAATAAAAATTTGAATATATGGTTTTATGTGCTAATAATAACTGTGAAATTTTAATGAACAAATTTTAAATATGTTGTACTTTCATATGATCTATAAATCATCTTAATAGTTTCTACATCCATATAAATTACAAATTCTTTCAACATATTGTGCATGGTTCGATGACATACTACTTTTTTTTTTAAGAAGTTTTGCATGATAAATTTATTTCACTCATGTTCATAGAAAAATTTAAATATCGAAACAGTAGAGAAATTATGTTTAAATTAATAATCATTTGTATGAATATAGATTCACACTTAAACTTAGTCTTTGAAAAAGTGTATTAAAAAAAATTTAGCAAAATAATTGCTAATAATTTATCTCTTTTCCAGTTTATCATAATCTTGCATCTTTGTATAACTTTACGTTCTAGAACCTCATTCAAAATCAATCCAACTTAATTGAAATTTGAATCTAGCACAATTTCCATGGTGCAAACTGTATTTGTTAAAAAATAATAATTTTAAAAAAGTTGTAAAGCTCTTGTAACAAACCAAATTGCATGGTCAATGTCAGCTTTAGATTATGGTCTTGTAATTGCATATTTGTATCAACTTAAGCTAGTCAAATATCTAATACGTTAAAAATCCTCAACACATCTTTTCAAATCATTTTTTAAATTTATTATTTAACATACTACATCCCAAATAAAATTATCTTTTAAATCAAAATTTTTGTTTTTCGTCCTCATATGTATTTTTGCCCTTTTTTTGACACATTTCTCCCACTAACAATAGGTCTTGTTTTGTCATCACAAGCTCATGTAGTTTGTTATTTGTCTTCAATCATATGTTTAATATGACCTATTTTGATACTTATTGTATAAAAACTTGATGAATTATACATCCAATATTTTGACTTGATAAAATTGGTTATTTTGAATTATTCTTTTGGATTTCAGTTTTGGACACTTTGTATCAATAACCAGTCAATTTTATTTTCACTTTAAATATATTACTTATCTTCAATATTACCCTATTTATACCAATTTTTTTATCATAATCTTGAAATTCTGTGTGGAGGTTTTTTTCCATCATTTTAGCATATTTATATTATTAGTTTTTTAAATATCAGGATTTGTTATAACATATTTCGACTCTAGTCTAACCTGTGACCAGAGACTAATTCTTATTCAAATAAACGGCATTTTTCTCGTAACGGTAAGACCTTCGTTCTTCTACTGGGTGGCGTGTCCGTACATTGGGATGGTCGGATTTCGAGGTCCTGTCGAACCGAACAAAAGGCCGCAGACCAAAGATGGTCAACGTTGAGGCTCAGTCGAGGGTCCTCTGTCTCTTCCTCGGCATCATATGTTCGAGACGCAGAGATTCGGAAGACTTGAACATTTTGCACATCTCTACCTGCACGACGATGTCCCGGCACCAGCAAGGGATCTTCGATTTAACAACCGAACCTATCCGGATGGCATACAACGGTCCCTTACCTCAAAGAGATGGGGACCGTCCCCATCGTCCCCATCGTCCCCACCACTCCAACGCTCGAGGTGGACCCAAGCACGAAGGCTTATCTCATGTATTTCTATAAGACCCAGTACACAAACATGGCGGCGGCGGATTCGTTCTTGTGTTGGCAAAGATTGACCGAGGAGAAATCGAATGTCCAGGTGAAACGAGGTCGGAGATTCTTGGGGACGACATCAGAACGATCCAGACTTCAGATTTACAGATGCACCTTCACGGACTGCACTGCAGATGACGCAAGGTTCTTGCTAGTGCAGAAGTTCATCCATGGAAACTTCCCGGTGCTTCCGTTCTGAACGATTACAAAAAGTCTGAAGCCTATTTCTGCTCGTCAGACGATCGAGGACCAGAACCGCCACCTACCGTTCCATTTCAGACTCTCGAGTCTCGACGGTCCGTTTTCACGAATATGTTCTGTGTCTAACCTTCTCCAGCCAGGGCACGTCTCCGCATCAAACCCAAGATATGGCAACCATCATCCGCAACTCCAATTACTACTCCAATTTCTCCATTATGTGTCGTCGGGTTTCTAACGTTAAGCTCGCTGCTCTCTTGCAATATCTGAGAAAAAAACAGTCTTCTTGATTAGACTCAGACCTGCAATCGCTACTTAACCTTCGAAGGGTGCTCGCCGAGAACACCTCACTCTTTCTCACTGTACATTTTTTGGAACTCTCGAACGACACCCAGAGGATTGACACACAGGGCGGTCGAGTGAGCCGCCTTGCCGCACCGTGTTCTGTCTGAAAAATACAGCACTGTACTCCGAGCTGGTACCGACCTCACTGTCCCTCCAGGGCATGGAGACAGAGGGACTGTTTGTCCCTTCGCACAGTAGACTCGAGCTCGTCCTGCCACGTTCCGAGCCACTTGTCGAAAGTAAATAGATAAAGGTTTATCTGACAAGCCATAACCCGAGGAGGTGAATGTTTGATGGATTAGGGTAATGCTTAAATTCAAGTGCATAGCACTACCTTTTCAACTGGACTCAGTATGCGCTCTGTCCATAATTGCCAGTCTCCATATCATTCAGATGTTTTATGATCTCTGAATCCTGCAGTCTCCTGCACGGTCTCGAAGACCAGGGTTTGAAGGGTCTGCGCAGCCCTGCGCATGCACGGTTCTTCCGTTCCACTGTTGTCATTCCAGAAGTATCCCGATTTGAGCAATTTAAGGGAACATCGAACTATGTAGATTCGATCACTGAATTCTTCATGTAATTAGATTTCTTCCAGTCATCATTACACGAGTGTTATCGTGAATGTACTCGTACTATGACATAACTATGCTACTGGCTTGTGCGTTTATTTGTTTCAGGGATGACTCTGGATAATATCTCGGAATTGTCTAAGCCTCCCATGCAGCAGGTTCGTGAAAGTTGAGTTAATTTGAGAAGGAGTATTCAGACATCCACTTAAAGTACCACATGTCCAAAGGTTTTGGACATGTGACAAAGTACGAAAGCAGAGGTCGGACAAAAGACCGCAGAGGAGTGTGCTATCATTGGCTGTGCAGTATATTTGGATAATATACCGCTAGATGATGGAGTTTCCTTATCTGCATGAGGTACCATCAAGTACATGAAAGAGATCTGAAGGGGTTTAAAAAGCTTACTTTTTAATTACGAAGGCATTGTCATCATGAGCAAAATTATCGAATCTTTCGACGCAAGTGGAAAAGCATGTGTCTGACATTGAGCTGTTAAAAATGTGACACTTGCACACAGTATCACTCAAGTATATTTCAGTAAAGTTTTAATCTGAGCCCAAAGTTCCCGACACTATCATTTCAAGAGATAAGATATCAACTGTTACATGTTTTCCATAACCATTTTACATATCCATACAAATACAAATTTCAAGATAGTAATTTGGATTGAATAATCAAATATGGATAAACACACGTGCAAAAAAATATACATATATGTATAAAATATATATAAACATGTATAACTGAATAATATATACTACTATACCCTACAATATCATGTAAGTACATCGTCGTGGGACTGGAATGGAGGATCCGTCTAAACTACCTCATAGAGTGTTTCAAGGTTGCCGAATCGGTAGTTTGTGCTGATTGGATGACACGAGTTTAATGTCGAGCCAGGAAAGAGCTATGTCATTTGAATTCCCTGTGTTCATAGAATCCGAAGATAAGACTGCAACAGACATCGCCCTCTTGATTGAGCACACCGGTCACGAGCGAAGCTGGCTCATCCAATTTTCGGCTGTGAAATCGCATTACACCTTCTCTTCTCGTATCTGCAGTCAAATTCCTAATTTTGATTGAGTTTCCGGCTTGTTTTGATGGAATGTCTTTCACTGACGGAGAATGTGAGCGCTTTCCTTCATAGAAGATGAGATAAGGGGTTCCTGATTGCATACAGTCACATGAAACCTGACATATGCATGCACACGGTGGTAACGGAGCAATGTTTAAATTTTTCGAAACTTTGTTGCTTGATTGATGAACCAGATGAGCAAAAAACTTGCATACAAGAGCTCTTGTTTCTCCTGGTGTAAAGCCCTCGCAAAAGGCCATCATATACTCAAGCAGACGATTGTTCCCTGGGCCTGTTCATAAAGTACAGTCATTCATAGTCATGAGATTCAGCACACCTTCACATACCCCTTCCGTGCTGCATCTGAAGACAACACACGGACGCCATATCATCGTGCGCAACGAGAAAGGTATTTGGAAATGAATTCCAGACCTTTCCAGGTGCTGATTTTTGACACGCACACAACTGCCCCAGAAGTAAAGCCCCGTGTGGTCGTCTACGTCTTGAGTACAAGCCAAGCTTCCACTAGCTTCGCACCGAGAAGTTATCTACTCGGTCGCTAGATCTATTCAGAATTTATTAGATTCACTTGCACTCGGAGTCGGTGTCCCAAGAGTCCGCTGTTTTGTTGAAGTGAACGAAATTCAACTGCTGATGTAACGACTACATTTTCCGACCACTTACAATTCCGGGTAGACTCCTCGTGCTGTGAAAACCCATGTCAGCCCACGAGCCATTCATCTCCATTCACTTAGTCTCAGAGTTCATCATCAGTACTGTTCCAGTTGACGCATACAACAAACCTATTTATCGCTACTTTGCTAACATGTAGAAGAATCCACGTCAGACTGTTGGGTGATTCCTCTGGCATGTGGGTTGCCAGATGGGTCCTCATGTCATCAACCGCGGAATAGTATACATTGTATTTTGCTGCAGTCTCTGGGTTTATTCAAAGACGAGTTTTTCTCCCGATCTCCGAAGATCTAATATGCCATTGTGTCTCGTTTTCCTCCTTCCGTGTATGGGTTTAAGTGATCTACTTGGTGCAAGGGCAACAACATAGGAAACAAAAGGTGCATCGGCCGTGAGGGTTAAAGTGGTCAACTTGGTGCAAGCGCAGCGAAGGAAACAAAATGTGCATCGGCCGGGAATCGAACCCGGGTCTGTTCCGTGGCAGGGAACTATTCTACCCCTAGACCACCGATGCTGTCCACCCCCGCCGCCCGGGGGGCTCGAACCCCCGACCACAAGGTTAAGAGCCTTGCGCTCTACCAACTGAGCTAGGGCGGCTGATGAACGTCAAATTAAAACTTAAACATATATACTATTTTTTCTATTTTCTAACCGCTTGCAAACTTCACTTCGAACTTCCATTTGCGATTATCATTGATGGCGTGCCAGCAAGTAACGAGAACGTTTCAAGAACAAGTTTGATGAAGTTAATTATTCATATTTAACCATAAGATTAACACATCCTTACAGCAAGGATACTTGAATGCTCTGGAAGCCATGAACATAGAATAGTCATGTACAGTGTGACTCCCTGTAAGTTGCATGTATCTGGTTCCACCACTATGTGCTAGTTTTAGAAATTGACTCCATGAGTATAATCTAGTACAATCTACACACCATAGTGTGCAACACACAGAGAAGAGAGTAGAGGATAACACTAGACCCCTGAAACATGCTTTTGTAGGAGTGCACTGTCACTGATAGCAAGAGCACAATATTTGAGCCGTTGAGGCCCAAAGTACCCCATGAAATTAGATCCACGATTCCAAAACCAATCAAAGTCGAATCTGCGGATGGGCATATAACATTCAGGTGGATGTAAAGTCCCAAGACCTAGATATCACCTTATACAGATTCCATAAAAAATCAACAAGCTTAAATATGAAACCAGATAATAAGTGAAATAACGAACTCAGCGAGACACACGTTAACAAGATGCCCCCATGCCTCTTTAGCGACCCAAGACGGCCAGAAATCTTGCAATATAGCCCACAAAATCCTAGATCCATCTTAACTAATGAGAGATCCATTAACTTTTTGGTAAAAGCTGATCTACTTTACTTAAGTTGAATCACTAACGGTAACATGATAACATGCCCAAAGATACTTCCTGTCACTTTCTCAATCTGTTTCACAAAGAAACCTTGTGATATCGACAATGCGAATTGTTGGTGACAATTAGGTGAAGAAATCATGTAGTTTCTTGCGTTTTTGTATAAGTTACTCTTTTCTGTATAGTTCCATTTCGGGCTATCCGATGGTGTGTTGTTCAGCGGCTGACAGGTGACAGTCTTGTTTCAGGTCATTTAGTTTCGTTCTGTAGAAACTTTCATAACACCATATGCAAAGTGAGGTCATCTTCTGCGAGCCTTCTAAGTCAATATACCAAGGTTAGTGTCGATCAAGGACGTTTGTGACGTTTATTCATGAACCTATGGGAAGACATCTGTATAGTTACAGTGCTCACGTCCAGTCCTCCTTCAAAAGCTACTTTAGAAATAATTCAGTTACTTTGAACAGATTACTTCAACTTCATTTTGAACATAAATTGCTCCTTCAAGCTCTGTACACTCATAGAGGGACGCCGATGTACTACTGTGGTATTACATTAGATTCAGGAAAACGAAAATATAAACTGCAATTCAGTAATGTAGCGTGTGAGAATAACAGATGCTGAGATCCAAGGTCCTGAGTACGGAACTCGAAAACCAAATACTCCATCAAGCTACCGAGATCAATACAACGGTAGTGCTACTCCTTCAAGAGGAGTGAAATATGATTACAGTGAACTGGTGATGATGAACAATGCAGGATGTCCTACAGTTACGAAGTCAACCTTCTATTTGATACTTTTAAAAATAGTAAACAACAGGCTAGAGTGATCCTTCGAGATGCAGGTCGCTAGGCAACAGTCCCCGTAAAAAATGAATACAAATACAATAATTTGAACATTTCAAAAAAATGTTCATTTCTTTTCTACCTGACTTTCGGAGCTTTCACTCTTGAACGAGAAGTGGATAATATGCTGAGTCCATTGTTGAGAACAATCAGTGCTTGTTCACACTCGCCAATTAGACGTCCCAAAGGAGAAGCGTCTGTAGAAGTTCCGTCCTCCTCACCGACACCATCTAGACCACCGCTGGCCACCGCAGCATGGGAATCTCTTAAACTTCTTAGATTGCGTAGAAGCTGCAAATGAAAGATGAAACGTATAAGCAACGTCGATGATCATTCATACATCCACACCTTTGGTACAGAACATTAAGGTTGTAAACTTTGAGCCAAGGAGATTTAGTTTTCTACTAAAATAGGGTGAAAGCGTTATTCCTCAGTGAAGAAATATAGTGAATGTCCGGGAACCAATATAGGTTGACATGGCTGGCATAAGTATGCATTCATTCCCAGTAACCCCCGTCCAAAAACAAACTAACGAATCCTTCTATGATACTGCGATGGCGCAGGAATGATAAGACAGCAAGCTCAACAACAGCTAGCTTTGACAAATGAATGATACAGAAGGGAAATTAGGCGAAACAAGAATGTCTGAATTTCTCTCACTGAGGATTTCAGAGTACCAAACATTGACTAAGTCCAATAAACAACAAAACTCAGAGAAAAGAAAAGCAAACCTATCACCTGAAGTAGTAGCTTGTATGAATCCAACAAACGCGCAGCAGCTGGCCCAAGACCATGGAGTTGAGGCAGCTCCATCATGTGCGTCCATGGACGAATTTCCTGAAACCTCAGAAGTCTAAGTCATCTGACTGAAAACACCTGACTAGATGATCAAAGGTTCCCTGACAATAGAAAATTGTTCATACAGCGAGTCTCCTGATTTTGAACAACTTAAAAGTTCCAAATCTCCAAAACAATTGCCAGGTGCTGTCTAAAAGATCAAACTTTCGTTTATCTGGAAACTGGAAGATCTTTGGGGTCTCAACAATATAAAGGCATGAAATCATCACTAAGGGATCTCATCCTGGAAGAGCACAGCAATGGAATGAGACATCTGAAGACCGTGGATCAACATAGCGACTTCAGATCTATAAGCTTGGATTGTGCTACCTTCGTGTAGATAGTGTCAAAAGCCTTGGCGACTTCCAGAAACGCTTCAAGCTGCATCCGCAATGCCGATTCTGCTTCTGTGTGATCTTCATCTGGTTTGTAAATTAACTAGACGATCACAAACCAAAATCGTTTGTCAGCGTCATTCGGTTCGATTAATTGCATCTTACTCACCACTTGCGGACTTACATTGACAGTTGTCCTAATCTCAGTCCGTGATATGTAGCTGATGCTTTACATGTACCTTTGACGCATGTCTATCCACAATCTGTTGGAGCCGAGTTACTTCTCTGAGATACTCACTGAATTTTCCTTCAAGCTCTACGACATCTGGACTGATGGAAGAGAATGCATAACGCGTCAGCTAGTATCCCAAAAAAATTGGATGTTTTTGCATCACGCATCTTCCATGACAAAGCAATTGCAAGAGATAGCAAGAAGTGCTTGCAAGCAAGAAGAGATATAACTTTGAAAGTCAAAGACTTACACTGCTGAGTAAGACTGACTTTGAACATCTCCAGGAAAAAGTTTGCACTCATCAGAGAAAACAAGTGCCTGCTTCTCCGCTATCGCATCGACTAATTGGATATCTTTCGAGACCTGGTCATCGACACTGTCATACATGCAAGTTAACTATGTATAAAGACGTTCTTCCGAAATTGTAAGTCATCATGTATTGCGACAGCTTCTAAGCAAAAGTATGTGAGTAACGAACTGAGACTCATGCGAATCAAGACCTAGCATGAGATAGATCTGTAAGAGGACATACTTGAAGTCCATCTGCTCACATGGAACCTGTCAGGCTCACCTCCATTCCGAGTTGTCAGCGGAGAAACTGGCTTCTACCAAATTCACTATCAGCTGTAGCATCTCTGCCCGATTCTCGTAAGTCCCTCTTCCCTAAATGGCCAAACCAACGGGCGAGTCTTCAGGCATCACGATATCGAAAAGCCATGAGAAGTTACAAATAAACTGGATGAAGATCAGACCAAACCAGACCAGGGGAAAATTCCTTACCTGGATAGCCTCAGTATCGATGGTTGGTGTTAATCCCAGGAACTTCGCGATCTCCGCGAGGTCTGTTGGTTGTTCACGAAAAAACTTTGTGAGTTATGCAATTACGCACGGAAAAAACTGTCATCCAATTATTTCACTGCAGATCTTTCCCTTCTCGATAACGCTCTTGTGAATGGTTTCCCAAATTGCTGTTGAGAACTTCGTCCTTGCGTGAATGGTAGGTGATCGTAAAAGAGGGTACAATTTGATCAAAACATTGAATATGGGAAAGTAGTCGACAGGCTATTAAGTTTGCGAATGAAGAAATCCTGAAGCGAAGCAGGCAGAGATTAATCACGGTGTAAAGCCATACATTGAGTTCGTGTGCCTTCTTCATCACGATCTCCTCCATCAACAATTAGTCCTTGCCTTGTGAAGGGCGATTTATCACCAAGAAGCCTGTAGCAAAGAATGCCTAACAATTAAAAAGCTAAGAACTACAAAAAGCATATCTCTGCAATGAATGTTCCAAACTTATTCAATGACTAGGACTTGCAACTGGTAAGATTTCCACGTCCTACCATGAACGCTGATCAACAGCACTCTTCAAACTCCAAAGCCTGAGGTGCATTTCAAGATTCTCGACCAACGCCAATCACAGTTCTTATCTATCCATATGATAAAAAGCTCAATTTCAACCTCCAGCCAAACTCTAATTTAAGACTTGCTAAGCATCGAAAGACATTTCAGTTCCGCCCAGGAAGAAAGCAGAAGTTGGCATCAGAAACGAGAGGATTTATGCAGACCAAAAAACACTTTCGCCAAAAAATGAGAAAAATGAGCAGAAAAAAGTGGATCGGACATACTTGAAGAAAAGCCATTCCAGAAGAATATATCTCTCGCTCCCCGCATACAAAAGCGATTGAAATGGCACGGAAGCCCTCGGGTAATTTAATGTCACCAGTTTCTGATGCACTTCCTCCATAATGCTAGTTCCTCCCCCACCAGCACCAGCACCACCTCCTCCTCCTCCGGCTTTGATCATACTCTTGCACTTCCCGCCTTCTTGAACTTCACAATGCTACGGTACGACGCGCTACGCTCTGTTTCTTCGACCTCTGTCAGGCACAATATCGAAAAGGTCTAGTACGAAACACCGCCGTCCTCCCGCCACTGCCAAACGAGCTCCGGAATCCTTGTTGCTCGTTTTCTTCAACAGTCTGAGAGCGGATTATCGAAACCTTCTTCGTGTTTCCGGAGCTTCAACATCACGGAGAATCTTTGCTCGGAGCTCCCGTCAAGTTCTCCTACGGTGCACCACTATAGCGAGCAGGCCTTGCCGCGGACTTTTGGCAGGCGACGCCGGTGGGTCCTACGTAATGGAAAAACTCAAACTCTGTGCGCCACTTGGACGCAGAGCCTGCTCTGAGCTTGCGACGTCGATGGGAAGTCGCCCAGTGCGAGGCTGCGTCGCTGCGACTTTGATGTGACCGCGTCGTCTTCGCTCTGGATCCGAGATCGGTGTACAGTCGACTTGAAATTCACAGAATTTGCAGTGTCTTGAACCGAGGGAAATGTACCAGGAATCACCATGATTGCGCAAGAAGATTAATACAGAGTAGTTCGGGATTTGGTTCGAGTAGTGAGCTAGTGCGAGAGTCAACAAGTGAGTAGGTCGATGGCTGGATGACGACCCAATGTGTGGGAAAAATTCTATCTGTGTCGATGTGCATCTGTAGGTGCGTTCGAAGGTCTCGAGAGGGTGATGTGCGGAGCATTGGGATTTCAAGTGTCAGCCGGAATTTGACGGATCTGGACTGGCAAGTATTTACAAATTATCCTCAGTGCCCAGTTATAACCTTCATATCCACGTTTGACGCTCTGAATACTGAAGAGGGTTAAGGAGTTACAATTGCACAAGGTACAGCTGTTCTTGTCCCTTTCCTTTAAGCTGTCTTCATCGGCTAGAAGCAAACCGAGCTTGTAATTGTCACTTGTAAAGTCCAAAGTCCAGGTCGTGTCCAATTTGCCAGACATTTCCCGTCTCGACCCTCTTGGCTATCCCCACAATATAAACCACGCAATCTCCCGTTTAGTTGTCTTTGTCGTTCGTATGTGCATGATGGCACTGGCCTTCGTGGTGTGGGCGAGTGAGCGATGCCTACTTTGACCATAACTATATCTCATCTAGCTTCCAAAAACCTCCTGTGAAGACAAAACAACGGTTTGGGCAGTTCGTGACTATACCGTGTGGTCGTCCTATCTCCACCATGTCGAAACTCCATCCAAGGCTGGAAAGATGACAGGGTAAACACTCTAAACCATCCCGGCCACTTCATTACTTCAAAACCTGGCTGTAAATTTGACAATCCATGACTCTGCATTGGCACCAATGTGTTGGCTACATTTGGGCCCTCTCCTGTGACTCACCTGCTAAAATATGTTTCCTTGCGTAAAATTAGTGAATGATGAGCGTGACCTTATTCTTTCCCCGTCCTAGTTATTCTTTCCCCGTCCTAGGTGTTTCATTCCGTAAAGCTTCAATCATGTACTGGCGCATGTGATTACACAAAGGAAGGCCATGTGACCATACACAGAATGGGAATTCCACCCATGCTTGACTAAACCGCAAATTCCCAAAAATATGTGGAAGTGAATTTAGCAGTCATGATTCTCGCTGAGACTGGTACTCTTTGGTTTACATAGGCATGAAAATGCAGAAACGGCCATTGGGTTACTTGTGATTAAGACTAGGATCTACGTATGTATATGTGTGAGCAGAGAAGGAATATTTCATTGCTCTTGATCACAAGTCCATCGTTCAGCGTAAAAGATCTGGACCATACATGGTCTGAAGACTTTGCGGAGACCTGTGTTACCATCCAGTTATTGTTCTCTCTGGATGTGAGGACCTGCAGTGTGTGGATACCAGCACTGCAGATAGATCCCCCTAGTGATGTGATAATCTGTCATTACGGACACATACTGTCGTCTTCACTCTTTGAAGAAGCTAGTTGGTGTCATCACGCGGGAAAAAACTCGTGGAACGTGTAAGCGTGAATGTCTTCTTTCGACAATAGCGGGCCTTCTTCATGAGCCTGAATTGTATAATCGTCAACACAATTTAACTTAGCACAAGACTTTGGGCTCGTGACTTACAAATTATTCCACCTTTTGCCATGCCTGCACCGGATCCTGACATGAGCTGATTTGGCTCCAGTTCAAAAGCCAAATCAGCTCAAAGAAAGTTTTGAGACCTGATTTGGCTCTCAAAATATAGGTCCGAAAAGGAAAACTGGTGACCGCTACAAAAAGCAGCTCAAAGAGTACTGGAGCAGTCAGATTATTTGGACTCAGCTAAGAATCACCAAGGTGTTGAATTTATGCATCTCACATAGGTCCACATACGGGCTTTAAGAACAAATCCTTATACCAAGCAATCATTTGTCATTAGTTCTGACGAGGGACGAAAATGCAGGCCACAAACATGCAAAACACTGACTCAAGATCTCAAACGAAACCTCACCAATGAAAAGCTTAGTATTTTCAAAACTTCTGGCATGCCAACATAGGCATGAAGAAATATATGTCCGCGTCATTGCCTCCTTCCTCGACTCTTCCTAGCTGGTTGTTGTGGGGTCGGTGGCTGCGAGACTTCTTCAACAAATTCGGCTGCCAATGTACGAGAGAAACATAATTAGGACTTTTTGCAAATATTCCCATCGTGAACGACCAATGTTAGAACTCACATCTGAAGTCATCACCACATACGCACAAACGTTGTAACCTTCAAGGGCATCCACTTTGCATTCAAGTGTGTACCCTCGCTCATCATTTGCCCATTTTGGGCAAGTGTAAGCTTCTTCTGCACCAATTAGTTTGCAACGTATTTCATCTTACTATGCTCAGATTCTCAGCTGAAGTCAGACAAGCAAGGCAACAACCCTAAAGAAGGAAGATATTATCATTCTTGCAGAAGCACTTGATGTCCAAGGCGAGCAAAATTAGTTAAGACCGACTGTGTGCAATCTCTGCTCTTTGTGTCTTGGGGACCTTTGTGGGACGAAAGCAAAATCATTTTGATCGGAAAGAAATAATCTGGGTGATGAAATCGAATGAAGGTTGCAAACTGTCCCACAAAAAAATCTAAACTTAAAGCACAGCTGTGTCATGGACTGAAAGCACCACGCTACGACAAGAATTCAAGTTCTTCGGGCATACCATCAGGACCTCGAGCCATCAGTGTGAAAAAAATGTTGTTCATCTTTTCCATCTTCTTGGCATCCTGCAATTGATCTGTCTTGAATTTCAAGCACTGATCATCAGAAGTAAAATGTAAGAGTAGGTAGCACACTAGGCATAAAATATATCAGGTTATAAGCAGCTCAAATGAAGATGGGCAGGGCCGGGAATTGTCACTGAAAACAAACTAGGGTTTTTACTTCTATTTCTCACACACACAAAAAAACATAAATACTATTAAATAACTAGAGCCTGATATTTTGCAATGGAGGAGAAAATGCAGCAGATATTCTGAAGCCGTATAATCAAAGATGTCTAGGAAAGCAAGACAAGTCAGATCGGATTTTAAGTTTGATGACACTCCTAGCTAGAAAAACATTGCCGGTTCAACAGTTTCTGGAGGTTCTTTGATACGGTAAATCAGCAGGAATGCATTGCTAATGCTTCAAGAAATCGTTACCCCGCGATCGTCGGTCACTTTAAGTACCAATTTCCCATCGCAGTGCCTGTACTTCATGACATAGCGAGTCTAACAAACCGATCAAGGCTCGACATGCTCTCTCTTCCGATTTGGACAAATCACTCACGATCAGACTGAACACACTGAACTGTATTCAAGCTAGGGAAAGGCAATTGCACTCTATTCAACTATCCAGGTAGGTAATCCGCCTCGTAGTTCCGCATTCACTCATATTGATCCTCAAAGTCATCTTGAGGCGAATAGAAACATTAATGATCACAAGTCCAAATCCTTTCATGTGCGGAGTTATTGAAGGATACGCCGACGGGATCAGCACGAAACATGACGACGGCTCGCTCCAAAAAATCGTCCCATGACTCTACGTAAACCATGCGTGCGTCCTTCCTCACTCGCTGAACTCTTCACTATCAGAACGTCCAGTTGGGCTCCAGCCGAACGAGATCAAACACGCTCCGGACCTCCAATTGAGAAACACCACCGATGCCAAGTATCCAACACTGGATCAGGTCGATGAAATCAACAGATGAAGTTCCAAATAATTGAGCTGCCAGCCACAAAGAGGACGAAGGGTTTGCTTGTACAGAGCAGTGCGTTGGACTCTCTTCTCGAGTCTCGTCCCCATTGTGCTACTTCTTCTTCGCTGGACACGACCGACTCTCACGTCTGACTGACGTGGTAGAACTTGTACATTACCCTCTGTGCGTTACTGCGTTAGTCTCTCTAAGGTCTGGTTCCTAGGATTCGGAGAATCTTACTTATAATGACATATACTCTTTGAACAATCCAAGTGTAAATATTGCACTTAGAAAATACTGTCTCATAAAGTAGAATCACAACTTCTTTATACTATATTGTAGATAAGACATAGATCAAGCATGCATTCGAGGATGGAGTATCTCAACTTACAAAAATGGAACATTCAGAAATTTGTATTCATCGTGAACTTGAGTTTCTAGAAAAATGACATCCAGCGATGTCTATGAGAGTGAAGCACTTTATGTTTACCACGTTGGATCACTTTTCTATCATACTCCTAAAACTGTGTTTCGTACTTACTTTCTTGACCTCGTTTATCTTCTATGAATTCCGGTATTGAACGAAGTCTTCATTTAATACTCTTCTCTCTTATCCTCGGTTTCTGGTTTTAACTCAATCTGCGGGATCGAGACAACAAATAGGATATCGAAATATGAACTCATCTCTCATCGTCTTTTCTTACACATGCTCCTTGAGAAAATTCTTTTGTTGGATAGCACAGCCACATAGAATGCAGTACACAACAAAGCTCAATACTCTTGGGAACTTTCTATTGTTGAATAATCACATTCACGTGGAATATATTAAAAAGTCAATTCAGTTCACAAAGAGCGAGAATTTGGAACAAGATTACCACCGTGAATAATACTCAGCCCATAAGAGATCATGTTGATAAGGCATGTCTTGTCATGTCTCAAGATAAGCATATTTAGAGTCAAATGTTCTTCAATCTCCAATATGGACAAAAGTTTATTTAAAATAGCATAGCAATAATTTTTATTTCCAAATGTTACTGAAGTTGGAGAAGCAGCGTAACTATTCGTGGATGATATACACAATATGGTGCAGTCAATTGTTGCCTACTGTTGGCTACTTTGTACTCTTAACTTGACACGAATGACAAGGATGGATAAATCATTCTAAAAGATGATAATTACACTCACCATTTCCAGAACAAATGAATGTGATCGGTAAGTCTTTGATTCAAGCAGTTTGAAATCATGTGGTGAAAAGAAATTTCCTTACATCTAAAACAAATATGATATTGCAAAATAAACTTCAGATTTCTACAATTCATTCTAGAACTCAACCTTATTATTTGTCAATCACATATAGTATGTGGGACTATCTTTTCACAAACTTCAATTCAATAACTAGCAAATTTAAATTTGCAAAACTTTATAGATTGAATAGTCACAACTATTCGTAGTCTACGAGTATATAACTAAGAATGTTAATGAAATGAATAATATTTTACTTGAGCTTGGGTATTCAGAAGAGTTTTGTAATGCTTTGCATATTCTACTTCTAAAAATTTATTTTAAATTAAAGTAAGTATAATCTAGAAACAAATTTCCTTAAAGTTTAAGATCAATATATCATTTTCACATAATTTTCTGTTTTATCAATGAATTTTTAATTTTAACTATATTTTATGTCAATGAAATTTGTGACAATGTCAATATGTACAACATACTCTTCATATTAAAAAATAGTTTTTGAAAAAAATCTGATTTTATTTGTTTGTTGAAACTTATATATCTAAAAAACATAATTCTATTGAAAATGTTGCATATTTTTTCAAAATAGTAATAACTTAATATTTAATTCCCCAATTTGAATCACTTTCACAAAATCATTGTTGTGAATGTTGTTGTTTTTGTGTTGTTTAGATTATATGAGTTCACAAACATTTTGTCAAAAACATGTATGAAATTAATTGTTTGTTCTCATGTATAATTGTTAGTGTAAAACATGAAAATGATAATAAACACTCAAGATGTAATGTGGTTCATCCTCAAAGAGTGCTACGTTCACCCAGAACTTTCAGCACTTTATTCCAGGTTTTGTTAGAAAGACTCTTTGTACAAGGTGAACCCCAACCTATATATACCCAGTCCAGACAACCGTCCTAGCTATAAATAGCTAGGACTTGAGGTTACTCTCTAACATGAGTTAACCTCAACAATCTCTCCCCTTAACTCACATTAAGGAACAATAACCTCTATAACATACATTATTATTTCGTGGGAAATTCTAGACACAAACCTAACATAAGTTCAACTCTTAACACAAAAATTAAATCGAACCAAGCTATAGTGTAAAAACATAAAGAGGTAACTAAAAATCAATTAGCATAGAGTGAACAGAAATCTCGTAACCTATATAATTATTCCGTGGGAAGTTTTAGAAAAAAACCTAAAACAATGCTACTCTTTATATAAGAGTTAACTAGAACTAAGTCGTAACCATCACATGATAGAATAAATATATATAGAGATAACTAAAGATATTATATTAGCAAACTCTACTTACGTTTCACATGCACAACTTGCATGATTACAAAATGGTGCTTGAAACTCTCTATAGAAATAACTTTGATCAATATCTTGACTAGCTCAATCACTAGAGTTTACATCAAGATTGACTTGTTCAATAATCTGAGTTTACCGTCAAGATGGACTAGCACAATCATTAGAGTTTACCGTTAATCCACAACTAAATGTCGTTCGCGATTGATTGCGCCCGCAACTTATCAATAATGTTGTTCACAACTTGCCATCCGTCACTCGCAACAACCGTCACCTGCGACTTTAGTAGCTCGTTACCATCGTTGCACGTGACAACTGTCACCCGCTACTGTATCGTCCGTCACCTGCGACTTCAGTCGCTTGTGACAACCATCATCTGCGATTATCCGTTGCCAGCTACCTATGTCATCCGCAACTGAACCATTGTCTCCCGCAACCTCTTTTGCTAATTGACACATGCGATTGGATCTCACTGTCATCCGCGACCAATGTCGCCCGCAACCACGTTGAAAAAGAAAGACAATGACAGTTTCAGAGTTAATTTCTTCCTTCCGAGTCATCGTTCAGCTCTTGATAAATGTCCAGATGCACTATTTGCGTTGAGAGCTTTTGAACAATACCAAATTTGCCTATACTCTGATGAGAAATATTTTTGACAGAATACCCATCATCGTCACCGTTGGTCAACCGTCACCGTCGGTCACCGTTCGTCGTTCTCACTGTCACTCTTTGACTTTGTTTTCCTGCCAACGACGTTTGACCTTGATCACGTTGACTATCAACCACATTCAAAATCAATCACGTTTGAACTCAAACCACGCAAAAATCCGCACTACGCCTAAAAGCGAGCAGAAAACCTTGCTGTAGACCGCGTAAAACTGCGCTAACCGCGATGCAAACCGTACTTCAAACCACGTTGTGCCCAAACCGCGCTTGCACCGATCTCGCCGCTTGCTTGTTCCTAGTAGCCCTTCCTTGGGGTGCCACTTAACCTCGGCTTTGTCCACTTGCTGCCAACTCTTACCGAAACTACTCCTTTGATAAGACCGTCTGCCTTGCCGCGTTGAAGTGGAGGAGGAAAGTATCTTCACCACAGCCGTTCTTGCCGCGCGGTAGTGGAAAAAGGGAGGAAAAGACAGACCGCTCGCGCACGCGCCGTCTGCTTTGAGGTCGACTTCTACTCCTCAGATCGGTGAGGCCTGGCCGCTCTCAGAGACTCGTTGTCGATCTTGCAATTGTCCATGCCTCTGCCCCGGTTAGCGTTACCGCGCAAGTTTGAATCGATAACATTCAGCTTTACAAGAGGACGCATTGTGATTCTAATTCTGCTTGGAACTTCAGCAATTGCCGTGATGTTACTCCCGTTCGATCGCTTGCCAGACAGGCCTAGCCCCAACGTCTTCAACGTACAGTCTTGATCACAATTTCAAGGTTCACAGGCTTCTCATACGGGTCGTCAATCTTGATAAAAGCTTTGATCACTCCCTGCCGCGTGAGCTTGTACATGCCCTTCACGTCTCGCTCCTCGCATACCTTGATCTTGCGGATGTTCTCCTGTCGATCTCCAGCCAAAAAACCCCATATCTTTACAAGAGCCCTCGTGGATCTTGTCGCCGTTCATCACATACCTTTGCCATAAGATTCAAAATCTAATCCATCGCAAACGCCACGGTGCTCTTGTAGGATCCGCTCAACCATGTGATCCATCCGATGCAATCCTTCAGTTGCTTGCAAATCTTTAATGCCTATGCATGTGACTCTTGACGATTTCTAGCAAGCCGACTTTGCAACAGCCAAAGAAAAAAAAAGCCAATAGCTATAGTAGAGAAAATGTTGAAACTCAATTGCATAAATCCATGAGATCATTGGACTTTGTTTTTTGCTTCCTCCATGAATTTTGTTTACTGTACTACTTTGATTACCATTCGAGCCTGCTCATAAAACCTAACATTGACGTCTGTTCTCATACAATCATCTCTATCATGGGCTGAGTGTTCCTAAGTTTTTATCACATGGAAAATACAAGTGAGACTTTCAGGAAAAAAATTGGTTGAAGTAGCTTCTTTCGGAATTTGCCAAGGAGTTATACACCATAGCTTCTCTGTTCCAACCGCTGCCATGTACGTCCATCTGAAACGTGTACAAAGTCATGTTGCAAGAAGAGTTGCTGAGCAGAGGAGTTGGCGTGGAGAGTTAAAGAGGGCGAGATTTAGTCTCAAATCATGATTACGAGTGGTTGATATTGATTCCTCCTACGAGATACAAAAAATCGCTTTTCTAAAAAAACATTGTCAATAAACCAATCAGGTTTTAAACCACTCACTTGCACAAAAACCTCAAACTGGAACCGAACCTTACAAAGCTTTCAAAGTTTTCACTTGGATACTAAACAATAACTTCTGTCAGAAAACCGTCAACAAATTGTGACATTCAGAAAAGTGTCGAAATGAAATGTAACCCGTCAGAAATCAGGTTAGTCGTCTAAGACAAAATGTCAGCGTAATCTTTCAGCAGACACAAAGTTAATAAATTGACGACTACAGATCTGAACAAAAAACCGGCTCTAATATCAATTGTTAGTGTAAAACACAGAAGTGACTGAAAACACTCAAGATGTAACGTGGTTAATCCTCGGGAAAGAGTGCTACGTCCACCCAGAATTCTCAGCGCTTTACTTTAGGTCTTGTGAGAAATACTTGTTGTACAACATGAACCTGGGGATATACATCCCTAGTCCAGACGACCGTCCTAGCTATAAATAGCTAAGATTCGATGTTACTCCTTAATTGAAGTTAACCTCAATAGCAATTATAAAATATATCATTATGATATCGTTACAAATTGTTGCTATCACAACAATGCAACAACTGCATTAAGTTTTTGAAATCAAGCTTCTTATGTATATCATCATCTTGGAGTATTTGATCACATCCAAAAACATAGATAAAAAGTTATGTAAAAATCTGTATATTTTAACATATAGCAAAATGAAGCACAATTTGATATCCCTGAAATTTGATTGCATGAACAATATTATATGATCTATGCATTTAAAAGTATCACTAGTGCAATTCATAAATGGGCGTTATGTAAATTGTTATGTCTTGTACACATTATTTGTGCACATATGCAATTGACTAAGAAAATTATACAACATGATATTTGTTTAAAAGTTAAGCTCATGATCATGTATGCTTTGTTCTAAATTAGTACAATTTTCTGATGTATAATTTCACATACTGAATAAAATACTATTATTTTGTGAATCATACAAGATAAAAAAATTAAATGATATTTGAAAATAATATCTGTTAAATTTATAATTCTATAGTTTGAACACATCCATTTTAATTTTTTAACATTTTAAAAAATTTGATCTAACATTGGATTCAAGAGTATTACATAATACATATCCTTTGAATTTGACTGAATAAATTACACATACTAATTTTTTGTATTTTTTGTACAAGCAATATTTTCAGATAGAACCAACATGAATAGCAAATATAGATGGATAACTCATTGACTGGAACAAAGATATCTTATGTAATATTTGCTAAAATTGCAAGAACCTGCGCATAGTATGACGAATATCAAAAGCAATCCTATGGAAACTTCGTAGGAAACCATTTGAGCGGCAGAAGTTACTGCTCCCAAAAAAAACAAAATTGGAGTTGCTTGTCCAGCCTATTGACATGACACTTGACACTGCCTTTTCCTTCTTATTTATCACTTTGTGTGACACTATATATGTTACCATGAAGGCGAAGACGATGCCAAATATTGAGAATTTAGAAGATTAATCTCAGCAACACGTTCAGCGAGTTCTGTTTCAGATATTACTCCAAAAGACTTGTGCATCATCTACGAAATCTCTCCCCACAAACCTTAATCATCATTCGTTTTGGTCTATATCAAGGTAGCAAGAGTTTATGAACTGTCATTTCAATTAAATCAATATGCTTTATCAAGAGCCTATATCCCGTCTGATATATGCTGTCCGGAATTGTTTTGCATTCGAGAATAATATAAACGCTGTAGGGAGAGCGCCTACAATCCGACGGTCAAGAAAGTCAGGTTGCAGCATCTGCGTCGGAGTTAAAAGTCCACGCAGATCGGACTGTGTTCCATCAAGTTGGGTGAAAAAAATGCGAAGGTCGACAAGTTTCACCCCCCCTCACCAACGAATGAGTACTTTCAACGGTTGGGGCAACAACGTGGGCTTGACACACCGCAACCGGTGTGTCAATCCACGTGGTCCAGTCGGGACTCGGGTTAGATGAACACCATGGTCGGGCTCGATCTCCCGCACGCTGCGTCGGCTGCGGTAGCATGCCACTCCCGCCGCAGTACGATCGTTGCGGTGGACAAGTCGGAGCATGGGGATGAACTCGAAGGCTTCGTTTCCCGCCACTTTTCCGAACGGCTCTCCCCTTCGTTCGTCCGGTGTTCTTGTGGGATGTCCTCGGCCGCGCTTCCCAAACTGCTTCGAGCGGCGCGGGAGACTGCAGCGATTGAGATATTCGAGCGAGCGGTGGTCGAGTGGTCGAGGAAATTGCAATGACATTGGGAATTCGCCTCGTCAGTTCTGTCGGCCGATCCCTTGGACCGATTGTCCTTTCTTTGTCTTCTATCGTGGTGAACTGGCGAGTTTTCTCTTTCCCGACGCTGGAGCGATTTGGTTCTTTTTAGGTGCGACGTAGAGGCGGTTCGTTCTGTCGAGGAAGGCGATTTTGCTGGTCAGGGTTTTCAACAGGAGGCTCGCAACTCTTAATTCCGTGAGAGATTAGAGATGGATTGGGCCCTCGTGTATTCGGAACGCGCGTGGAATGCATTTGGAAGCAAAGTTCCTTCGGATGATTATTGAACTGATGGTCCTCGTCGAAGAACAGACGTAATGTCTCCGGCGTTTGCGTCAGCCTCGGAAATGGGCCGTCACGACATTGCCCCTGTGGAATATGATTGTCTCCACAGGTGCCTCTCCGATCTAGCGCTCGTGGATCTGGTAAGTTTTCCTCTCGCTATGACCACCCCCTCGTGTGCTTGAATGAACTCTTGGTTAACAGTAGGGAACGTGGAGAGCTTCTTTGCTTAATTTGTGCAAGCCAGAGCATGTGACTTTTGAATGAACAGTTGCTTCATGCCAGGCTTCGAAGGCGCAGCTTCTGCAGTCACTTTCTGCGTATCTTTCATGTGTGGCCTCGACGATGTCTGCCTCTGCCGATGACTACTCACTGTCCGCCCTGGTGGGGACCTTGAACGTTCGCCTTCAAAACGTGGAAGTCATCGAATTGCACAACTTACTCGCTCGGGAGCTCAAGAATCATACGGAACGTCTTGCGGGACCACATTCCTCAAGCCATATCTGCAGCAGTGCTGAAGGAGACAGGTCGGATGAGATTCTTACAAGGACCTTGCATCTCGAGGTTGTTTCTGAAACACTGCGTTGCTGCATACGAATCTTACCACTTGTGGACTGCTTCGACACTAGCGTGAGTCTAAGGGGTGCTGCTTTGCTGGATTCCCTCATGCAGCAGCTATGCTCCCCAGCAAGTCTCTGTGAGACACTGGTGAGGTTGTTTAAACACGGTGGACTGAGGGAGAAGCAAGAATTCTCAACCATTTCTAATTGGCGAACTGCAAAGACTCGTGGGGGCAAGAATGGACCTCTAGCTAACTTAACACAAAGCAGTGATTCGTCCTCGCGAAGTGATGCGGCTGGGGCTCCCGATGCAGATTTCCAAGTTGAAACCCAACGACGGATGGAGGTCTTTTTTGCAATATTGGAGGTAATCACGGCAAGATAAAATAGAGACTAAATTTGTGTACAAAGTACGTCCGGCAGTGTAGGGTTGTTCTTTGAGACAGGTCCAAGGAAATGGGAGCCATTTATTCACCATAAGTGGAGGTTTTGAAGATGTGCTACTCTGCAGAGTCCGTTGTGAAGAAATCACACACAGTTAGGATATTGGTTGATTGTTTTCAAACAGAGAGGTATTGTTTTCCACTTGTACATCTGGATCTTACATGCCGACCATCTGCTACCTCTTCACCATTTTCAGTTTCGAGTATTTGCCTCACACTAGAAGTCATGTAGCTTTGAATTCTCATAGAGGACTATGTGCTCATTCAGGTGTACATGGACGAATTACTGCTCTGCCCAGACCTAGGAGCGCGCTTGCTATCGTTCCGGAATGAGACGCGATCGTTCTTCAAGGAGGAACAGTTGATGTCATCATCCGCCCGACACACCGAAGCATCACTTGAGGCTGCTTTTGTTCACGCCCTCCTATACTGCTTATCAAAATTACATACGCACGGATCTGGGAACACTGCTCCTGAGGATGGATTGCTTGTATGCAACCTGAGCTTGCCAGCAAGTCTGCTTCTACTGGAAACGTTAGCAGTTGAAAAGATTCCAGCAATTTACATGAAACACATTTTTCAGCTCGTAGCCAGAGTTCTTGACAGCAGTGCATCTCGGGAGGCCCAAATGGCGGAGATGACGATATTAACTGGACCTGAGGAATGTAGTTTCTGGTCGGGGGGAATAGACTGGTCCTACTGTCTCAAGCGGGTATCGAGAAAGCGCGATCCTGTAGAGTGGATTCTCAGACCCAGAAGCTCATCGTCAGTAACTACTGTTCACTTTGCGTCGTCAATCTTTGAGCAGGCGATGATGCTTTTCAAAAAAATTTCTACTTCGAGTACAGGAGGTGAACCTGGTGGCTTGGTCTTGCCCCAGAGTGCCGACAATTTGCTTGTTAATATTTGTGCCATGAAATATAGAAGTCTAGCGGAAATATTATGCGAGAATTCTGAAATGGAGCCGTCGGAATTCTTTGCCCGCTTTGAAGGATATGCCAGTCAAGTGTTGGATCTTGAGAGAGCAACATTTAGTAGGGAGTCTGTTGATATCATTTCTTCCTGTAGCGACATCTACCTCGAAGTCGTTGAGAGCTACGTTTGCCATGACAGTCATGTTCACAAAGCTAGAAGGAACACTGACTCCCTTTCGGTGGAAAAGAATGGATATAGGTATGGGGACTCTTCTTTGGTTTCGGCTGCCTTGCAGTTAGGCATTAGTTCACTGGAGTGTATCACCAGAGAGATCGGAAACATGCTACGCTTCTCATCCGATACTCCCCATCAAGTTTCCAGTGAACAGCAGAGGTCGGCAACACTTCAAGCGGACGATGCTGACAAGATTCTGGAACTCGTGAGTATGTACCTGAGTTCATTTTTACCTAGTGACGTCCAGGCCTGTGCCGAGTTCGTTGACTGCCCTTCTGGAAAGAGAGAAACGGGAACCGTCCGTCGTGGTCAGAGTTCTCTAATCGGTTCTGTAGGAAAGGCGATACTTTTCTTTACGAACATCTTCTGTGGTCAAGTTCAAAATGGAGCACCGGAAGAACTACTTGAGGATTATTTTCGTATTTTGGAATCATTGGTAGCCTTGCTACTCGTTGTCGACGGGAAAAGGAGCTCGACGCCTTCTTCTGACCTTTACTCCACTGAGCCCAATCCCAACGTTTCTTGCGACAGAACAACTCATGTTCACGAATCCAGCATAGGGATTCGTGAATACGAGAGCAGTTCCTTCTCGTGGTTGGAAGCTATGGTCCTTCTTTTGCAGAACATGCTTCAGGAGGTGTCAGCGCAGCAGGTAAAACTTAAACTGTACCTTAGTTCTCTTTCTGGAGTATTAGTAGAGGATGCCGCAAATGAAAATCGACTGGTTGCCGGGCATCGTAGTTGTCATCTCAATGCAGTGAAATGGATAGTGAGTATCTTATTCATTCGAAAGTTGACTTCACGACGAAGTTCTTAACATGCGGTAGTATAGGGTTAGGTGTCTTGTGGACGTAGCCACAGACGAATATGTGAAGTTTTGGCTCAAGGATGTGAGAATCTCTTACAAGTTTTTTGGTTCTCCTGTACTCAGCGGCCCTTACCGGAGTTCTTTCTAGACTTTGTCTTGGAGAAGGTTTCCAGAAGCGATGGTTTGAATCTAGCTGCTATGGCATTCACCGGTTCTCTCGAGCCATGTCGAGGTGAACGAGATCTTGTGCTCCAGATTCTGCAGTTAGCTCTGGAGAAGCCAACGAGACTATCTTCCTTTTCAACTCTCATTGGTTACATAAGCGATATGTTGGAGGACCTTCTGCCCATTACAGCAAAACTCTCCTTACCTGAAGTCGCTGAGTCCCTCTCCTGCTATGAACATGTGGCATCAAGCTTTACTCTTGCATGCCAAACAGCAGTTTCTGGACGGGTTATGGTTCTCAGGAATGACCAGGAATGTCGTTCTTGGTTGCTGTCTAGAATGTGTGAAGGTCTTGAGCGCCTCTTTACAGAAGGCACTGCAGTTGCTGAGTGGATCAGTAATTGGAACCGCTCCGTGACAGTTTCGAATTCTCAAAGTTCTTGTCCTGGTGAAGGACAAAACAAGTGTGGGGCGTCATCTACAGATGCAGAACAGCTTGAGTGCTGCAACCATTTCCTTGTCCAAATCGAGAAGCTGCGGAGAGCCGTGTATTCCATGCGCAATGCATCTGACTGGTTCCTGGTATTGTCAAAATCTCCATAGTAATGCTAAATCTTGAGAAGTCTGGTACAACTTGCTGACTTGGTGTTTGTCCTCTTGCTGTGTTAGAGGATTTTTTTTCTTTTGTTTAGTGTTGGTTGATTGTCTTGGGAAGGTATATCGAGTTCTCACGTGTCTGGGGCTATCCTTGAAAGAATTCTGACTGAGGTGAATGCCTGGCAGATAGCAGAATTGGAGCTTTCATCTTTGTCTTCAAAATCCAGGACCTTTTTGGAGGCCTTCTTGAGACTGAGGATGACCGTCGACAAACCTATGTTTCCAAAGAGATGCTTCTGTTTAAGTGAGGAAAAACAGAGCCTCCATCCAGCCACAGCTGTGGTATCAGTTGAGCTAGATTCCTTGATGAACAACCAGCAGGAGGAAGCTCGAAGCAATGGAATGTGTGATATCAGCTTACCCGGCAGAAGCTGTAACAAAAAAGTTTCCGAATCTGAAGAGTGTGATTCCATGGCTGACATTGGTACATCCCAGGAGGACATTGCACGGATTGCAGTCGCTGATCCACTGTTACCAGGAAGGGGATCTCCGTGCGAAGGTAGTCCAGCTGTAGAACCGATCCCTCAGGACTCCGATGCACTGATGCACGATTCTGCTAAGGACCCAGACCCAAGTTCAGTCAATATCGACTGCCCTCTTTCAGTCAGAGAAGACGACTCACATTTTGAACATGCTTTGATTTGCACTACACAAGAAATCCAATTATGTGGAGAAGGAACTACTACGACTGGTTTTCCAGATAACCGCGAGGTGTACAAAGTGGCCATGGTAGGAGAGCCAAGTACGAACACAGTGAGAGAACACGACTCACGTGGCGAAAATGTTCATGCGGACACTCAACAAAAAGGTCTAAAGTGTGGGGAAGAAAAGACTTCAACTAATTGTCCTGGTAAGGATGAGCCGTCTAAAGTTCCCGTCGTGGGCAAGCGGATCACAAGGTCTTCAGCCTTGTTGATGGCCGAGTCTTCACATCATGTAGGTGAAGCAAAGTTGAGCGATGCCGAGATTGTGAGTGACCCGGTAGAGCTTCCGAACTCGAAGAAAAGACAGATTCATTCATCTACCACATTAGCAATTGCCAAGAGATTCATGCAGACGCGCCAATCATCAGGGAAGAGGGCAAAACGGGAGAATCAAAACTCCACGGACAGGTTGGATAGATACTTCGATTCCACTCTATGGTTTGATTGTGTACATCTGGACTCTTCTTTGCAGCCTTCATGCTATTGTTTTCTTATCTATTCTCTCATTTATTTGTTGCGGAGCTGTATACACGATTTCCAAGCTACTCATTTCCACCCCACCTCTTCTTGTCGTGTCTTTTTTTTTTTGGTTTTTGTTTTTGCCTCACTGTTTATAGCATGTTATTAGCTCTGCCTGTAGTTTCAAGGTTCAGGATAAACTTTTTCTCAAGAGTACTTTCCTTGGTGACTTTGTCTGGTTATGCAGGTACAAGGAAGTGTTCGATCTCGTTCCACTTACTTCAAGGGAACAGGAAACAGTGGATCTTGAAATCGAACAACCAAGACACAATATTGATGCAAAGGATCAGGAAGTAGCTTGTACTGAAGTTGTCTCCAACCCTTACATACATACTTTGCTTCAAGCTGATTCTTGTCAGGAAAGTTTCGATGACTTGAACGACTTCATTGTGTGCAAGAAGGGGAGAAATTATACTCAGTGGTTGAAAAATCGTCAAAAGGTGAGACGAAGGCTACACAACAGGAACCTCTTCAAGAGACTACAAGAGAAACGAGATCTCTTGCTTCTTTTGGACATAATGGAATAATATACTCAAAAATAGGGAATGTAAGAATGTCGGAGTAGGGTTTGATATGAAATCGTGGTCACTCATCGTGCAGATCAAGTCCCAAAGATTTGGGAATTGATCAAAGTGTACATCAATTAGCTCAGGACAGATATATTTAGCAATTAGATCTACGTTAAACCCAGGTAATCCCGCTCACGAATATATGATGAGTTCTGGGAGGACATGAAGCGGAGTCAAAATCAACTCCCAGTACTGGGACCATGTAATCTAGTGTATCAACTTGTCACGCATTGTGGCAAAGCCTCAATTCTTTGTGCTCAATATTGAGCCCGAATCAGAGAAAAATTACTTCTTAATCAGAGGCTATGTCGGCTCAGAAGCTTGAAGTTCCGAAAGTGTTTCCTTTTGAAATATCGTAACAAATAGTTTCTAATTATAATCAAGGATCATGAATATCACGATTAAAGTAAATAAAACTCGAAATAAATAATAAGTATATTCAGAGTTACAGTAGCATGAAATCTGATCTCACAAAAGTGTGTACAAATTTAAATTGAATAAGATTGTAACTGTCACTATCCGAACTGCATCCATGATCATGTCGTTGCCTGCCATTATCAATAAGTTTGAAGTGGATCTGTGAAGTGATTAATTCACTAAAGGTGGAACTATTGATGAGGATATATGAGCTTTAAAGAACTTCATTGTGCATATTGCATTGTCTAAAAAAGCGAAAATAAGTTATACTCCAAAACAGAAAAAATTAAATTATCATTAAGAATACATCATGTATAGCTCGGCCCACTGTTTGCTCATAATAGTCAAAGAAATACTCTACATCGCAACTTTGAATTTTTTTGACAGAAATATCCTTGATATGTATATGAGTGACGTGGATAAAATATTATACCTTTTACATGTACTATTATTTACAAGGTGTGTACACATAAATTGAATTTCTAACGTCTTTCTTGATAGATCTACTATTTTTGTGTCTAAAATTGTAGATCTGGTAAATGCATTACGAGATAATGTAACCATTCCTTATACAACTTTAAGACATGTTTAGGTTATATTTCTAGAACTGATGCATGTTTTTTAATATTGCCTTAGAAAAATTGATTTTTAGGGCATACATTCCTTAGGTTTTAAAGCTTGATGAGTGTATGCATTAACTAAATCACAGCCTTCACTTGTGAATGTTCTATTACCTTAGACTTAGTAGGTTTTTTACAGTTGTTAATTTAAAGATCAGAGTATAAGCCATGATATAAGTAGGTGTTCCATCAAGGTTGTGGTTTGCTATGTTATAAGCAGAATGAAGCATCAACAGTATTATCATATATAATTATAGAGAGCTCAATTTTTTGATATTCTAGTTTTGAAATAAAATGGAACTATTATATAAATTTTGATGTTTTTCTTAGAAAAATTGATCCTAGATAACAAGTGCATCATTCTCTTTAGGTATCCATGTAACCCGTTGTATCAATTTGTTTATTTTTTTTTTATAGAAAACACTTCTTAGAATTTTTCATGGTGAATAAAGAACCTTGTGTCATGATTTGATATATGCTTTGTTGTTTACAGAAATTTTGATCTAGATAGTATATATCTCTAACTTATTATATTTTAAAGTATTACCTAAAAGGATTATCATTTTTATTTCATCGAAGCCTACGATTGCATTTACTCTTGAATGTGATCCATGAAGGACTTGTCGGGGTCTTCGCATCCTCTATGTAACTTTACATAGTATCCAACAAGTGTGTGTTGCTACTAGGTGGGGATTAAGATCATGTTGACTCACAGATCGTTGTTTGGTTTAGAAATTTTTTTCCTGGAAAGACGTCAGAGTAATTGGTTATGCTCGAATTCGAAAAGAGCTGAGGAGCTCGCATAAACTCTCCGGAGAGGTCTGGCAGCTCTGATGGTCCACAATATTATTATTCCACGCACATGTCGTCTTATTATGTCACAATATGTCGTCTTGTGAACTCAGTCTACGTCATAAAGGTGCTAAGGTAGGTGCATTAGCTTCTGCTGTTCCAGTTGAAACTCTGGAGATGGATAATTGTTAGACTTTCCATCGCAAATCCTAACAATAAACTGTAATTGATGCTCCCTAAATATATTCTGCACAACATAGCCTATGTCGTGATATGAGCATATCAGGGGGAATGAAGAGGGGGAGCACAACAAGCAAATCGAACGAATCAAAGAAATTTCATCATTGTCCGTGTGCACAAGCGACGCAGTACAACATTTGAACGAGTGTCCAAATCGGGAGCTCGCTCGGTCAATGAGCCCTCCCGGAGACTGGACGTTGGAATGGCCCGAGTCCTCCTTTTCTCAGGACACTTGTCCAGCCTTCAACGCCCTCAAAGCCCTTATTAGCCCCCTTCGCTTTTAATGTTCGGACCTTCGGCCCCGCAGTTATTATTACCCCTCGTCGAGCAACGCGCGATCCGATCGAAAAAATGTTCGATGAAGAGGCGCCTGCTCAAGGGAAGGTAGGGGACGTTAAGGGACGACGAACAGATTCACCGCTAGTCAGCCAGCAGTGAACTGGTGGACATCCGTGCGATGACCTGGACCAATCAGAGACAAGGTGCCGGACAGCATGGCAGAGACACTGTGATGTGGCATTCGACCTTCACCTGACACAGAGTGTGTACAAGAGATTTAAGGTTCGGATTTGAAGTCCATGGACCGAATTTTACAGCTTTTTGTTGGCCCGGTTGGTGGACGGGCTGCGACTGATTTTATTTCTAGTAGCCGCCTCGTTTAAAGCATGTCGCAGCGTGGACATAAGCTGATGCTGTTCATGATCAATTCTACTCATTTCTAATTACGGCATGCCGGGAAGAAATTGTCCCACCCGAATCTCGTCTTCCCACTGATCAATGAAGCTCGACAGAAGAGTACTCTGCGCTATTGTCTACATGTCTAAGGTGACTAAATCAACGTGCTGAATCGCCATGGATCGACAGCGATCTTCACTAGATCCCGGAAACAACAGCATTATGATCATTATTTCATTTTCCGTGATCGGCCGTCGTAAAATGCGCAGCCGAGACTCCAAAGTCTAATCTTCAAATCCACCACCACGATTTCATCAGTTTCAAACGCTCTCAGACTCAATCCAGTTCATGATCAGGCTTTCTTCCAAACGAATGCAGTCCATCGGGCAGAAAATGTGAACCTCTTGGATCAGATCGCCTTGTCGTGTACTCCTTCCTTCGCTGAAGGCAGGCGATGCGACTCCGCCGAGACAGTCAGTCAGTCAGTCAGTCAATGGAATGAACAGACAAAACTCGAAATAAAGAGCAATGTTGGACTCGGAGCTAATCACAAGATTACGTTGGTACACTACTCAGTCAAGGAAGCAAAGTTCCTTCTGCTCGAGACGAGCCATAAATAAGGTATTTATGGCTGCTATTGAAAATATCAGCTTTGACCGAGTTACTGCGGAGTTCGTCCTTTGATTGCAATCATTCGGAGCGAGCTCGACTCTCACCACCTACCAACCTGTGATTCTGATCCTGCCTCATGTGGGATCGAACTCGGTTGCCGAGGCGGCTCATGTCCATGTTCCGGATCGGCCCCGTAATATTCATATATATACAGCGTCCACGTTTGGATGGTGGCAGCCCGAAATAGAGTTCGGATCGAGCGATTCTCCGAGCATGTCTTTGGTGGGCCTTCAGCAGCGGGAATTGATTTTTTGATCGTCGAATTCGGAGTCATTGCCATTGCTAGGTGGGCCTCACTGCCAGCGGAGAGAAAGGGAACCTCCTCAGTATTACATCGTCAGGCCTCAGAGCTGCTCTCTCGAGCCACAGCATCGACAAAAGGACGATCGAATTCCTCGAGCATGGCGTAGATTGGAAATCCGAACCCACAAATGGCAAATCCGGCCATGCACCTTGCAGCTGCGTCTGGCAGAATGAGCTCGCGAGAGGCTCCGGGCCCCGAAGTATAATCCAATCTTCTCTCTCGGTCCTTCCTCTCAGACTAGGAAATTGGACGCGACTCTGCGAGAGTGCTGCGATGGCGTCGACGTCGGCGGACTCTGAGGCGGGCGGAGCGAAGGCGATGATGAGGAGCGTGAGCACGGGCTTGCAGGAGCTGGGCGCGAGAGTGACGCAGACGATCGAGAGGTACGTGAGCGTGGGGACTGGGGCCGGGGCGATGGCGGCGCACAGCACGCGCAGCGCCGAGGACGACGAGGAGGCTCTGATGTGGGCGACGCTCGAGAAGCTGCCCACGTACGACCGCCTGCGCAAAACCGTGCTCTGCGACCTCAAGGGCAGCCGCCGGCGCCTCGACACCGTCGACGTGCGCAGCCTCAAGCAGCAGGATCGCGAGGCTGCCATCGACAACATCATCGGCTCCGACGCCCCCGCCGACAATGAGAAGTTCCTCTCGAAGCTCCGCGAGCGCTTGGAAAAGTGAGTTCATTCCGGCATTGGATCAGATTCCGCACGACTGAATTTCTCTGCTCGTCGATTTATGTTTGCAATGCCCGTCTTGACTCCAGGGTGGGAATTGAGCTGCCGAGGGTGGAAATTCGGTTCGAGAATCTGCACATTACTGCTCAGTGCTACGTCGGAAGTCGAGCGCTTCCCACGCTGTGGAACGCGGCACTGAATTTCACCGAGGTACGTGTTGGTACTGACTGACATGGAACGGCATGGCTCTCTTCATAATCTCCAGTTATCACCCTCGTGTTGTTCGGCCATGATTCGAACCTTCTCTATTCATGAACATGTCTCGTTTTCTCTACGGATGGCTGGAACTCAGAAGATTGGTCCACTGATCTATCTTCTCCTCTGCAGGGTCTTCTCAACTCTGTCGTGCCAGGGATTTCGAGAAATAACAAGACGACCATTACAATTTTGGACGACGTGAGCGGAATCATCAAACCCGGCAGGTTCGAGACGATTGAACCACCATACACAATCCGGAGCTTGCGTCTGCTACGAAAGTCCAAATCTGAAATTCTCGAGTTTTAGTTAGCTCCATGTCTTTTACTAGACAGCTTCTAATGCTGTACACATGTTAGGGAGAAAACACATTTATTTATTTATATTCATTTGTTTAAACATGCAAGAGAGCGGTAGGAATCATACCTTACGTGGTGGATTATTGCTCTAGGATGACTCTTCTGCTTGGACCTCCGACCTGCGGGAAGTCAACTCTTCTCTTATCTCTTGCCAACAGGCTGGACTCAAATCTGAAGGTAAGTCCTCGCCTCAGGCCAGCAGAGGCTGCTGTGATTTTGACGGCCAATGTGGCAGCCCTTAGAAACAAATCCAAACGTGCGTGTCGCTGCTGCTCATGACAGGTGATGGGCAAAGTTTCCTACAACGGCCACGAGTTCCATGAGTTCGTTGCACAGAAAACTTCGGTTTACGTGAGCCAAATGGACCTGCATCAAGGCGAACTCACCGTCCGAGAAACACTGGACTTCTCCGCACGCTGTCAAGGAATTGGAGCAAGATTCGGTGAGTTCGACGATAAGCTGTCGCATGCAGCTGTTTCTCAAGGTCCCGATGATTTTCTCCACATAGAAAAGTGAATGATCTACTCTCTGACGGAGGTTATGGAATAGCTCCAGGTCCAGGCCCGAGGGGATCATGAACAGTCTGAGTCACCGGACTGCTTTAAAAACTTACCTGCGTTTATCTCGGTATGACTGTGTTCACAGACCTCTTAGAAGAGCTTTGCAAAAGAGAGCGAGAGCTCGGTATTCGTCCTGATCCAGACGTGGACTTTTATATGAAGGTGAGTTGAGCTCGGGCTGGGTAAACCTGGTGTTTGCTCTCCGTGTTCGAAAAAAAATACGAGGATTCCGAGCTTTAACAGATTGAGCTCAATAAAAGCATCACCAAACATTATAATCACCAGCTCAGATATGGAACTTGCTTATGTAAGTGTCATGTAACCAACTATGTATGCTCCCCATAATTATTCAGCTGCACTGAATATCATATTGAGCTTTCCTACGTTCCGTACATTTTCTTATGTTACTTACGACTCGTTTTTGAATGCAGGCTACAGCAGTAGAAGGGAAGGGTCGAAACTTCTCGACAGACTACACCTTGAAGGTTTGTGCTTTGTGTAAGAAAACAGCCACTAGCGAGATCGTTGAGTGAATGCCCGCACCCAGACTGTTATTTGTGTTTTGTATTTCCGTCCCCTAATGATTGAGCACTGCAGATCCTCGGTCTAGATGTGTGCGCAGACACAGTGGTGGGTGATGCCATGCGTCGTGGTATATCTGGTGGTCAGAAGAAAAGAGTCACTACAGGTATGCTAACTTTCCGGTGCTATAGGCGACCACCATTGAATGATGACCAGAATCCTTGAAATCTGCCAGGTGATTGAGAATATGCTCAACTTCGAGACTAAATTCAATATAAAGGACTGATAAGAGAAATAACCGGTTTCCGGATGAAGAGAATAAGCGACCTGTATGATTTAAATCGGTTGTCATCTGTTCTCGACCAGCAGGAGCTAATCCTTGCAATGTCCTACAACTCAGGTGAATTGATTGTGGGACCGTCTCGAGTTTTGCTCATGGACCAGATATCCGATGGTCTAGATAGTTCTACTACGTTCCAGATCATTCAATGTTTGGGTCAACTTGCACATTACATGGACTATACGATCGTCATAAGCCTACTTCAGCCAGCTCCTGAAACCTACGATCTCTTCGACGACATTCTTCTCCTATCCGAAGGCCAAATCTGTTACCATGGGCCTAGAATCGAAGCCACGTCGTTCTTCGAGACCATGGGATTCGCTTGCCCAAGCAGAAAAGCTGTACCCGATTTTCTTCAAGAGGTATTTAATTCTGTTCATCTATGTAATATAATCACATCCACTAGAATAACGAAGCTAGAATGTCTTTTGACAGAGACACAGAGGGCGAGCGTGTTGAAGAGAGAGCAAAGGAGACGCATGGATTAAATAGTAGACATGGTTAACTGTTGTAATCAGGAAACTGGAGTCCTGATTGAGTTGTGTCCATGGCAGCTGACTTCTATAAAAGACCAGGAGCAATATTGGGCCGACAAAAGTAAGCCGTACAGGTATATCACAGTAAAAGAAATGGCAGCAGCTTTCAAGTCGTATCACGTGGGCACAAACATGACATCAAATCTGAACATCCCGTTTGACAAGTCCACCAGCCACAAAGCCGCTCTGGCATTCGATTCACAATCGTTGAGCAAGAGGCAGATTTTCAAGACTGTTGTCCAGCGAGAGGTTCTGATGGCGAGGAGGAACTCTCTAGTCTTCTTCTTTCGACTTTGGCAGGTACCTCGCAGCTCAATTCAGCTCCACGAAAAAGTTTTTTGAGCTTGTTCCAATACGTGGCAACGCTTCAGATCGAGTTCTACCGAAGTCTCAAATGTGTTTCACGTGAAGTCATTCATCGAAAGCAGGTGCTCTCCTGCCATAGTGATCTGTCTTGTACATATTTATGCCTCACCATTGACGCGTTCGATTCGTTTGCAGATTATATTCATAGGTCTTGTCGGGATGGGGATGTTCATCCGGCCCAGGATGCACCGACACGATCTCCAGAATGCACAATTATTCAACGCCGCACAATTTTTCGGCCTGACTAACACGCTGTTCAACGGATACGCTGATCTTGCACTGATGGTCGCTCGTCTGCCAGTGTTCTTCAAGCAACGCGAGCTCTACTTCTTTCCCGGATGGAGCTTCGCACTCTCCTTCTTCGTTCTGGGAGTTCCCGTTACCTTCCTGGAAGTTCCTGCTTGGGTCGCCTTGACATACTATCCCATCGGATATGCACCTTTCATTGGACGGTAAATCTTCTGCCTTCTGCTTGATCGATTTCAACTCCAAGCTTGTTAGAAACATGATCAGACAAGTGACAAGCGACGGCAGAGTCAGGGAACGAACTACCTGAAGCCTAGAGTGTACTCAGTAATCTATGGATAGTTAAGGCCTGAGCTAGCGCTGTTGGCTTAGCCGTGACCTCGGCTTACCTAGGTCCAGTTCCCGATTGATGTGGTATGCTCATGAAGAATTTCTAATCCGTCTCCGTGGTTGTTATGGGGAACAGATTCTTCAAGCACACACTTCTCCTGTTGATTCTCCATTCGATGGCAGGAAGTTTGTTTCGATTCGTTGCTGGTGTTTGTCGATCCATGGTCATCTCCAACTCAGGTGGTTCAGCTGTTCTTTTGATAATCTTCACCATGGGAGGTCTGCTGGTGCCAAGGAAACCCATCAAAAGTTGGTGGATCTGGGGCTACTGGATCACGCCTCTCTCGTACGCCAACAACGGCATTTCAGTGAATGAATTCATGGCTCATCAGTGGAAAAAGGTACGTAATTGCCCTGCGCAACTGGAATGGGTTATCCACCCTTTCAATCGAGAAGGCTTGATGTCCATTCGATTCGCACCTCTAGTCCCAGTAGAGATCTCGAATTCCCAGTAGGCGGAAGAGTATTCCGGTCCTGCTATTATCTATGTTTCGGCCTGTTTTATGGAGTCCATGGGGCTTCGTGTGGACAGCCTGTGGCAGGATCAAACAGATGGCTGGGCATTGAGTTCCTCCACGACGTCAGTTTATTTGCCCACGGCTACTGGTACTGGATTTCTGCAGCTGCGCTTGTGGGCTTCGTCGTGTTCTTCAACGTTGGGTTCGGCTTCGCCACCACATTTATGAAGCGTGAGTCCTTCTCCCTCAGCTGGCCATGCCCTCGGACTCGACGTTCACTGTGATCTTACAGTCTTAATGACAGTCGGTTTGCATTGTTTGGCCTTCTAAACACGGGATCCTGCGTGTCCGTATGCGTGTGCAGCTCTGGGCAGGCTTCAAGCAGTTATACCAGCGAAAGCGCTTGCAGGAAAGGAAGCCAGTAAGAATGGAACGACATTGCCCACGACTGGAAGCTCGGGTAAGCTAACCTCGAACACATGCCCGAGATCTCCCTCGGCAGATCAAGAAAACCTTCATTCACGTCGATGACTATCGCCAATTCGGGCATGCAAATCTTCAGCCCATCAATACAAGCACCCTTAGGACGTCTGACGTACTTCGTCCGCCAGCTACGTGTTGTTGTTGGAATGCCTCTTTGCTCGCTGCCAACTTTAGTGTGACCACATTGAATCTTACGACTCGACAGTCATAGATTAGCAACGTGGTGGTGAGGAATTCAGCTAACAAACTGAATCTGACAGGATACCATGAATCTCTACGCTGCCACCCTGTTCAGAGACCCAGGAATGGATCGGCACACTTGTAAACTAAACGTGTGGTCGTTCTGTGCCTACTACTCCAGGTCCAGCCGTTCCAACTCCAGCAGCTCTTGATCGTGATCGGAGCACCTCGTCTGCCGCCGCCCCCAGCCGCCAGAGCCCCATGAACTTGGAGCCATTGACGGCAAGGCGATCCGAAGTCGTGACGGCGCGCCCTCCCGCAGCTAGACACGGAATGATCCTGCCTTTCCAGCCGTATTCCATGTCGTTCAAGGATCTGAACTACTTCGTCGACATGCCACCTGTAAGTCTTCTCTCCAACTTTTAGGAACCCATTGGGAGCAGGAGGTTTGGCATTCTCTCAAAACGTCCACTCGTGAAGTCGACCCAGAATTGCACTTCACAAGAGTACAACACCTCTCCAGATCTGAAACCTTTGTAACTTCGAGTGTACCTGACCATAGCACTTCTACATAGTTGAAAGGGTGAGCGAGTTATTGGCAAAAGGGGCGGGAAGACCCCGTCAAGCAGTATCTGATGTGATGAAACCAGACGTTATGATCTGGCTAGGCTTAGTAGCATCGATCATGTCTAACATATTCGATGTACTAAGCAGGATCGAAAACTCATCATTCATCGACTTATCTCTACAACTTGGATATTTTCATCGACCACGTGAATATTTTAGATCGATGCACATGAAGAAACAAACTGACTAGGCCCAGTAGCGCACAATAGAGAATATATACATGAATTACATCTGATATAAAGGTCAGGATTTGAAAGATGTTTATACTATTGAGCATAGAAGAACCATCATCTAACGAGATTTGGGTCAAATGTCCTGATCGTCCTGACGCGTGCAAAGGTCTAAAGGGACTTCGGCAGCATAGTTTCAATTAGCCAGTGGACTTTCCCGGGCTTGCACTGAGCGAGGGGGAAAGCCCCATATTGCTTCGTGAGAAACTCGACCGCAGTAGAATAGAAAACTACTCTGGGACGATTCGGTCGGTGCACAAGAAATGAATCCGAAGTCGTTCAGACGAGGGTAATAAAGCCAGAACTTATGCGTTTGTGCAGGCGATGAGGTCGGAAACGTCGGGCGACAAGCTGCAGCTGCTGCACAATATCACGGGCGCATTCCGGCCGGGAGTGCTGACGGCGCTGGTGGGAGTGACGGGGGCCGGCAAGACCACTCTGATGGACGTGCTGGCGGGGAGGAAGACCGGCGGCTACATCGAAGGGGACCTGCGCATTTCGGGTTTTCCCAAAAACCAAGAGTCCTTTGCAAGAATCGCCGGTTACTGCGAGCAGACGGACATCCATTCTTCTCAGGTCACCGTCGAAGAATCTCTCATCTACTCGGCCTGGCTCCGTCTGCCGGACGAGGTTACCAACGAACAGAGGACGGTACGTTGCATCCACAACTCCGACCGCTACTGCGTTACCGACAAATCCATCCATCCGTCCGTCCCAAGACGCCCAAATAGGATGGAGGACTGACGTATTTCTCAGTTGACCAGCAGTACAAAAGCGAAGCGTCTAGCGAGTTCTTTAGGATGGACGATTGAATACGAACGCAATTGCATGGCAGCGCCAACGTCGGCGTTGACGTTGACGTGGCAGATGCTGACGCTGACGCTGATGATTTTGGACAGGCGTTCGTGGACGAGGTGATGCAGCTGGTGGAGCTGACGGAGCTGAAGGGAGCGCTGGTCGGGATTCCCGGGCAGTCGGGTCTGTCGACGGAGCAGCGCAAGAGACTGACGATCGGCGTGGAGCTGGTGGCCAATCCGTCCATCATTTTCATGGACGAGCCCACGTCCGGCCTCGACGCTCGCGCCGCCGCCATCGTCATGCGCACCGTGCGCAACACTGTGGACACGGGACGCACCGTCGTGTGCACCATCCATCAGCCCAGCATCGAAATCTTCGAGGCCTTCGATGAAGTGAGTGCAGCACTCTGAGCTGGGACGAAGAGTCTGCTGTCTCGCGGATCGGTGGAGCTGAAAGAGCCAAAATGTTTCCTGGAGTTGATGGTTGAGTACTTTGATTTCCACTGGACCCATGTTCTGACCTCTACCCCATCTCGGCTTTGATTCGCAGCTGCTTCTGATGAAACGCGGAGGTCGGCTCATCTACGCAGGACACTTGGGCAAAATGTCTCGGGACCTCATCGAGTATTTTGAGGTTCGCACTGTCCACCACAACATTTCTCGCACGCGGACGATTGGCATTTTTTAAGGATATTTGTGGATGGTCGAAGAGTTCAATATGCAGCATCTACGTACTACTATCATCCGGACTTGAAATGGGGTCCGTGTCCAGGACATGGAATTTATACTGCAAGGACAGCAGATGCATTGGTCTAAGAATGAGCCCTGGCTTCGTGTGCTGTGCAGACCACGGTTCCAGATGTACCCAAGTACAAATCAGGCATGAACCCGGCTACGTGGATGCTGGAAATCAGCAACAACGCAACGGAGAAGAAACTGGACGTGGACTTCGCCGAAGTTTACATGAAGTCGTATCTCTATGAGTGAGTCAAGCCACTGGACAACAGACACAATCTAGAGTACATGTTGTGGTGGTGGCTTCTGGATACATCTAGTTTTTCTCCAAACTAGCTCGAGATCATCTATCTGATCATGGCATTGGGTCGCCTCGTCCATGAATTTCTGCTGACAGGAAGAACAAGGCGATCGTAGACGAGCTCAGCTCGCCGGCACCAGGTGCCAAGGACCTGGAATTCTCCACCAAATACTCTCGCGGTTGGAAAGCCCAGTTCACGGCTTGCTTGTGGAAACAAAATCTCACGTACTGGCGCAGCCCTGACTACGTGAACGTTCGCTTCATTTTCACCCTCATTGCTGCCCTCCTGATGGGAACCGTCTTCTGGCGGATGGGCCACAGAAGGTACTTACGTACACACAGAACTCACATTCTGCTGGACCCTATTGACACAGCTCGTACTACATTCCAGATCATCCATTGGAATATTATCACTGGCTGCTAACTAGACTTTGAGAGCCTTGGACATGGCTACCTTTATCATGGGTCCACGATGTACACTTTGATGGAGGGGGGATTATTCAGGTCGACCAAAACCTCCGGGATCAGAACTGGAAATATGAAGTACAGGGTCTAGAGTGGACTTGTTGAAACAGTTGCGGCAATAAACTGCAAAACGATCGATCTAACCTTTGATTTCTGACTTGATTTCGTTGTTAGGCGAGACCAACTCTCCATTTACAGCGTGATGGGATCATTTTACGCCTCCATTCTGTTCATAGGAGTCACGAATGCCCAAACCGTGCAGCCTTTGATTGCATCGGAGCGTTTGGCTTTCTACCGAGAAAGAGCTGCCGGCATGTACTCTGCTTATCCTTATGCCATAGCTCAGGTACTCAAACGATCCCTCACTCCCTCCCTAGAGCCGTGACTCTCTAAAGTACCGCAGTTATCATGGCGTTGTTGCATCTGTGTAGAACGATTTGGTGCCAGATCCAGTGGAATGTTTGGCAAAGGCACCAGATCATTGCAAGATCATGTGACTATATGACTGGATCCAACCTTGACGTTTATGTCCCCAGATTTTGAACGAGGTGCCTTATTCTCTCCTCCAAGCGACCCTCTACACATGCATCGTATATCCCATGATATACCTGGAGTGGACTGCGAGCAAGTTCTTCTGGCAGATCTACTTTCTCTACTTCGTCTACCTCACATTCACATATTACGGCATGATGGCCGTCTCAGTGACCCCCAACCCCGAAGTTGCCAGCATTCTGGGATCTGCCTTCTACCAGATCTTCAACCTCTTCTCAGGCTTCTTAATTCCTAAACCGGTACGTGCATTTGAACCACTTCAAATCCATCTTCATGCGTCACTGCTATGTCGTGCAAGTCACCGAGGACATGTGGAGGTTTCGCAGTCCCATAGCTCGGGACCTATCTGTGCATCACCAGAATATGACCAGGAAATGCTAGCTCTCCTGATATCACGTGTCCTTCCGTACTCATACTTCTGTGCCTATCTTGGTCATCCTTCGTGGATGAGTGGCTGCAAAACTCTATAATCCATAACTGATAAGAAGTTGTCTCGCTGTTTTGGAGATCGTTCCGTATAGTTTGGACGAGTGATTGTACACATCTTTTTGTTGGAAAGATGTTCTTGTGATCACATTCAGAACATACGCTGGATCCTCCTGCGAATTATCTTGGCACCCTAAGAAGTGGCTCCCGCTCAGAGATTGTAGTTTGATCGCAGTTGCAACTGATGCACAAAACGAGCTGAACTCTGTAATCTGATCATGAAAGTGGGTTTATTTTGTGCAGAAAATACCTCCATACTTCATCTGGATCTACTGGATCTGTCCCACAGCCTATGCTTTGTACGGTTTGGTCGTGTCTCAGTATGGAGACCTGCATGGAGACGATCATTTGATGACGACATTAGACGGATCGAAAGTATCTGTGGCTTATTTTACAGAGCACCACTTTGGTTTTAAACATGGATTCATAGGCGGCGTTGCAGGTCTAGCCTCAATATACCCTCTGGTCTTTGCTGTGATCTTTGTCATATGCATATCAAAACTGAGCTTCCAACATCGGTAATTGTTTCAATAAGGGTGGCACCCTACATCCGCACCTAAGGCCTAGTCAGTTCAGAAATTCAACCTCCAGTAGAATCGAATAAAGCATGCCCATGTGAGGGCTGCACATAGAATCTCCTCTCTTCCTCCAGGACTTAAAGAAGTATGGTCGAAGCCTAGGAGATCATGTACATTGTGTAGTGTCATCGGCGGGCTCAGTGACTAATTTTGCACTCAATAAATGAAATCCATATATTATTGCCTTGTACTCCAAATTGGAACAGTCACATTCAACTGTAAATAAATACATTTGCTTCCTGCTCAAGGACGGGAAGCTTAGTTTGGGTTCAACGGAGACTGGAGGATCTGATCATTCCAACGGAATTCTTTTGATTCCAGCATTTTTTTAGCAGCAGTCACTACTCCAAAGAGTTCGATTGCATTGTGTCGGAAGTCACAGTCCAAGGCGAGGAAACATTTCGTCGGCCTTAAGTTTGCAGCAGGCAGATCTATTCGAGGATGATCGGCATGGTGTATGATTTCTCGGCTTACCATGGACATTCTCATCAAAGTAAATGGGACTCGTTTGGAGACACGTAACTCATCATTAGACTTGTTATCTATGAATTTTCCTCATTCAACAGTTTGTTGTATATACTGACAATCGCAATTCAGATCGGTAAGGCGGTTCCTACCTGAACTGAGACTAAAGACTCGAATCTCAAGATACTTTAACTTACAAAACCAAGGAGACACAGCCACTGCAATCCGCGATCTTAAGAGACTGTAAATTGAGAAGTTGGGTTGACCGGGGTAGGAACGATAAAGATTGGACCGATGTATTCGATCTTCTATTAAACTACCCAGACGTTCTCTTCGTCCTTATTCATGAATGACTCCGAAGGCCAGAGATAACTCCGTTATGTGCCTCCATCCACTTTCCCAGAATAATTGTGAAATATGTATAAGAAGTTATTCTGTATGCTCGCTTAATGCTACGCAATGAAATATTCATCCATTAGAAAATTTTCTGATAATCGCACTAACTTGAATGATTTCTTTTATAACCTCCGTATTCAAAAAATTAAACTGCTTAACGTCGTGACAAGATCATTCCTTACAAGTCTGCTCAGTGGAAGACTATCTGACTCACCGTAGGCCTGGAGAACTGCAGACAGCCTAGGTAACGCGGAAGTCCCGGTAGCTATCCACGGTCGCAAACTACTAAACTGGCAAGCCAGGCGAGGGATCAAGTACACTTGATGAAGATGCGAAGTGATAGTACACGTGATCGATGTAGGCAATTTTAGGCCGCAAGTTTTCTCTATACATTAAAAGGCTCAGCTAAAACATGGAATTATTTTTGCCGAGACTTTTGATAATCTAATCGAAGCTGGGTCCGTTCGTCTTTATCGGCAGAGAGGAACCAAACGCTAAATTCAGACGTGGTTAGACCCTTGAATTTAGCTAGATCTGCAAACACATCTTTCGAATCTTTACTAGATGCTGGTCTATTGGCCTCGGAGGCGCTACTTCTTTCAGCAAATTTTTCATCTGGTCTGACCTCTGACAATTCGAAAATACTTGCTTTTCGGATCCTAGGAGTACCAGCACTTTGCACATGTGGTTTTGCTTGGATTTGTTTTCTGCGATTTTCTCTTGGTGCGTCTGCACTCCCCCAATTTCTGTTTGATGCTCCCAAATCAGAAGAGCCCATGTTGACAACGTCTTCATTCCGATGAGCATAGAGAACACCTGGAAATCAGTAAAACCTTTTCTAAGATATAGTTCCAGAATGCTGGACGACATAAAGGTCAAACATGTCGACGGTCGTGCTAAAAACGGAAGGATATAAACAACAACAGGGAAAAACCAAACCTCCTAACATAATCTTTTTTATCCAATCATCTATAGTTCATACGAGGTAATTCGACTTTTCTTCATTCCCTTTGAGCAATGAATCAGAGAAACAAAACCGGACTAGGTGGTTACCGGCGCTTGTAAGAGCAGATTGAACCCTCCGTTGCATTTTGCGCTCCTTCTTATCATCTCTTGCGTTTTTGTCTCTCAGATCCTTATCATTTGTTACTGACGGTGTTCTATCTGCACATGCATGATATTTTAGTTGCGTGTCAGGCTCCATACTCACTTGATTACCTTTGCTAAGGTAAGGTAAATCACATACACAAAACTTCGAACACAAGAAGAAAAACGGAAATGATGAAAGAACTTGTTCAAGTAGAGTACGTACAAGTATGATCGCCTTGAGAACTCTCAACGTCTTCCACACCATCTGTCTCCGCGTGGACAACTTCCCCTATTTCTTTGACTTGCACCGCATTCTCATGCTGAACCCTAAGAAGTCGTTCTTCGTGATCCTCTATGATGCCTTCCGCAAAAACTTCGTCGGAAAGGTCTCGGAGTAGATTGTCGATCCCAAAGAGTTCACCTTTATGTTCTTTAGAACCCTGGCATGCAGCGCAAAAGATATGCAAGCTTTTTATTGCATAAACTAGATTCTTTTTAAGCAATGATGTCAGCATAACATTTTTTTGTTAATACATTGTACGTTTTGGGATCGCCCTCCCAAACCGGACAAGGTTCTTAGCCAGTTCACTTGACTATCCACAATTTCAACACACTGCAAATCGGCAAACATAGCAGGAGCTAGGCTTACCTGAACACCTTCAAAATATCGTTTCTCGTTTGCACCGCTGACGCCGATGTTAAAAAGCTGTTGCTTGTAGATTTGACGAGTGTAAATCAGCTCTTCCAAAGACCCTGCTGCGAGTAAACGATACACAGTGACGTGTCGAACTTGTCCGTAGCGAAAAGAACGATCTTGGGCCTGAAGATCATGAGATGGATTCCAGTTGGGATCAAAGATCAAAACTCGGTTGGCACTCACTAGGTTAAGCCCCAATCCTCCTGCGCGGGTTGAAATGAGAAAGATCTGGGAACAAAATTCCAATAAAGCAGAGCATTACATTAAGGCTGCCAGTTCTTGGTCTGATGTCAGCAAACACTTCAAGTAAGACAACTCCATCCATAAAGGTTATGATGATTTCCTTCAAAGCAGACCAAGTCTGAAGAGTGACAGTGGAAGGCAAGAACGAAGAGTCTGCCTAGTACTCTATGCAACGTGGAATGATAGATATATATATCACTATTTACAGAACGCTCCGCTAGCGACACTTGAAAAAGCTTCGCGAGGATGCTTTCAAGATTTGCGTCCAGTGTCGCACGTAATTCTCAGGGAGGTAGAGAAGCGACCATCCGAGCAAAAACTTCAGATCATAAGTAGGAAATTTACCAGGTTAAAGTGGCAGCATTGTTGAAGGAAGATTTAAATACCAGTGCTGTTCTTATTGTGACTATACTCTTAAAACCCCCACAATGCTGCTACCTTAGTTATCTTAAAACTCTGTCACGCTAGAGATGACTATAAAAAAAGCTGTACACTCGTACATGATTCCTAAGTCTAAAAAGTATTGCAATTATAAACTAGACAGTTTGTTCGTAACGACAGTGATCAACAAATTGACAGCACAAATATGTCTGTTAAAATTGTGATAATACACCGGTAATCTGTGCCTTGGGATCTAGTCAAAGAGACCGTATACTCTTTCTGAGGAACTCAAGGTGTACGTCTACTAGCGTTCTTTGATAATGGTCAGACTTACTCGTGATCTTGGCCAGGTTGAAAGCTCTATGTAACCATCATACTACACTGCAATTTGAAGACGATGAAACATGAGTCTAGGACTATGATGCGAATGACTAGTCTTCACCTGCTTGCTAGGACTGGTGTTAAAATCTTCGACCAGTGATTGTCTCGCACTCATTGGTGTTGATCCATCCAAGCGTGAGAAACAATAGCCTTTGCGTATGAGGAACTTATCAAGAATGTCCAACATTCTGCAGAAATAAACAGCATTAGGAAAACATACGTGATAATAGAGTGAATGTACCAACCAGAACAATCAACACTGCAGATTGGGGAACACATGGAAATACGTTGGGCACATACTTGACGGAGTAGCTGAAAAGTAGGACCTTATCTCCTTCACTAATCCATGAAGATAGGAGCTTCTCAAGGGCCAGCATTTTTCCACAATGTTGCGCATGACTTAAACCTAAGAAGTTTGTTTCTTGAGAAACCCCGCCTACTAAATGCGCATCCTCTCCCAAAGCCAACTTTGCAAAATCGTAATCTTTCGCCTGTTTTGTCGCATCGTCATTGGGGTTAGGCTTGATAAGTTCCAAATGATTGCTCACCTGCAAGCATATATGAGGAAGGCAGTCATGAAACAGAGACTTCGGAACAAAACTGTGAACGCAGCAGAACTTCTTTGTCTTATTCTGGGACGGCTGGAGGATAGACTGTAAACTTCATTCCACAATCTGGTGCTCGATAATATGCTCGATTACGGTGGTAAATAAGAAGGAACCTACGGCACGTACCTGCTGTAACTTAGTTAAACAAGGAAGTACCAGACAATTTGGACAATAATCGCAACCATCATCCAGACTGTCTTTATGCAGATAAGACCAGATGATCCCCTTCGGCACGATGCGATAACAACACTGTCCTCTTTTCAGAGGACTTCCACAGGTACAATTCATGGCTTTACCAATCAGAGCCTGGAAATCGGGACTCTGCAATATCCTTCTATAAACCCTCTTTTGAGCCGGGGTCATGGAACAAAAGATCACGTTGTCCTCTTTACCATTCATCAGGTGGGCGATCGTTTGTTGTTTGGTCCTCCTCAAGAAATATTTCCGAAGTACTGAAAGCAAGTGTTTCTGGCGATCCTCAGCTATCACCACAAACCTTTTCGGTGCACTGATGCGTTGACCTTCTTTGATAGGTCCGGAATAATACTCTTTGAAATGCTCTCGAGATCCAAGGCATCCAGGCGTAGCCCACTCGAAGACATTGAAAAGCTCCAAGTATGTGTTCTGCATGACAGTTCCCGTTAACCCAAAACGCCTCTTGGTCGGCAGCTGCATACACTTCATGTACAAATGAGACTTGTCATTCTTTAGTCGATGGGCCTCATCCACGATCACAAGGTCCCACTTTATCTTGCACAGTTCTTCCCCGTGTATCCGAAATGTATCATGGCTCGTCAAGACGATCTCCACCTCCTTCGCCTTTATCTTGCCCAAGACGACCTCTCTTTGCAATCCAAAATAAGTTCCGACTCGAAATTCGCCCCATGCCTCGATTTCCTGATCCCAATTCTGAAGCACAGAGGTTGGGCAGATTATCAACGCCACTTTCTCGCATCTTCTCCTCTGGACAACAGCTTTGGCTGCGCCCACCGACTCGGCATCCTTCTTTTCAAATATGGCTGCCAGAAGTGCGATGCTTTGGATGGTTTTTCCGAGTCCCCTGATAGTCAATCACCACGTAGCAAAAATCAGCAAAAACTATAAGCCAACGCGTTTGCCGCAATGGACAGGAGAGAGAGCAGACGTCCACTCACATGTCATCTCCCAAAATCCCGCCATGGTTGCTTCTGTATAATTTATACAAAAAGGCTACGCCCTCACGCTGGTGATCCAGAAGACGAGAATTTATCGAGGCTGGCACTTCAACCCTTTTCACCTCACCAGAACCAGTCGACGGGCCCTCTCCGGGAGGTGGCCAAAGCACAAGAGGCTCTAAGGCAACTTGGGGTTCCAACAGTTTGTCGACCTCATGTCCCCCGTTGTCGTCCTCGTCTTCGAGCGCGTGGATGAGACTTTGGGTATCTTCTTCTTCATCCTCGATACCGTCGTCGTCGTCGTCTATAATTTCAATCTTCTCGACAGCCGTGGCAGGAAGAGAGACTGTTGGCTGGGGCTTCACGCTCCGCAAGGTTGATGAGACATCCTTGAACGGAAAATCAGTTGATACTTCGGCTGTCGGAGCTTCCGTCTTCTCGATTGCGTCAAATTTCCTTTTGAGAAACCCCGAGCTTCTACATTCTTTCGCACTAATGAAGCCCAGGTTCTCGTCGTCCGCACTGGTCCGAGAACAAGGTAGCAAAACAAGGTCTTTCTTGTCCGCTCCATGCCAAGGGGAATCTTCGGTAGTCAGTGGCAAAACGGGCGGGGAGATGGATGATGCTTCTTTAATGGAATTGGGCTCTAGGGTCGGACCTGATGTGAGTGTTTTTACTTGACGGTCGAGCAAAGATATTCTATCTCTCAAGCTCGTCTTCAAGGGTTTACGTTCTGCACCATCGTCTCCCAAAGGTTTAGGCTGCGACGAAAGAGGGGCAGTGCAATTTTGAAACAGCTCCTTGAAGGCCTTGTATGCCATTGTCCCTGTTTCCTCGGCCCCAGACACTACAAGCTCAGGCTGCTGCTGCTGTCTCGTCGACAGGACCTTGAACCATCGTCCAGCTCCAATCGCTCGTCACCACTGACTCCAGATTGTACCGAACAAATACCTTCCATCCTACCCAAAATCCAGGTCGAGCATTTTCGGCCTCAAATCGGCGTCCCCACGGAATTTCAAATGAAGAGTCGTCGCAACCAAAATCCGAGAGGCGAAGTCCAAGAAGACCATGTTTCAACTGTCTGCGCTCCTCGACCAAAACCAGACGAGACCGATATCTGCGCAATGTCCTGCCAAAACACCGGTGCTCATTTATTCGCCCACAAGAGATTCAGTTCCCGCCTCGATGACCTTCATCAATCAATGACTTGTGTCCAAGAGCCCGACACGAAACTGTTCTCTGGCACTCACGGTGTCAAATCTGCTGTGCACCATCTCATAAGATACAGCGTACATACTGCCTGCCAGCCTACACAAAGACCTGCTCCCTACGGATTTCGCATTCAAATTCGAGCTGCCTGGAGGCAAGATCATCACTCGACAGAATGCGCAGAAAGGGACCATTTTCTTTTAAAGCATCTCGTATCACATCGCAAATGTCTGGCATAATCTGCTGGTCTCGTTCCCACTTGTCATGTCGGGAACTCCGGAGGCAATTACTGTCGCCTTAGAACCAAATTCGTGCACGTTTTTTGAGACATGTACACAATTTAATTTATTTCTATTCTATAATCTTCCTTCCTTTCTTCCTTCCTTCCTTCATTCCCTCGCGCCTTTCCCTGGCTTTGCTCTATTGTAGCTTACTATTTCTCTGTGCTCAGTATTTTCCATTTGACCTTCACCGCTCTCAAGCAGGAGTAGAGTAGGGGTCTAGCTAAAAGTATGTCGGTTGACCGATGCGGATTTATCTTTTATTAGTGGAAATATGAAGGCTGTTGCAAAATTGCCTTGCCTCGGGTTAAGTCGGCCATACGTTCGGTGGGGACCCCACCATTTGACAAGTGTGCACGTCGCTCTTCTTATAGACCAGTAATCCACAAAAAGTACGGAAGTACCCATCAAATATTTCAAAGACAGAACCAAACTATGAACATCGGGCTTCCCCCACAATATGTCTTAATGCCATTGACATATCTATGTGAATTTTCTTCTGCGCATAACAAGGCAATAGAAAACTACCATTGATACTAATTCAATGGCAGAAGTTATAATTTATGAATATGAAAGCATGTTATAAAAAAATTCTGAAATAATATCTATATAGAATGTTAGGCTCTGCAATCTATAATGGTATCTTGAACTCTGGTTTGCTTTCTCACAAAATATTTCGAAAGTTACGATTTACAATTATATTTAAATCCTACTGTGGATTAATCTTAAGATGTCCAATATATGTACAAGTATACTTTGAGACATTTCTTGTTCACTCTGACTTCTAAATTTTTGTTCTTTGACTTCTGAAATTTTGTCAAGCCAAGCACTCATCAACTTTGCAACAATAACTATGTTCATGAAGCAACCATATTTAACTTTTAAAAGGAGGTAATCGTATTTCTCAATATATGTCACTCGTAGTAATCATCATATTGTAGCATCAGGAATCCAGCTAAGAATTTTGAACATAGCTAATCACCCTTCTCATACTATTCATCCTTTGTGCATCTACTTCACAGCTCTGAATATAAACTTGAGATAAGATAGATAATCATACTTCTCAAAATATTCATGACTGATTATCATCAAATCTTTAGCAATGATAGCAATGTATGAAACATTCCCTTTGATTTTTTTATAAATAAATCATTCTTATTTGAAATTTATGTTTCTTATGATAATTTCAAAACTACAAATGCAACCATGATTTGACATACATCCATGGTTGGTTGGTTGATAAGAGATTATATCATTCATCAAAATTAGAATTGGAATTATGTTGCATGATTTATTAGTGCATGTTTTTGCAATAGGAGGAATCAATCTTTTGAATTATGCAGAGTAATCTTTAAATATCAACAACACATACGTTGATTGAATTGTTCACTACTTTTTTGATAATCAGTATTAAATTTTGAAACACAGTCATACATTAGCATCAAATATTAATCATTATACATGAAATAACAATATTTATTTCAAATAATTTTTTTGAGAATTTACTATTGTAGGAAGGATAGACATTGAATTAAAAAAATTATGTCATGATACTAAAAGACAAATTATCATTGAAATCATTATGACATTATTAATGATTTTTGCATCCATAAATCGAATGTAATGCTAGACGATTATTCAAATAGAATTTCAAATAGTATTTTAATTGATCATAAATTAAAATTGAAGACGTTATATATATTTTTAATATATTTGATAAACATCATTGTGATCATTGTTCAATATTTTCATTGAAATTATATCTGGATTTGAAATCATCATTTTTTGAATAATTAAAAACTACGAATAATTAGTTTTATAGACAATCTTATCAATAATGTATTTTTTACAATACGTTTTGAAGGTTGAGTATGTACATCTTATTTTAGTCTAAACTTGCATGAATGAATACGAGTTTTAATTCATTTTAGTTAATGTAAAAAATTCGTCGGATACTTAATCTGATACTATGTTAAAAAGATTATCGTAATTATTTGTGATACTCTAAAAATTTAAAAAATTAGATTTTAATCCTTGTGAAAGTCGTAGTGTTGAATAATCCATTATTTCATATCGAATCTAGAGATTGCATTATAAAATATAATTATGTACATTTTTTTTATGGAAAATGAAATATTTTAAAAATAATTTTAACTACAATCTGTATTTTAATATAATATTTTATTTTTCAATATCAATAATTTTTGTTATATTAAAAAAGAATAACAGAATAGAAAAATATTTGAATTTTTTGGAAAAAGTATGATTTTGAATATGATTATTATTAATGTCTTTTAAAAAAATAATATTGAATTTTATTTATGATTTTTCAAAACCAACTAGTTAATTTATTACTTAAATTTGATTTGAATTTAATATATGAATATTTTTTAATATTTTTTGGGTAATATGTTTATCCTAAATCAAGGATAATTTGTTGAAAAATATTTTGATGTTTTGAAGATTTTTCAACATGTTGATTGAATTATTCTATTCAATGTAATTTTTTTAAATTCATAAAGTTGAAAATTTGACAAGATTTTTAACAAATGAACTAGCAAGTTAAGTATAATCAGAAAGTAAAATTATGAAGTAGACAAGTATTTCAAATTTTTGAATAGTATTGAGAAATTTTCAAAAATTAAATTCAAAATAAAAAAATCAGGATTCAAGTGTTAGTGTTTGATTCATATTTTAGCTAAATAAATGCCATTTTTAATGAGAACTTGTTTAGATTGATTTCTTGTCCATCAACACAATATTTACATGTTAAAATACAAATTTGCTATCAAATTTTTTCAAATAAATAAATGTGTATATCGATAGTTTTGTACAAAAATTTAGCTATGGTTTGAATAGATTTTGTCTCATAGATTATCATATTTGCAATGATTTGTCCAAAAATTCAAATGTTGAAATGATATCCAAACATTATGGAATATTCAAGAATTAAACCCAGAGAATAAACATTCACACTTTAGAGACTATTTTAAATCAGGGGACACAACACCACATCTTCAAACGTGGTTATGGTGCACAAAATATACAAGGTCAATATAAATATATATTAAATATGCAATGTGAAATAAAGGGTACAAGCGAAGTTCTCGTGAAGGCAACTTGTTTCGGTCGGTCCCATTGCAACACTTCAGGATTGTCAAATGGAAACCTCATCCTAACCGCTCACCGCACGCGTGATCGGATCGGAATGGAGTGGAGTGAAGGGGAGGTTCGAAGAGACTCACTCGGGAAAAGAAATTCCTCGCCGTCTCTACCGCCTCTACCCCAACCTTCGCTAAAATGGCTAATCCAATTTCTGGGTTTTCCCAAATAATGCCAATAGAAAGGGATAGAATAGAACAGAGTGGTTCCAATGATTGGGCTAGAGAGTCAAGCCAGCAACTGCACATGTTCGGGTCTTGAGACGGACGTTTTCCTGCCCTCGGCTCTCTCGGTGGCAGAGTAATAAGTCAGTCCGCTGTGGGCGCAAATTATTGATTGATGTGTACATGCTTGCGAGACTTCGATCGACTGACTGACCACCTTTTTACATCATTCCCACAGGATTTTTGACGTCAACCAGAATAATCAGGACTCGGGGGAGAAGGACAGAAACCCATGCCGTCCATGCGCGATGAAGCATTTGGTTTGTTTTGGCGGGTTTTGCACGTCCGGCGAGCTTGAACTTCCAGGAGAGCCCCATTAGACTCCTGGAGCGGAATTTGAGCCTCGACCTCTGACTTGGGCTGGCCTTGACGTCTATCCTACTCCTTCCGCGTCGCTGACGAGCAGAAATGGAAGGCCGACTTAAGGAGACGATGAGGTGGACAACTATTTTTAGGGTAAGGCGGTAGCGGGGAGGCAGGACTAGCAGACACTACTAGAGCGAGTCATTCAATTGCCGCTCGGGGCAACGAAGGCCTGGTCGAGGGGCGGGGCGGGGCTGGGCTGGGCTGGGCTGGATGCGAGATCGGCCCGGATCGGGATCAAGGCGGGAGGCAGCGAGGGGAGGGCGATAGCCATGGCTAGAGGAAAACGGCGGGACGGCAAGTCAAGCCAGATGACTGGTAGTTTTACCGTTTCATGAGTGGGAGACACAATGGGTTCATGTGACCGACAGTTCTGTTGTGCTCGCTTCGAGGCGCCGAGGCTGCGGGAGAAGCTCGTGCGGACGAGGCCGAGCAGGAGGTAATCGAGGACGATGGATTCGTTGCGGGCCGAGGTGGTCGTCTGTGTCGATGTTCGGGCTCTGGCTTCGTCGGCCGTGCCGCTTCTGCTGCTGCTGCTGACCTGACTGCCGAGCGTAGTGGAGTGGAGGAGAGGATAGAGAGAAGGGGAGGGGAGGGGAGGGGAGTGGTGGCGGATGTCGGAGGAGATTGATTGCGCTTCTTGCTCTGCGGTCGTCAAAACGGGGATGCAGTGATACCGATTTCGTCGAGGAGAATGAAAAGATGGTTAGGGCCAGGCGGGGATGTTCGAAGCGGGGGTTTGCGAGGCGCAAGCAGCGAGTAGAGCAGCAGCAGCAGGAGCGCCGGGCAGGAGGACCTGCGGTTGGCGGTCGCGCAAGCTTACAGATTGGTGATTCCGAACCTACATGTGGTTATCTACAACCACCTCAAGGAGCCGTAAGCCGGACCGAGGGAGAGGAGGAGGAGGAGGAGGAGGGAGAAGATGACGGAGGTGAAGCGCAGGAAGATTGGCGAGCGCAGGACTAGTGCGCAGAGGCTGAAGAGGGTGCTGGCGGAGACGACGCCCAAGCACCTGGAGCAGCTGACGAAGCAGGCTCGAGCTTTGGCAGGCGAGGACGAATGCGAGAAGGTGTGCCTGAATGACATTCACGCCAGGCTGTCGGGGCTCAAAGTCAGGCACGAGCTCTTGCGAGCGACTCTGACTTTCGCCAAGGGGAATGGATTTCACGAGAGGCTGCTCTCGGAGGTCGGGCAGGCGGCAGCGTATGAACTGGATAGCGATTCTTGGAACGACGACATCATAGCAGCGCTTCAAGAGAGGGGCCGAGGGCTCAGCCTCTCGCAGCAGAGCGACGATTTCGCGGATTCTTGCCTGCAAGACCCCAGCGACATGGGCGACGAGGGCGCCATATCGTATCAAATTGGGGGTAAAGTGATTTCGAGCATGACGGGAGGGCGTATCTGCATTCGATTCGACACATCGTATGCCGGGCAGCATTTCGAGAGCTACTTCTGCGTTCTGGCCTGCAAAGCGTCGTCGGAACGGCTTCATGTGAGTGAGCATTCGATTCCGTTCTTCCTTCCGCTGCGGGAGGTGGAGAAGTCCAACCTCTCCTCGAGCTGTACGAAATTTATCGATTGCCTGAGCGATGTTCTGCAAGCGTACGTGTCCAGGAGGGAGCAGGTGAATCAGTTGAGGCTCATCAAAGGCGACCAGATCCGCGAGCTCTATCACAGCCTGTCGTATAATCTGATCGAACTGCTGCTCGAGGAAGCCTACTGGAAAGTTGGGGTCAGTCTCGCGTACGACAATCCCAAGTCAGAGCTCCCCACTCGAAGTGTGGTCATGGCATGGCCGCATTCGGTCGATGCGCTTCCCAGAGAACCTCCGATGGCCGTTCAGTCTGTCACGGCCCACCGCCTTCTGCGAGCCGAAGGTGCTCTACGAGATCTGCTTTTGCCCATGGGCTACGAAAAGATCGTCGCAGACCTCCAAGAAACCATCGCTCGGGGCATCTATTGGGAAGAGGACCAGTAGCTCGTGTGCATCAAGTCTACCGCATTGGCCCTTGATGAGCAGCAGTCCTCGTCCTCGTCAAGGTCGTCAGTTTCTCCATGTGCTTCGTGTCTGCCGATGACTGTAACTGGATGGGGCGACGCTCATCATCACAAGTTGCAGTGTCTCCGTCGCGGCGAAGTCACGGAGATATTCAAGACTTGTTCAAGTCGCTCGCAGCAACGCTACGATAGAACACAACGATTTCAAGGTAGCTCTTCGTCTTTCTCAGCCCACAACTGTCAGCTCGGCAAATTGTCGTCACCGTTTTCACGTTGATAAATATTGTGAGTGTTATTGGAAATGTTGCGGGCATCTGATGTGGAGTTTTTGTCCCTCAGGTTTTTCAGTAGTCGAAGATCCGTCATCTGTCGTAGGGAAGCTGGCCGGCTGGCGGCCCCGAGGACAAGACTGATTTTGAACTTGGACAACTTCAAGGTAATTATCGAACATCCAAGAAGTGAAAGTCACTCGTGCGCTGTTCTTTCTAGGGTCCATCGGTCTGCATGCTACTCTAGGATGGCACAGCTTCGGGTGAGGTTTGTAAGGAGGGCTAAATCCGGCTCTCCGTGAGAAACATATGAAATTACGATACCACGTTCATTTGGGAGGTTGCATCGAGACCAGGACGAGGGTCTGAGGTTGTTTCCTGAACGAGTGGTTTTAAGGTCGTTGATGGAGCAGGAATGCAGATCTAGAACAGGTCTTAGTGCTTCTTTCGGGGCTATCCTGCTGATCCTGTTGGGGGCCCAATGGACGGTTACTAGTTACAGAGAATAGGAGTAGAGAAAACTCAAGAACATCATACTGATATCTGGACCACTGGTTTAGCGTATCCGACGAACTTGGAGTGATCTCATTTGGTCCCGGTCGGGAAGCTACTGATTGGGTAATGAAAACAAGTTTTTATTTGAGGGTGGAAGATCTGTTTGACTTTCATCGACCGGGTGGTCTTATTGCCAAACAGCTTGTAAGTATTGTGTCTGGCCTGTCCAGCTGTTGTTAATCGAATAAATCGGAGGAAAAAATTGCATTGCATCTGTTCGTGAGTAAGTAGGGCACAAACTTCAGACTGAATGTGATCCAGGGCTCAGAACTGATTGAAACATGGGGTAACGACGTTTTGATGGACTTCCTATACAGTGCTCTCACACGGGAAAAAAAATTCTCGAGTTAAGAAGCTACATATGGACTGCCAAAAGTTTCTACATACTACCTGGTCTGTCCCATTTAGATCCGTCGACTTTCCCTCCGGGTTTTCAATGACGGATACTGATCCTGGCGTTAAGGATATCTGCAAACTCGGGCTGCAACACAAGGTTTCCTTCATTCAGGACCCAGAAGGTCGGCCACATTCCGATACAAGTAGAATGAAATCTGTTGACAGTAAGCTTGGTTCGTTAAATACCGTTGTGTGGAGGTTTGGTATGTCTTCAGTTTACCTTGAGGGAAGCACCACCAACAAGGAACCCATCGACATCTGGTTGGGAGCCAATTTCTTTACAGTTCGCAGCAGTGACGGATCCTACAAGACAGGGACAATGGTTGAGAAAATAGCGTGGATATGCTTGAACATGAACCACGACTTCGGCTGGACATGTCCAACGTGAAACAGTCAATGGATTGTCCGGGCTGCCGGCATGACAACAATGCACACGCTTCAGCAACCGAGCTCTGAGTGTCGCCATAAGTACATGAGAACTTACAGCCAATGAGACACTCTGGTCAGACTGGCACACAAGCGAAGCGGAAAATGAGGTCTATCTCCTAAAAAGGGTAAGGCGTGTAGATGATCACCTCCGTATTGGATACGTACGGCCTGCGCTACGGCTTCGCCCACATTTTGGCTCAACCACGCACGAATGTTAGCGTGTACCTGCGAATGCGTTTTGAAAATTCGTTAGCACAGAGCAGATTACGAATCACGCAGAGCTTGAAGACGTCAGTAATAGCTTCAGATTTTGCATCGAAAGCTGAATGCCTCCTAACTGAATAAACAAGTACTGTTTACAGAAAAGAGCCGGTCACTGACTATCGTGTGATGTGCTTAAAGTCCTGTCGTATCAACGTACACCTAGAGAAAGAAGTGGAGACGGGTGCCGGCCACTTTGAAGTCTCATGCTTGCAATGTAACATCTATATACCAGGCAAACACCACCACCCTGACCTAAACGCTGAATTCGATCTAGGTTTCAGGAATAATCAACTCTTACTTCCTGAGCCTGCTGAGGGGTTGCAACTTTGCCTGTTCCAATTGCCCAGATTGGCTCGTATGCTATGACTACGTTATTCCAACTTTGAATCTTATCTGTGTCACAAACGCAGTGTCAGGTTAGCGCCCTTTAATCAGGCTTACTGCCCTCTTATCGCTGGACACTTAGTCGACAGGGATGGAAGGTCGGTGAAGACGGAGGGAAGATAGACACTGACACTCGTTGTTTGACTAGAGTGCTGCAATATAAACTGAGCACTGAGTCTCCGACGAGCAGGAAGGAAGACAGGCTCAGGAGCTACTCGCATGCCAAGTGCCCACGTGATAACCCAGCCACCCTGAAAGACCTCCAGGACGATATCGGGGGCATAGAGGACTGACGTCATACGCCGCCACCTGCAGCTCGCAGCTTGCTCTTGCAAGCAACACTTGAATGTGATATAATGCTTGCAGATCATGTTTGCACGTTAGGTTTGAGTTGTAGCGTAAAGCAGATCTTGTGACGAACGATGGGAGATCGTGCGTTGCTTCTGTACATGGAGACACGAGTCGAACCTCATCATGATGCTTCGGGATGTACCTGCAACAGCCTTAATTTGACGGGCCACAACCATCGTCGTCTCATTCTTTTCTCTTTGCTCCAATGTCTCGCCGCAACAAAGTATGACCTTCATGCCCTGACTTAGAGCGTAGGCCACCTTCTCTGCCACCATCTACACGAGTGTAAACTACAGAAAATGATCACACGAGTTACACGTTTACACACAACGCAAACAGTTTTCAGTGCCTCATGTTGATCATGCCTTTCAGTGGACTTCTGTGGAGAGGTCCTGATCGATCTGCACACGCTTTTTTTGTTTTTAAAGACTTGTGGTGTCCTTGTGTTCTTAAAAAACAGAAAACTCACCGGACACCAAAGGTGCATGGATAGCAAGACCTGCTGTGGAAATACTCGACCGTTTACCTCGTCTGATTCGCCGAGAAGAGTTCTTCTCTCCGAATGTCCAAGAATTACCCACGGAACGTTCAGGTTCATTAACATCTCCGCACTGTACAGCGATTGCATTATTCGGTCACTCAGAATGCACGGACTTGCAGATTTATGGGCGACTTCAAGAATACAGCTTTTCGTAATTAAGCCTACAAGTGAGGAGTCAATCGTTTTGACTGGACTCTGGATGCATCGGACACCGATGGTTACAAGGATTTGCGAGTGGCTACTAGACCTGATTTCTCCTGTAAAAGCACCGCCCTTGCCAGTCCAGCAATTCTGAGCCGCGAGGTTAAAGTCACTCCGAAGGGTACTTCTCAAAATGGGCAGGAAAGGGGCGGGAGGCGCAATCACCACCTCTGAGGAGAGAACGATCGGCAGCACTCTCAGGCAGGAAAATTCGCAGCAAATATCAGACTATACATCTCAAAATTGTCATTGACCACTTCAGAATATTCTAATTTTTTCGAAGTTTCAAGCAACTCTCAGCTGTACTCAGGCAGGCACCTACCGATATGGTTTGTGCATGGAACTTCCGCCTTGTTCAAGAACTCAACAATCCTTTTCACATCGTCTTGAGTTCCATTCTGAATTGGGAAAAGAATGACAGGACCCAAGATCACTCAACGTTTTCTGCCTCGACCTACTTCTCAAATATAGCACGAAAGAAATCGACGTAATGAGTTGCAACAAATTCAACAATCTTCGAGCGATCCAGGCTCCAGAGATCGCAGCTTCACAAAGAAAATGCACGATGATGCAACGGACGGCGACGACAGACACATGATACTCGATACTCACACATTTCCAGTTCCCTCCAACAATCAATTTCCGCGACATGGTGGGCCGGCGGCTCTGGCTGGGGCTGCACGAGTGCAGAACACAACTGCGCCGTCCCAACCGCTTGCTTCACAACAGGAACAACGAACTAAATCCAGGCGACGAGTGCCCGTCCCAATTCCATCGTCCGGAGCGCGGAGCGGTCAGGCTGCAGGCATGTGCAGATTGCAGGCCCTCATTAATGGTCTCCGATCGCCAAACCCTTGGACAAACGCAGACCTGTGACCTGCGACGTACACTGATTCACTGAAGAAGAGCATCTCTTTGGAGCTCAATGTACCGATCTTTGCAGCCTTCGGGGCCCCGCTCTGGCAAGCCACGTGTAAATGCGCTCCCATTGACGGGAGGCCTGATGAAGTCGGAGGCCGCGGATCGAGTCTCGGACGTTTCGACGTCAAATTAAAATAAGCCGCGAACGGGCTTTTTTGCGTTCCTGGCGGGAAAGCGCAATCAGGTTTGTTCAAATCACCCACTTTGTAAAATTGGACCGCAAATTCGACCAAATAGCAGTTTGGATGGCAACAAGTGAATAACAGAAAGAATTGGGAGACCCACTGATTTATCACAGCGATGAAGCAAACTAGGGATGGGGAATATTTTCACAAGGAAAGAAAATATGTACTGTATCAATTGATATTTCCCATTAGGGTTCAAACATTCTCTAACAGAAGGTAAGGAAAACCGATAGACACAATTTGGCATCAACCCACTGCAGTTATTCGCAATACTTATTCACTAGAATTAGGTCTTCCTTATGACATGGTAGAAAAGACTTTCACAAAATTGCGAGGAATTCTGAAAATCACGATAAATCAATGCCATAAACTATGCGTGGAATCTAAAAGTCTTAACAGTAACAAAAAATTTCCAAAAATTGTCTCCGTAACCCTCAACTTATTTTTAACAATTTTTTTAAAATCTTAAATTCTTACTACTTATTTTTTAGTCCATAAGAAATTGCATGATATTTAGCGCCAAATTTTAGCTTCTAACTTTAATGTTTCTCTGGCTAGAAAATTCTTCTATTTTTATATAATTATCTCCATCCTAAACCAGATTTGATTCCACCATGCAACAGTTTGTGAATGTATTATGTTCTTCATTAATCTTTGATAAAGACATATCTATAGAAAATTGCAATATCTCATGAATTTTATTAATGTAAATTTCCGATTTCAAATCTGAGATTATATTTCATAAATCCATATAACTAAGTCTCTTATCCAATCCGAGGAAATGTATGCGAAAGATTAAAAAAATCAAGTCTTGAATGATTTCACTCGACTGGTTTTTTTTGGATTTGATTATTTCTACGAAGTAAAGGTTATAAGAATTTCACAAGAAGGTGAGACGCTGAATGCGCTTACACACCAAGAACAAGAAACACGAGACCTCACAGGCACACAGTTGACACTTGACAATTGTGATTCACCATTGTAGGATACGTCTACGGATCACCCAATACTTCAAGAAACCCTCAAAATGTATTAGAGATAGTTTCTTATATAATGTTAGTTTTACTCACTCAACTAACTAGGGCTAATCCAACCTGAATTAAATGAACATCTGATTTAACTCCTAACTATTAAACCCAAAGCACAAACTTACGTCGTATAGTAAATGTATCACATATTTACTAAGGTGATCCATATTTGAAACATTTGTTTAAATCCACATTACATTTTAGGAAAAAATCAAATAATGTGATAAGTGAATGTGTAGGAATTCATTTAACAGTTAAGATCATGACTCATAGTTATGCATGAAGTGAATAAAAAGTACATTGGGTGAGTTTGTAGCTGTGCTTTTGTTCAAATCTAAAGTACAACTCAAGATAGTTGTTCACTACGTTTAATCAGTGTGGTGAAAAGTACTGTTTTCAAATTTTACTTTTTTATCAGAAGTCAAATATATATAGAATCTAGCAGATATACTAAAAAACCATTGCATTTGAATGGGACTTGTTTTGAAATCATCAAATCTAGGGTCAGAATTCTAGCTTGTCATAAATGACTTAAATTACTCTTAAGGGATGGAAAATTGCGTTGATTCTCATGGTGTCAAACTCTGATACATAAGTAAATACTTACAATATGAGAAGAATAAGTAAAGAAAGAAAAACTTAACACTTTTTTGCGTTCGGAATGGGTCCCGCATATTTAATAGAGTCTGACATAAATCCGATTTATAGACCATTATAATGATCTTTACATAGAATGTTATAAAAAGACAACTCACAACTAGCACATAAATAAAATTATACATAACACTTCCATTTCTTACTAGATACGTATTAACCATAGATGTTTGATTCTTGATGTCACTCGACATATACTCGTGATACACTACTATCCATGAGTTGCATGGAATCAACTTTAAGATATAATTTTAAATGATGTTCAATCTTTAATATCATGCTAAGTATTTACAGTATTTAAAAATCTTTAAACACATCTTCATATGTCATAAAATTACAAAATTTGAGATCTTTGAAATTTTGTTCGCTAGATTATAAGTTATATATTTAATCTTGCACATGATGTGAAAGATTAAAACTTTAGTTTCAAGTTTTATGCAGCAAGTGAGAATTGGAAATCACACATCTGAGTAATATTTTAGGATTTTGAAAAAAATCTCCAAAATTAAACGAAAGACTGAAGAGGTAACTATCATATGAGATCATGTGATCATTGTTAATTTGTGAAATGAAATGCTAATGATCTTGACAGCTTAGTTGATCTGATGGAAAGGTATTATTATCATCCAACTGTTCCGATATTTTGACTATACCGAAATTGTTTTCAAACAACTTCGGTATATAAAACTGTACAGACCAGTGGAGATAATAATCAAGAGGAGAAATTCTACCGGATCCATCCGGCTTGTCCACGGAAATTGTTGACCAATTGTTGCAGAAATGCGTGCCGTCGATAGTGAACGACCTCAGCCGTAGATATTAAGACACGCGGTGTGCCGTTGGATGTCACATCGGCTGGAAATCGAATGAAAGTCAAGTCCTCGGACGGAGACTCTGCGAGGTGACCTTCAAGTTCCGCATGATTTGGGGGAGACTGTGCGCAGGAAATTCGTGGTGGTGTTTGCTGTTGTCACTGTTTCTGATCGCGATGGTGACTGTGGCTCTTGGCCTTTGTCTCCCGTTCGATCGGATCGAAACCTTGACGTCACGCTCGTCTCGCTCTGCAGCTTGGGCTCCCTGGCTCCACTTCGAATGTGGCGTCTTGCGGCGGTTGCTGATGTTGCTGATGTTCGTCGTCCTTGCTCGCCTTATCTTGTAGTGGGGCCTTGCCAGGCCTTGATTCCACTTATCTGTGCACACTTTCTGAGGCATTGCAGTTTCGGATGTGACGCTCGATTTTCACGAGCGGTCTTCAAGTTTTGAGGCGCTAGTCAAATGCTGATGGTTGTGGCTGTTCGGAACAGCCCTTCACCTCGTTCTGGTAGGCTTCTTCAAACACGGGGATTTGTTTCTTATCCGGTTAGGGAATCCGCACTACCCAGTCAAGTCGAGACTCAGAGTGTCTTTGTCGGTGCAACGTGGTTTCCCATGTGCCTGGATGTCGTTGGTCTTCTCGAACTTTTCTTCCTTTATGTTAGTGATCGCCAAAGTTGCGACTGTCATTGGCGAGGACTGCACTTTTCATTGGTTTTTACATCCGAATATGATGTATTTTCGTGTGTACAGTAGTCAATTGCAAGCAATGGACTCAGCCATTGAAAAGAATTCAGGTGAAAGTGAACGCTCGTTCTGGTCAGTCCGTTGTTGTTGCTGATTGCGCTTTGTTCCAGTAGAATGACGTGCTACCATGACCATGACTACACATCCATCTTTTTCTTAACTCGGAAATATATCTGGTAGTTGTGTGTTCCAAGTTTCTGCTGGTGGATTTACGTCCATGTAGACCTCCTCATGTCCTGTGTCTTTTTAACCCTTCGGGTACCATTCTTGAACTTGGTCGTGAAATTTTACTTCCAAACCATTATTCCCTACTACACATGAAAAGTTTAGAACTTCGCACGCTAATTAACTCGCACGTGCACTTCATAAATCATACATAATGTGAATTCTCTGTTTGATGGTGTCTCAGATTCTTGGCCTGATGGCTGGGCAAACTATTTACTTCCACTGATTGGGTGAGTGACTCAGTAGTTTCATTTCATGCAAGACGTACGCGACTCACGACGCTGCATCTGACAGTTTGGTTCGTGATAGGTCTGGTAACATATTCTGTTACCAACGACCGAAGGCACAACCCATCCGGGGGCTCCGTGGAAGACCACAACATTCACTAAGGTGTGACCATGACCTACCGTATGCCGCTAACTTTTGCCCTGATACTTGAACCTGGGTCGCACATCATCCACACGGCGAAAATAAAAGTTACCCACCTCCACCTTCAACTGTCGCGACCTTTCTGTTCCCTCTCTCCGTCGTCCGGCAAGAATGCTTGCACCCAATGAGCGCTTGCTACGAGTTACTGTGTTAAACAACTGATTTTTCTCAATGCCAACTGATGAAAGAATGACAGATTTGAACTGCATGTGTGCACTAACAAGGAGTGTGTGAACAAATTCATCGATTCAGCTCAATACTTCAATGGCAGAACTCACAAATTTGGAGACAACTCCGAAGTACAGCTCCAACGTAGAGAAAAAGAACACCGCAGTAAAAACTTGCGGACATATTCCAAGGATTCGGAGAGCGTACATATTTCTGACTCAGATCACAAATATTGGCAAATAAAGACAAACTTACAAGGTACCCTGCTTTACTCAATTTTTGTATTGCGGATAAAGCTGGTGCTCCTGAATGAATTTTCAGCAGCAGAGTTCAAGTTTGCCCAAAGACTTGTTACAATATACTACACTTCATGCCCTACCAAGACCTCTTTCCACAACTTTGAAGAGTTAGATGGTCCTAGATGCAATCCCATAGTTGACTTCAAGCTTTGAAGCTTGAAAAAATATGAAAGAATATTCTTAGCAATCTACTTAACAAATGTGATAACAAGGCAGTGAAAGAGCACATGCAGTATCAGCAGCCATGCTAGGCTGTATCATTTTCTGCGAAACATTTTCACCGCCACTCTCACACCATCTCATTCTAAAAGCAGTCATTCATCAACAGTTCCACCAGAGGACTCTGCCGGTGTGGAATCAGAATCCCTCTCAGAACTCCCACCATTCTCCTTAGAGCCATCGCAAATTGCAAGTGTCTCACCTTTGGAGCCTTCGATCATGGCCTTGAATTCCAGAAAGTACTGGGTCACCTCCTCCAGATTATGCTCAAGTTCCGATACTCGTAGCGTTTTTTCCTTCAGCTTTCGTTCTGTTTCCTCCAGTCGTGCTTTTAGCTCATCCCTCTCCTTCTCCACGCTTCTTGGTTGCGCTTTGCTCTGTCGTGACAATACTCACACTGATTAATTCGCACCAGTTAACAACCACGTCAACGAGATTGGCAAATATCTCAGGCGATATTCTATTCTGAGGAAATGACACTAATATAACAGTTTATACAGAACATCTTAACACAGCTCCCTTAAAATGTTCCTAAAAACCTGTCGCAAAAAACAATCTTCATTACAAATAGAAGAACAAGAACAATCGAACTACCATGCATTAAGAGTAGGAAGAACGGTGGTGCCTATTTCTTTGCGACCCAGAACAAGACCTTAGATCTGAGTCTACAAGACGAACGAGTATGGCCTATTCCCAATCGAACGGTAACAGCTTCGTCGCGCTTTGCCTCACTCATGTGTTCGCTCACGGTTGAGCACAATTGGCATGTAGACTATCAGCCTTTCGTAGATACATAAAGCTTGCATCCTATAGGTAAGCGGGCGAAATTCCAGGAACAGGAACAGGAAAAGGGCAAAAAAACAAAAACAAAAACGATAGGGAGAAAGAAACAACAAACAGTACTGCTGAACTTCATGAAACCACCTCAGCTACTCCTGAAGTGTCCAGAAAAACTTTCAGGATTGACCGAAATGCAAATCTTGAGTGTAAGAACCCCAGAAGGAGCGGAACAAACACTCACAACACCGAGAGACCTTTCAACATACGCTTGACGAATTCCGCTTGACCCTGCTTACTTAACTAATGATTGTTCCAAGGTGTAGGTACATGTCTTTACTCTAATCGATTGGAGTGTAGAAAAAGGCGAACTACGAAACACTAATTTTACAAAACTCCCTTAACCAAGGTTTTGTTTTGTAACAATAAACTCCCTTGCCCACCAAACTTAAAGAGCAACCTGTACAAATATTTCCTTCTGGCTCAAAAAAATGAGTGACCTAATCTCAGAGTGAAGGTCCTAGTAAATCGCCAAACGAACCTAAAAATGGGAATTTAATCCCACATAACATCAACTGGGCGATCACAAAGAAAAGTAACGATATTTTCTAGTTGTTTTGCCTGTTGGTATCATACCAACAGGCAAAACAAATTTTGTAATAGGCAGAGTTCATATAAGCGGATGGTTTTCCTACCAAGAGGCACTCGTAAGGTAGAGATAAGTCATGAACAACTCCAGTAAGAAGTACCGAGATCAAAGTTATTTACATTTAGCTATTTGAATCTAGTGAGGCCGTCAACGATGCAGGAGGATACAAAGAGGCCAGGTTGGTAATCTTGAACGATACAAAAGGCAAATGTTTAGAGCAAATCCGGACCAAATGTCCCAACATTGAGAAACGGAGGGAGAGGAAAAGAGATGTGATATAATCGATGCTGGAGTAAGCTCCAAACCCTGACTGCCACTTTATACCTCAGGAGCTTGAGCCTATCGGTGCAATCAGGATTTCGAGGGAAAAGGTAGAAAGGTGCAGTACGAACGGTCATCCATCAATACGCAAGATAGTAAGACTAGTGGACCTTCACGACACAAACACAAGAGATGACAACAGTACCTCATCAAGGAATTCTGGCTTGAGTTGCGAATCTCGTCGATCCAGGGCCTCATTCATTGCAGCTTCCGCAGCCTTCTTTGCAGCCTCTGCTTCTGCTCTGGCTTCTTCTGCAATTCGGAGGGCAGCAACTGCTTGCGCTGCAGCCAATCCGGCGGCCATCTCTGCTGCTCTTGCCCTCTCATTGCTCGCTCGGGCCTTCTCTTCGGCGGTACTATAGACCTCCCATGTTCGCCCCTCTTCTCCTTCAACTAGTTCTCCCTCTATCCCCATGTCCTCTCTGCCACTAAGCTCCGCACCCTCTTCAGAGGCATCCCAATCCGTGGCATTCCACTCCATCTCTCTGTCATGAGGAGCCCTGTGAGTGCCTTCGGCATCAACAGAATATTTGAAGCTACCATGCCTCTTAAGTCCATTATGTTGAACATTTTCTCTTCTGCGCACTCCTAGACAAGGGCCAGCACTTCCTGTCTCCTCTCCAACCTTGTCCGCAGGTATCATGGTCTTGTCTTCTTCTTCCCTGGCAGCCTTCCTCTCGCCATCCCTGGGAGCCCCAAATCTGGCAACCCCATCGGAGTCTTCATCGACGAGAACTTGCAATGCAACTGCCTCAGCTAGAGCCGCGCCTTCCTCATCCAACCGCTGTTCCTCCTCTTTCCGTCTCTGTTTTTTCTTCTCTAACTCTGTTCGAATAGCCGCGGCAGTGGCAAGAGCCTTTTCAAGGCGTCGCTTTTTCTTCTCGGCCTGCTTCAAACGATCTCGTTCTTCCTTAGCTTGCTTTTTCTTTTCTTTCCTAGAACTAGCAGCAATAGCAGAAAATGGTAGTGGCCCAGGGCTTGGCCCTACTGCAACACTTTCCACCAATGGCATTTCCTCCTCAACTCTCTCATATAGTACCCAAACACCTCAGTAACTGAGTATCTAGCTCCGTATTAGCAGGATTACGTTTCCGGCTCGTCCACAACTAGATGGCCGGGAGTGGGTACGGGCATCATATATCTAATACGCAACTGACAACCTTGATTAGGTGATTCTTCGAATCAATACAGTCCTACTCAAAATTGTTGTTCAACAACCTCTTAAAGAGAGATGAGAAAACTAGAGGGCGTTCAGCCAATCGCCTTTCCATGTAATCAACAAAACCTAGGCTGCAAATGAAATTGACAGAGTTCTAGTGAATATACGTTATCTGCACGTGTACTACATGTTTCCTGGTAACCTTGTAAATCTTCATAATCTTTCGACCATACGAGAAGACATATCCTTCCGGATCAATCGTCCACGATCGATCTAGGCTTGCCCAGACGTTTACGAGCTGCAGAAACAAAGAAAAAGCAGAAAAACCGATTAGAAAGATGTGCACATCTTGACATCCGATCTGCTCTGAGAATGCTGTGAGAAAAGTCCCACCATCCACGAGACACATGCAGGAACACGATCCGAGAAACTTCGTCCACAAGTAACTCGAATCATCTAACTACGAGAAAAACTTGCACCACGCGTAATGAAACTGCAGAGCCGACTAGTTAGATTGTACGAGGATACATCCATCTTCTTGACCGAGAGCCAATGTTCAATGAATATAAGAACACGCCAAATTTGCATGCAGAAGATCAAAATTGCCTCAACCTAAGTTTAACTGCACATGCAGATAACCATTTCCGGTCACGAACCAAAGGTTCTACTTAAAAGCACGGATCACTAGTTAGCGAGCGATCAGCAACCTCCACGGACAAACACATCGATCCTTACGCACGGCACATGCATCCTTTAAATTTCTACTTCCGCATAAGGAATTTCCAAGCGGTATCGGTCACCCACTCCGCCACTGCTGTAAAGCACTGAAAATAGGGGACTGCAAGGAGCCTTCCGAAACAGACTAAAGCAACCACAATTGAGGCCAGCTACCGAAACAAGATCAAGGATTTCCAACCCCGGAGAAAGAACATCTCGACGGAACTCAAGGATACTCTACTCCAGTAACTGCAGGACCGATGAGAGAAACCACAACGACAAATTCCCCAATCTCCTAAAGAAACCGAGGCACGGGTATCCGCCCGGCCCATATCCACAATGGTCGTCCCAATCTCCCCCTCCCTCCCTCCGTCCCTCGCTCTCCACCTCCAAATCCCCTCGCCAGAGCAGGACCGGCCCTGTAATCCCCCGTCCCCTCGCGGGGGGCGATTCACAAAACAGCCATGAATGAGAACCAAAAGGATTGCCAACCGGCGAAGTACGTACCGATCGCAGAACGGAGACCAAGACACCATGGCAATCGAGAGACGAGGAGCAGAATGAGGAAGCGCAGAGCTCTCGAGAGCACAGGCACGATGCGAAAGGCAGGAAGCCAAGGGGATGGAAGGAAAGGAAAGGAAAGGAATGCAAGGCAAGGCAAGGCAAGGCAAGAGGGCAGGCAGGCAGGAAGGAAGGACAGGATGAAGAGAAGACACCACCAGGGTAAACGAGCGAAGGCCCCCACCCAGCAGTCAGTCAGAGAGAGGAGGACCGCCGAGCGCAGGGGACAAGACACGCAAGAAGAGAGAGAGAGAGAGAGAGAGAGAGGAAGAGCGAGAAAGAGATGGTTGAGGCAGACGAGGAGGGACGGAGCGAGAGTGGGGAGGGAGCAGGAGGAAAGTGGGCAGAGGCAAAGGCAAAGGCGAAAAAAAAAAAAGCGCTAGTCAAAGCGCAGAAGAAGGGGTCGGGTCCATATCCAACGATTAGGGTTGGAGGGAATTTTCGAGCTAACCTTAGCCGAGCCGAGCGGGACTCGACAGCGGAACGGAGCGAGCGAGCGAGGGAGGAACAAAGGAACACTTGGCAGGAGGTTCGCGGAGCCTTTTCACTTTCGGGGCGGATGTGCGATTCCCGCCGCTCGAGTCGCGAGAGGAGACGAGACGAGACGAGACGGACGGCGCAAGAGCGGCGAAACATTCGCCCTTCTCGTCGCGCGCGACCGACCCCTCGCCAGGCGACCGAGGAAGGTTTGGCACCGAGGGGCCCCCCGGCGCAGAAGATGCTCCCAGCGCCGAGGGAGGGACAGACCGATGGGTGGTTTTGTCTTTTGAAGCAAAGCCAATCAATGCCGGTCTCGGATTCTTTGCTCGTCCCGTGTCGCTACTGCGCCCTGCGCCCGGCCTTTCTTTTCCCGGCGTGGGCATGATCCATGCGGTAGCAGACCGATGGGTTGGTGATGCGCTGCAGTTCTGCTGTCCAGACCTGTGCGCATGACCGTCGGTAGCTTGCCGCTCCGGCAATCGTACGCGGTCCCTGTACTGTCTTCGATTCTTATCCTCTCTAAGGAGCGTCCGGGTCCTCGTCCCGGACCCGGCCAGCCCACGGACTTGGAACGGGCTCATGTGTTCTCACGGATCGAGATCTCGTTTCCTGTACCGTATCGTATTCCGGCCTCACTGTACGAAGAGCTTGGGCTTCCCCGGCGCGGGGCCCTCGACGGAATCTGTTGTCGACCTGCGGATTTAGAAGTCGTGCGTTTCCCGGTGGGTGTGTTTCCTCGGACGAGGCCGGATAAGTTTCCTTTGGTAAGTGCACTCGACGACGGGCTCACGAACTTCGAATCACTTCCGTATGTCGTATTTTGGTCGCGTCGTCTTTTCTCATCGTATGATTCCCGATGAATTTGTTACGGGCATTTGACCTGCTTAAGGGTGGCGGTGGCCATGTTTCTCGGTGTCTTTTCGAGAATAAACGTAAGGGAGCGCAATAAAGATCCGCACAGCTGCATGAGGGATGTGGTTGCTTTCAACGCTGCGTAAATAATGAAGTCTTCGGGCGTCCTCGAATCGGCTTTTTCCACAACGTTTGTGTGGAAGGTGTTAGTCGTGGCGAATAACAAGGCAATTTGGATGCTACTATTGGGGAGAGAAATATATGCTCGCTCTGACCATAAAAAACCTCATGTTGCACAAGTGAATGAGTACGGCATCAGTAGAGTAAAGTCATATAAAAAACTTGAAACTAAGACCCGCATAAGAAATAATGATGCACAGCCTATTCTAACTTGGCAATTGCCAAATTTGTCATGAATTGCTTATCCACATATACATTAAGTCCGATTTGCATTCATCGCTCTTTCTCCCAACTAACCAATATATACATTAGCAAATTCTTCGGCAAATTTACAAATTTTGGGGAATCCAGGTTCAAAAATACCCCATGAAAATCCCAAGATTTTGGCATTTGATCTGATCATTTTGGCGGAGTAGATCTTCTTCTTGATAAGTAGTATGTAGATCTTTTTGTTCTCGTTCCAAGACGTCAAGATAAAAAAATATATTTTATCTTTTTTTAAATGCAGTCCGTAATTCTTTTTCTTCTCCTTTCAAGATGTCAATTCACTCCTTGCTGAATTTCTTTTCAAGCCAAGATCGGAATCTAATGATGATCTCCATGAAACTTGATGCAAGCATGGTCGCAAATTTGTGAGAAGTACATGGGGCTAAAAACGCTGCTGATGCATTGTTACAATCTCTTTTTGGCTAGATCCCATGTATCCATGTTGTCAAACTTACGACTAGGTTTTTAACTAAACAAACCACAACATTCTTTCCACTGACTGTCAAGCTGTAAAATGACATCGCAATTCACGAACCACATCATCAAACAAAATGCATAACAAGTCCTTGACAATCATGTAAAAATGATTACAAGAAGATGATGTGAAAAATCAAACTCCATATGTTATTCATTTTATAGGAACAGTTTGTTTACCTCTATAGGATGAAACTCAATACTTGACCATCATTTACATCAGAAGGTTGAGATTTCTTGTTGCTTCTCGACTTCCTGATTAGTATCATCAAGTGTTTCAACCAAAAAGTTGGTGACAACACTCTTCATCTCTTCCTTCTCAGATTCAAGTACACCAAAAATCCTCAAGTTCTTTCTACAGCCAAATTGATTTGCCTTTTCAATCTCTTGCTCTTGACAGGAAAAGATATGAGCAAACTTGGTGGCTTCAGCATAAGATTTCATCTTCAACTTTAGACTTTCAACCACTTCATGCAATCTAGTAGTATCAACAGTGGACGCTTGTAAACCAAACTTGCATTGAGAACCAACTATTTCTTGAATGTACTCAACATGTTCAAAAATATCAACCATGATCTTTTCAAAACGTTTCTAAGAGAGCTTCAACTCTCAAATTTCATATTGAATTGTAAGACCATATGTTGCACATATGTACTAAGTCTTAGAAGTGGTCAAGTGAGTAAGGATGATTAGCCAAGGCATAATTAAGTCTAACTAGTTATGACTAAACTAGTTAGTTATAACTAAGTTTATCTAGTCATAACTAAATTTAGCTATAATGTTTATAGTTGGCGGAAGAATTAACGGAATTCTAGAAGAGTGGATTGAGTATTTCTATTTTGTCTTTTACAAAGTTCTAGATTCCAAGGAATTAGATACCAAGATATTAGATATTTGACTAGAAGCTTGGATTTGATTGTTTGACTAAATGTTTGAAAGATGATTGGTAAGACTAAGTCCAATGTTGACTTAGTGGCTAAGAAGCTTGTAGAAGTTTAAAAGCTTCAAATGTCACCTCAACCTTGGATTCTGGAAACTTCTAGAAGATTTAGCTAGGCCATTGGCATATTGTCACGTATAGTGGGTTAGTCAAATTTATTTAGGTAAAAGTGAGTTAGAAGAAATTACCACATATTATTATGGTAACTTCTCAAGTAGAATAAATAGAGAGTTAGAGTACCAACTCTCAAGCAAATTGGGAGAGTTCATGTGTAATGACTTGTTTCATATATGAAAGAGTGACGATTTTCAGTTCCTTGGAGTGTTGATGTGTGTGTGAGTTGAAGTGCTACCTTGAGTGATGGTGTGACCGGGTGTTTGAGCTATGAGTGTGAGGATGAATACTAGTCTTCTAGAACCATAATGCGCTAGCGCAAAGTCATCTGAGGTAAACCTGAGTGAGAGTCAGCCCGGAGATTGCAGAGCAGCAACCAAAGTAGAATGATATATCTTGAATTCTTCACGGAGTACTTTCAAATCTTTCAAAACCGTTTGCAGAAGATTGAGTATAGATTTGTCTTGAGAAGCAATCATCTGAATGTGTTTCAAAAAACTCGAAATTCAAAGATATTTCAACTTTAACCTTGGAATTGCATTCGGTTTGAGATTTTGCACTCTTCCAAAACTGTTTGCCAAAGATTGAGTATCAAATTGTCTTGCAAAGCAATCATCTGAATGCGTTTCAAAATACTCAAGTCTCGAAGATGTTTCAACTTCAACCTTAGAATTGTGTTCGGTTTGAGATTTTGCACGCTTGTGTTACTTGCCCAAGCCTAAACTTCCATTAAGTGCACTGGACTTGAGTCCAGTGCACACTCCAGCCCAAAGTACTGGCCTTGCAGGATTTGTCACTACCCTCTCTAAAACTCAAACCTCAGATACGTTTCAACTTTGTGCTTAGAATTGCGTTTAGTTTGAAGTTTTGCAAACTCGTGCGCCATGGCTAATTTCAAGCTCTCACAAAGTTTCAGATTCACAGCACAACCAAGCTTGAAGAAACAGCGTTCGTAAAAATTGGCTATCTTCCCTTCAAATCTTGAAACTCGAAGCTCAAAACTTAAAATTGGATGCACTATGTCTTTGAAACTTTGTTTAATCTCAAAATTTGCAAGTTACATCGCTCGGCCTAATCTCACAATGTCACGAAATGTCAAGCCTCGTTCACACTCTAGCTCGAGGTAACGGTAATACAAGATTTGGTCCTCCACTTTCAAAAACTCAAACCTCAAAGACGTCTCAACTTTGTGCTCAAAATTGAGTTCAATTTGAGATTTTGTAGGCTTGTGCGCCCTGCTCAATTCCAAGCTTCTACAAAGTTTCAGGTCCAATGCACATCCAAGCTTGAAAAAACAGCTCACGTAAAAATTGGTTCTCTTATCTTCAAATCTTGAAACTCAAAGCTTGAAACTCAAAATTGGATGCACTATGTTTTTGGAACTCAGTTCAATCTCAAAATTTGCAAGCTACAGCGTCCGGCCTAAACTGACAATGTCAAGAATTGTCAAGCCTCGTTCACACTCCGGCTTCAAATAACGGTCCTACAAGATTTGGCACTCCCCTCTAAAAAACTCAAACCTCAAAGACGTTTCAACTTTGTGCTCAAAATTGCGTTTGGATTGAGATTTTGCAAGCTCTTGCGGCCTGCCCAACTTGAAACTTACACAAAGTTTCAGGTCCAATGCACACCCAAGTTTAAAGAAAAAGCTCTCATAAAATCTCTCTTTCACTCAAATCTTGAAACTCGAAGCTCAAATCTCAAAATTGGATGCTATGTCTTTTGAATTCTAATCAATTTCAAAATTTGCAAGCTACAGCGCACAACCTAACCTCACAATGTCACAAATTTTCAAGCTCCATTCACATTCATGCCCGAAGTATCGGCACTGCAAGATTCGACACTCCCCTCTCAAAAACTCAAATCTCAAAGACGTCTCAACTTCGTGCTCTGAATTGTGTTTGGTTTGAGATTTTTCAAGCTTGTGCGCTCTGCTCAACTTCAAGCTTTCACAAAGTTTCAGGTCTAGTACACAATCTAGCTCAAAACTCAAAATTGGATGCACTCTATCTTTGTAACTTCATTCAATCTCAAGATTTGCAAGCTATAACGTCTTG